AATGGGAACGGCTCGATGGCTGTCTGGCGATGCAGACTAGACAACACACACACACACTGCCTATCTGGTGTAGAGGATGCTAGATAAGGCCGTACTGATGCCCTGTTGCGGCCGTGCGGGATAATCTTAATACTATATTATGGATAGAAGAAATTGGGTGAATCCTGAATGAATTGGGTAGATGACTTGTCTCCCTCTAAGTGTGTCTGGAGATGTACTATGCACTGCAGACATTAAATCATGCCTGAGGCCACACATAGGCTCATTATGTCACCAATTCTCCCACTACACTAGGTAATAGAGATATTAGGATATTCTATATCTTATACCAACTAAGATAGTAAGTTAGGAATATTAGTGTAAAGAATCTACGTGTTCAGCGTAGAAGCCTGTCGGTCAGGTAAGGAAGGGTGTCTGGACTAGAGTGTGGTATTGTAAGAAGTAAGACTGATTCTTACTAAGTCTAAGTTATGTGGAAACCCTCTCGAATTAAGTACGAATTAGGTCCGAGGCTCGCTTATTATATTATAAGGTAAACCTTTACCGCTAGTCCTTAGGATTCCTTTATAACTATCTTCTCCTTTAGAGACGATAGGCCCCAGGTAATTATTAAAAAAAAAGAAAATTTATTTCTATTAGTTATTCTTATTTTTATTTTTATTTTTTTAATATTATTATATGGATTACGTAATCTTTTAGGGTTTAGGAATATATAATAGGTATAAGCCCTAGGTATTACTATACTTAGGTAAATTATATAAAAGTCATAAATAATATTAGGCTCTCCTTAGTCTTATAGTAGTCCTAGCCATAATATAGCGATAGTATTTTTATTTTTATTTAGCTAATAGTAATAAGTATTAATATATATTCTTTTTAGTTATATATTAGTGCTTTTCTAGCGTATTATTATTATTATTTTCTTATATATATTATTAATATTTTTATATATTAATATTATTATTTACTTATATTCTTGTTTCTCTTCTCTTACTTTTTTTCCTTTGCTTTTTTTCCTTTGCTTTTTTTTCCTTTGCTTTTTTTCCTTTGCTTTTTTTTTTTTGCTTTTTTTTTTTGCTTTTTTTTTTTGCTTTTTTTCCTTTAATATCTTTATACTCTTCGCTAGTTCTTATATTTAGCTTTATTTTAACTTATTTTTATTTATTCTTTAGCTCTAACTTATTACTAATTTAGCTTTCTCTCCATTTTTATTCTTTTATCTTTATTTTTATCATTATTTCGGTCGCGAATTAATATATTTTCCCTTATATCTCTTAGCTATTACCCTTTATAGGATATATCTCTGATTCCGGAGCTTACTTAGTAATTTTTACGCCTATTATTCCCTCTAAGACTAAGATAGGCTAAGCGCCTTCTTAATTATTTATATATATAATACGCTAAGTTCTATCTTATACTGAGTATATTTCTATATTAATTATCCTTACCCTTTAATTTATTTACCTTTTTAATTCGCTTATATCTTATTATTAACCTATTTAGGTTCTCTTTAATATATAGGGTAACTTAATTTTAATATAGTTGATTTAGTTAAATATATCGCTAATATCTAGGATTTTATTACCTAAACTATCGCGGAGGAGGATAAATCTAAAATACTTATTATTAATAACTATATTTAGTTAGATATTATTTATACTTATACTAAGAAGGTAGTTTATACTCTTATTACTAACTTCTTATATTTAGTGTTTCGTTATTATGATATTTATAACTTAGGCACTATATATATTACTAAGCCTATAAGTTTGAGGCCTATTTCGTATAAGTTTCGCTAATAATTCTATAGGCTGACTACGCTATTTATTAAATATATCTAGTTAATTATCTCCCTATTCCTATTAATAACCCTAGCCTTAATACTAATAATATTTATTACTTTTTATAGAAGGCTTTATTAGTACCGCGCCTATCCCCTATAGATATTGTATTTGCTTTATAGTAGGTTATAGAGCGGACTTTCCGCGATAATATTTTGGCCACGCTTCGCCTCTTGTTTGTGGACGAGAATATTCTTAGTGAGATAGTTATTAATAATATTATAGCCTATTTCCTTACTATATTTTGACCTTTCGGTCTTAATCCCGTAATATATTAGTATATCTTTCTAGAGGTTTCGTGCTTAAAACCTTAAATATCTATACTTATTCTTAATATTTTTTTTATAGTAGCTAACTTTAGGTCCGGATCTTTTCTTAGATCTTTAATAAACGCTTTTGCCTTTTCTCTCTTTCTTGTAGTTCTATATCACTTCTTAGGTACTTTTTATATCCCCTTCTATATCTACTAAGTATATTCTGCGGGCTATCCCTTCTACTTAACTAAGAAATATATCTTATTGGAATATAGACCAATGCTACATAGAAAGATCTATCCTTATATTCAACATATAAGACCAGATTGCATTGATCACGTGACCAGATTTTTCTTCTATCAAATTGATGTTTTGACCACTTTTGATTCTGGCCCACGATCCCCCAAACGATAGGCGGGACCATTTTCCTCTAGGGCAAAATGGTCCGCCTTCAGGCATGAATGGTCTGTTCCTTCGGGGGTGCCTTCGGGCATACCTTGCCCGCGGACTTCGACCATGGTCTTCGGACCTCGGTGAACAGACTTCGACCCTCGGTTCCCTTAAGGATAGGCGGACCACTTTCCCTTAGGGGTAAAATGGTCCACCTTCAGGCATGTATAGCCTGATACTGCGGGGAAGCTTTCGGGGTGGCTTAAACCGTCGATCCTTGACATCATTCTTTTCACTTTTCCTCGGTTCCCTTCTTTGCCACCTTTATTATGTTACTACCTAGTATTTATATGTCATTCTAGACGTCATTTCTAGGCTATCCTAGCCTATAAATATGTCCTTCTTTTCTAGCAGATAGAATCAAGTCATTCTCCACTTTCCAAAGTCATCTCTACCTTCTTCCTTTGATCCTCAGGACTGTGGTTCTGCCTTCGTTTAGGCTATATCTGCTTATAGTCTATCCTACGACCTTTGACCTTCTTCCTTTGTCCGGCACCGACTGACCCAGCCGGACTAAGGTTGATCCCACGGACTTAAGGGGCCACGAAGTGCTTCGTGGTAGCTTTACCCTTATATCCCAACATATCTTATTATAGAAGATTTTTTTATCCTTAACCTGCTTAATCTCCTATTTATTATTATTCGCGAGCTTTAGTATTAAAAATAAGTTCGTATCTAATTCGCGTTAGTGCTAAGGCTTAAGGAAAGTTATAGGGAAGATATTATATAACTAAGTGTATTATCTAGGTAAGCTTAGATAATAGGCTTATATTCTGACTACTATAAGTATATAAAATAGTCTAATAAAGTATAGTCAAAATTTTCTTATAGGTATTTTTGGCTTTAAGTTTTAGGTAAAGAGAGCTATAAGATCTCCTCGCTAAAATTTAATTAGGATATAATATTTATTATAGTACTTCGCTCTAATTTTAGTAGCTTTTCACTATATTTCCTTTATTTTTTCGCGGAGATTATATACCTTTTATATCTAATCTACTATAGCTAATACTTTCTCCCTAAATACTCTATTCTTAGAGTATAATTAGAAATTTACGGAATACCTTATAAGGGCTTAGAATAAGAAAATACTAATTATAGCGTTTATAATATTATTATATATAAACTCTATAATTCGTAGTAGATTCGGTGTCAGCATATTCAAGGACTGTCAGCATTACCTTTAGTCATTCAAGAAGACTATGATCTTTATAATTGGTTAGGTAAATACGAAAAGCCACCTAATTATAATAGGTCTATTAAACGGTGTTCCATGGATAGACTATGAATGACGCCTTGATATAGGTCTAGACTATTGATGATACCTTGACATAGGTCTAGACTATTAATGATGCCTTGACAATAGGTCTAGACTAAAAATGATGCCTAGACTATAATTGATTTCAAAGTAAGACAGGCCTAGACTTAAAATAATGCAAGTCTAATATAGGCCTAGAATTTTGTTGATTGGATATAAATATGTCCGCAATTCTCTACAAGAAAAATATAATTCTTCTTCAATTATCATATCATACCCTGAGGTTTCCTATTAAGGAAATATTCTTTTATTTATCGAAGGATAAAAGACTTGATCTCCCATTTGATCTCCCACCGGATCTCCCACAATTTCCCTAACGAAACTCTTAACTTTCTATAACCCCCTCAAAAACTAGCTACCTACTATATAATTTAAGTCAAATTTCAGAACACTAAGGTAACAATATATAAGTTATCTATTTATAATCTAATTTCTTTAAATTTCGTAGATATTAGTATATAATTAAGGAATAATAGAAATAGATACCAGAATAGCCATAAATAATAGTATTTTTATAAGCTGAATCATTAATTTTATACGTCCGAATTAGGAAAGGCGCGGAGAAGTTATGTATTTAAGGGTCTGACGGACCCTTGGAGGTGCGGGTGGAGGTTCCTGATCTTGGACCCGCGGGGCGGGTGAGTGCGACGATATTTTTCTTTTAGTTTACCCCCCTAGGGGTTCTTTACTAGGTCTAGCGTTAAAGACTATATATTCTTAATATACTAAAGTACTAATGAGGGTACCTAGATACCTATATAACCCTAGATATAGTCTAGGAGCTACTTTATATCGTAGTTAGTATTTCTAATACGTTCGATAAACTTTCGTAGCTTAGCATCTATAGCTAGACCTGGCACTCACCCGCGGGTGACCCTTAAGACCCTTCACTCGCATCTCCTCTTAGCGGGTGGAGGGTCTAATGTCTCGACCCTAAGGGTCGGATATAGAGGTACCTAACCCTCCAAGGGTTACCCTTAAGGTCACCCTTAGGGTCCCTACGTAACTAATTTTAGTAAAAAGTCACGTTTTAGGCAAAAAAGTTATATCTTAGGTATTAATCTACTTAGTTATCTATCCTAAAATAGTAAGGCATATCCTAAATAGGCAAAGTGTGTCTTATATGGGTTAGTTAGACCCTTAAGGGACCCTTAGAGGGTTAGGATCAGGGTCAGGGTCGGTGAGGTTGGACCCTGACCCTTGGAGGTGCGGGTGGAGGTTCTTGACTTTGGACCCGCGGGGCGGGTGAGTGCCAGGTCTAATCTATAACCCCCCTAAAAGAGGTAGCTAGTTCTTCCCCGGCGCCACTATAATAATAGCTATATAAGAGTGGTATCAAATAGTAGCGTGTGGACTTAATTAAAACTGAGCAAAGTCTGGTAGGCTTAGCCCTCGGCGTTATAGTGCGATCTCGAAAATTCGATTCACGCAGAGATATATATTTTTTGCAGTATAATAAGTCTCGGACCTAATACGTACTTAGATTGAGAGGGCATCCAGATAACTAAGACTTAGTAAGAATCAGTCCTGCTTCTTTCAATACCAGACTCCAATCCAGACATCCTTCCTTACCTAACCGACAGGCCCTCTACCCTAAACATGTAGATTCTTTACAGTCAGTGTCACCCACGCTTAGAGCTTGGCATCGGCTTTTCTGCGGAGTTCCTTTTCTTCATCCCGGATGAAGCGTCGAAGAATCTTGCCGCTCGGGCTCTTGGGAATAGCGTCCACAAACCTAACGCCTCCCTTGAGCCACTTGTGACGAGCCTTATTGGCCTCAACAAATTGTATAATGACTCGAGTGGCCGCTTCGTCGTCTAAACTGGCCGAGGGAGACTTCACAATGACTGCCTTGGGCACTTCGCCCGCGGTTTCATCGGGAACCCCAACGACCGCGCAATCTGCCACGTCTGGATGAGCAAGGAGACAGGCTTCGAGCTCCGCAGGAGCCACCTGCAAACCCTTTTGGAGATTCATTAGTTAGTTAAAACCTCCCAAATTAGAGTTGGATAACAGGAGACATGACACACTTTGACCTTGATCAGTTCCTTAATCCGATCGACAATGAAAATGTGCTCGCAACCACTGGGACTGACGCGAACGACTGCTTCATCTCCCGTGCGCATCCACCCATCCTCGAATGTTTCCTTGGTCGCCTTTTCGTTGTTCAGATAACCCAAGGCTACGCTTGGGCTACGCACCAGAAGCTCGCCGGGTGTATTATAGGAAGTAATTTCCAGGCCATCTGGGGACATGATGCGCACCTCGACCTCGGGGAACAGGGACCCAGAAGAGCCAAGCCAGATATCGTGAGGATGGCTCGAGGAGACCACGCAGGCAGTTTCCGTCAACCCTACATGTAAAAGTTATCAGTGGTGATCTATCATGTAGACCGCAGAGGGATTTCGCTCACCATAGGCCAATCGGATGGAGATATCTGGATAGATCTTCAAGAAGTCATTCGCTAAATCCGGAGCCAAGGGAGCTGCGCCGGAGAAAATACTTTTGACAGAACGCAGATCGTACTTAGAGCAAAGGTCTTGATTTCGCATCATGTTGATAATGACCGGAGGAACCTGGTGTTTAGTCATGAGGGGACTTGTTCATTTTGCCGTTTTTAGAGAAAGATAGAGAGACTCACGAGGAAAAGGGAAGTGATCTTGAAACGCTGGATGGAGGCTAGGTAGGATGTCATGTCGAACTTGGGAAGGACCACAGTCTGGTCACCACGATAAGTCCCGCAGTGACAGACAACCACGAGGCTGTAAATATGGCTCTGTGGAAGAAGACACTGCCCAACTTCAGTGGACGAACCATTTGCTGCTTGTGATTGGGCGTCACGATAATCCTGCTCGAAAGCCGTGGTTTGCAGAATATTGGCTATGACGTTGCGGTGGGAGATCATCACTCCTTTCTGTATAAAAACGTCATCGTGAGTGGTGTGTCCATTCCCGGTTCTTATCTGAGATCGGAACTTACTGGCAAGCCAGAGGTTCCACTCGAATAGCACAAAAATGCGGTCCGGCGAGCTGCCTCCCCGGGGCCCATTGGACAGGCTGGACTGGTGGCAGTGACTTTCCAGCCTCGGCAATCTGGGAGATAGACTCAAGCTCTGACGGTGCCTTTATGTCCGCGAGGATCTGTTGCGGCACATCGATCAAGTAGATTTGATTCTTCGAGAAGCCAGCCTTGGCCGCAGCCTCCAGTGCGATCGGCAACAAGGGCGCACAAGTGAACAAGGCTTTCGCCTTGCAGTCCAGCAGCTGGTGCTTCAACTCATCCGCTGAATACGATGGATTAGCCAGCGCCACAACTCCCTCGAGCTGGTGGATAGCCCAGAATAATAGCATGGTGTCAATCTATCACGGTAAAGAGTCAGCCTGAGTCCTGGCGTGAAAGTTTGAGAAACGGAATTGAGCACACAGTATTTATGCTGAAAACAACCGCCGTCTTATCCCATTCCGACCCAGAGTTTGGGACCCAGCAAAGCTTCTTGCTCAGGCCACGAGTGATCAAATTGACTCGGTCGACCATCTCCCGCGACGAGTATGTCTTCCCGGTCAAACCGCAGGTATAAGGATCCCGGGATTGATCATGCGGGAGTCGTCCATATCTCTCGTTGAGCATGAGCTCACTGATTGGGATATTGTCGGGAATGGATCCCATCTGGGCTCGACTCAAGAATACCATCGCGGCTTGCGCTTCGGTCTTTGCAACAAGTCACCTTTGACCTGGCTTGTCCTATGTAGATGAAAGGAAGGGAGGTATAGATGATAGACAAACGATAATTGGCGCGCTAATCAAGCTAGGTTTCAAAAGGAAGAATCTGGGGGGACGCTCACGAATGCTCCCGAGACGGTAATTACACGCATTTTATGATTGCAGCATTTCTGAATGTTTAAGGGGGCGGAGAAGGAGAGCCCAGATCCGGGATCTGGGCTTGCAGCCCGCATATTGCCGCGGGATTATAGTTCCGGAATGGGGTTCCTGGGGATAGCCGAAAAGTCCATGTTTGGAGTATCAAAAGTCAGGAGTTTGAGACGCAAACATTTCCCCGCCCTCCACTCGTTCTTGCCACAGATGATGCTTACTGGGTATTCTTGTTTCCCCCTCACTTTTTTTTTTTATTCCATGAAGGCTCACGGAGAAGCTCCTCTTGCGGAAATACCTTGCGCACGCTTGTTACAATGCACAAATCTAGAATCAAGCTAGCTGGCAGAATGACCCCGAAACGATCCGCTAGAGCATGCTCTGGCTGTCGTCTCCGGAAAGTACGATGTGATGTGACAAAACGAGGCTTCCCTTGTACCAACTGTCAGTCCTACCATATGCCTTGCACCATTCCCGTTGACCGACGGGGGAAGCTGGCCACAGCTGCGGAAAAGGAAAAGGTGGGTGCGACGACCCCAAGCGATAATGAGCTTCTAACGGAGTCTCAGTTGGGCGGATGCATGAGTAAGTGCTGGTGATCGAAGAGAATCGGCGGAAGGAGAATCAAGTCAACTAATGATTGATTAGATCGAACCCCAGACTATTGGAATCACGTCGACGTGATAGCTTCAGACGCTTTGGACGATACACGGCCCTTAGAGGATGGAACTATAAATTGGCGTCTGCTGCTACCCGAGTATGCCAGGCCCCTGTCGCTTGCAATCACACGAGAAGATTGCAGTGTCCTGCTTCAGAAAGGTGCTTTCGATATTCCCGAGGCCAGGATTAGGGACGAGCTTTTAAGAAGCTACATTCAATTTGTGCACCCTGCACTCCCAATCTTGAATCTGGAGAACTTCTTGATGGTGATCGATACAAGCTATACTGGTGGGATGGGAATCAGTTTCCTTTTATTTCAGGCCGTTATATTTGCGGCTACTACATTCGAGAGCGAGGAGTCCCTCGCACGGGAGGGATTTCAGAATCAGAGAGAAGCACGCAAGACACGCTTTGATCGAGTCCGGATGCTGTACTCGTTCGGCTGTGAGGATGACCGTGTCACAGTCTTACAGACCCTTCTGTTGATGACGTACTGGGACAACAAATCGGACGACCTTCATGATGCCTGGTATTTTGTTGGTGAAGCCACAAAAATCTGGAGATCCATTAAAACTGAGCCGAAGAGTTTGGAAGCCGAGTTGAAACGACAGAAGCCAGAGCTTTGGAAACGAATCTCATGGTCATTGTACATAAGAGATCGTCTGGTCGCTATTTACACGAGACAACCATTTCACATCAATGAAGCTGATTTCCGAACTCCGTTGCTCAACCTCTCGGATTTCGAAGTAGGTCCATTATCGACAGAATGCTGCCTCGGTAGCGACGGAAGTCACCCTGCTATCAGAGATCCTTCCATGCATAGGCTGTTAGCTCAGATCAGCATAGCCCTGGTGCAATTCGGCAAGTGCATCACACGTATACTAAACTGTCAGTATACTGTACTTCGACGGCAAATTTGCCCAGAAAAAACCCTCAAAGAGTTTCTGGTTCCTAAACGTGTCACTCCAACGAGCGCGGAGTTACTACTTCGAGACAGCGGGCTCGAGGAATGGCACGATTCTTTACCAGAACTTTTGCGATGGTACCCATCCGACCCACTTCACCAAATCAACAAACACGCCGACGTTGTACTTCATTTTCGGGCAATGCTGAATGGTGTCTACAGCCTCGCCTGTAGTACCTTGCATAGGCCGCAAATCGCCTCGAGTTCCCAGAATCCCTGAAATGGTGGATTTATCATCTCAGCGGGTGCATTATTCGGCCATGACAATAACACAAACCTATACCTATTTCAAACAACAAGGTTTGAAATGGTTGCTTCCCGATGGCCAAGTTGCGATGCTCGAGAGCGCTATCATAACACACCTCGGCGATTTGGAATCCATAATCCCTTTGACACGGCAGGAAGCGATGAAAAATTTTCGACTGTGCGCACAGGCATTGAAACAGCTTGGAGAAACGTATCCTTCGGCTGACCAAGCCCTTGCTTCTGTGGACGCTGCTGTAATGAAAAGAAAATCACCCGTCCAGTCGACTCGAATGGCCTCCACTTTCCCATTCGATACTGAAGAGCTGGGGCATAATGAACAAGCGGTGGTTGACCTTCAGCCCACCGATGGCTCAGAAAGAGTCATGGAACCAAATATCCAGCAAGAGATTGCTCACATGAGCTCACAACGGATGGGTGAACTCCTCTGCTCGCATTTCATGATGACACCCTCGGAGAGGAGCATGTTACAAGGCCTCGTAATGCCAGAAGTAGATAACTCAGAATTTTACTCCGACTGAGTCTCAAGCAGAGAGAGCAACGGGCCTCAAGCAATTAGTTGCACACCACTTGAGGAAGCTAATTAATGGAAATGCGCATTCACCTCGTCAGTCGCGAAGAAAGGGAAGGGAGAGTTCAGGATAAAGGGTTTTGATCAGAAAGACCTAATATCCTTATTCAAGAATGATATTCGTCTAGTCCTTGAGAAAAATTGCATCAAGCAAATGCTCGGTACAAGTTTACTTTAAGATTATTTAAGCATTCACCAATTGAATCGCCGGGAAAAAGGCTCCGGAGTCCGGGCTTGCCTTAACTTGATTCCTCGAAGTCATCAGGGCGTCTTCGCTAACGCATTGCCTACGATCTATTTAGCTTTACTTCTGTATATTACCCTTTAGTGTAAAGACTGCTGCCTATTTATCTATGATTATGAGAGAGAGAGAGAATGCCAGGTCAGAAGTGACACAAGATGTGTTGCTCTCTCTCAAAAGATGAACGTAGCATAAAGAATGAACTCGTGCTATCTAGGTACAAAACACCCAAGAATTGCAACTGTGGAATTTCAATTCGGGGAAATTGCAATTGTTACAGCTTTGATGTTCTGGTACTCACTCAACCCATATTTGCTTCCCTCTCGCCCGACGCCACTTTCTTTGATGCCGCCAAATGGCGACTCGGCTGCACTGATTAAGCCCGTATTGACACCAACCATGCCGCAGTCAAGCCTTTGTGCAACACGAAAAATGCGGCTGATGTTTTCACTGAAGAAGTACCCTGCCAGGCCCACCTCGGTGTCATTTGCCAGTACGATGGCTTCTTTCTCCGAGGAGAAAGAGAAGATAGCAGCAAGAGGTCCGAAAGTTTCATCACTGGCAACAAGCATATCTTTGTTGACGTTTGTGATGACGGTTGGTTCGTAAAAGTAGCCAGAAAGACCTGCTGGTACATGACCACCATAGCGAAGCCGACCTCCCTTCTTTAAGGCATCCTCAACATGAGATTTGACCTTTTCCACAGCAGCAGCATTGACAAGAGGCCCGTGGGTGACGCCTTCATCTATGCCACGACCTAACTTGAATAATTTGACCCTTTGAATCAGTTTGGCCGTGAACTCTTCCAAGACATTTTGATGGACAAGTATGCGGTTGGCGCAGACGCAAGTTTGACCCGAGGAGCGGAATTTGCAGATCAAAGCTCCCTCAACCGCTTTGTTGAGGTCGGCATCCTCGAACACAATGAAGGGCGCATTGCCACCGAGTTCCATGCTAATTCGCTTCATCGTATCGGCGGCGAGCTTTGCGAGCATCTTCCCCACATTGGTCGATCCAGTGAAGCTGAGTTTTTTGACCTTAGGATGTGTGGCGAGCAACAAAGAAGCGTCACGATCCTTGGTCGGGACAATATGAAGGACACCAGGAGGGAACCCGGCCTGCAAGGCAAGTCTGATCAAGGCGAGGCCAGTGAAAGGGGTTTCACTCGGCGGCTTGATAATAACCGAGCAGCCTGCGGCCAAAGCAGGAGCGATCTTTCGGGTGATCATTGCCGCTGGGAAGTTCCACGGGGTGATGATTCCGCATACCCCGACAGGTTGTTTCAGAGTCAGAACGGTCGTGCTTTTATATGAAGAAGGTATAACGTCCCCGTAAGACCGAACTGCTTCTTCGGCAAACCATAATACAAAACTTGCAGCGTAGATTAACTCGCCTTTAGATTCCGTCAAAGTTTTGCCGTTTTCAAGGGAGAGAATTTTAGCAACTATCGATGGTTAATGGATGGAGTCGGCGGAGGAGAGCATATTGGCTTACGATCTTCGGCATTCTCCAAAATAAGACGGTTCCATTCTCGGAGAAGCGAAGCTCTCTGCTTGGCAGTAGTCCCCAAGAAGAACTCTTGAGATGCAGGTTCGGCATATTGAATGGCTTCTTCGAAATCTGCTTGGGAAAAGTCGGCACAGTGAGCCAGAACTTGACCTGAGGAAGGCTCGGTGACTGGAAAGGCCTTATCCGAAGCAGCATTCCTCCATTCTCCCGCAAAGAAACCCCGTCTTTCAAACAGGCAAGAATCTTTCAGTTTAATGGGAAGCGTGTTGGAAGCGTTCGCCATGATGGGCGGGTACTGAGTGGGTCAGTTGACGATACGATAATTTGACACGAGTATTGATTCGAGTATTGCTTCGATGTGATAATGAATGAGATCTGTAGAACTTATTAGAATCTGCTTGTAATTGAAGATAATCTACTCCAGTTTAATCGAGTCCGCCAAGGGAAGTACGATCCCAACCAGCCGCGGCTTATGCTAACCGATGACGTTGGAAGAGAGAGTCCCGAGGCTATGTGATCGGCAACTTGGTTAAGTCAGCGAGGATTTCTAGGAGCAAACGTCGGCTCGGAATTCTCGTCCAGTGATTTGAAAAACAGCCCTTCATATTAGCCAGAACAAAGTGGTTGACAGCGCCGGGCCCAACGATATCCGAGACCTACCGAGGCCCCGCGGGTATACCTAGGAACCAGTATAACCGCGCAACATAAGTGACAAGCGGGCCTCAATACTGAGAAAGGAAAGTCACCTAGACTCCGAGCACCCCCTCCGACAAGAAATAATTTGGCAAAATCAATCATGCAAGCCGTGGTTTTCAAGGGTCCATTTGAGATTGCTCTAGAGCAGAAACCCATTCCGAAGATCCGAGATCCAGGAGATGTGATCCTCAAAGTGCGATACACCGCGCTATGTGGCAGGCAATTCATCCCACTCACCACCTTGAGTTTGACTCATGAAATACAAATCGCTAACATTACTCTAGTGAGCTCCACGTCTTTCGGGGCCACCAACCTTCCGGCACAGGGTTCACCATGGGCCACGAATTTACAGGGGAAGTCACAGAGGTCGGGCCCGACGTACAGCGATTCAAAAAGAACGATCGAGTTGTATCGCCTTTCACCGTGAGCTGTGGAAAGTGCTTTTACTGTGAGCATGGCTTGTCTTCTCGGTGTGCGCACTGCCGGCTGTTTGGCACTGCGGCACTCGAGGGTGGGCAAGCCGAATACGTGCGTGTTCCACTTGCTGATTCTACCCTCTTTGCGATCCCGCCTTCAACCGACGAGAAGAAATTAGTCCTTATGGCCGATATTCTCCCCACCGGCTATTTTGCCGCGATGAATGCATTCTCGGGGTTGGATGCGAAGGAGGTTAGGGATTCTACAGTTCTACTCTTTGGTTGCGGCCCTGTTGGTATCTGTGCACTCATCAGTGCTCTGGAGTACAGACCAAAGAAGGTACTCGCAATTGATAGTGTTCCTTCGCGGCTAAAGCTTGCACAGAGCCTAGGTGCCGAGTCTTGGAATTTCAAGGAGAACGAAGAGGAGCTACGGCGCAGGGTGGAAGAGCTCACCGAGTCTCGAGGAGCTGATATTGTTATTGAGGTGGTTGGACATAGCAGTGCGCTAAGAATGGGATTCGAACTATTGCGACCCTGGGGACGGATTTCAAGTGTGGGTGTCCACAATGGAGAAATTCCATGGACAGGGAACGAAGCCTACGGAAAAAACCTCCGCTTGCAGATGGGTCGTTGCCCCGTTCGCAGTATGTCCACACCAACTTGATCTCATGTTACTCATTGACTAACCCTAATCAGGTATCTTTGGCGATGCCCTCGAGTTTCTAAAAAGGAACCAAGATAACTTGACGTGAGTGAAGCCTGCATCGCGATGGTTTCTTTTGATTCTAATGACCATCAGATTTATGTCGGAAGACATTCGTCCGCTTTCGCAGGCTGTTCAGGCGTAAGTGAATCCTGTGCTGTTATTAACTGCTTTTCTAATAACACCAATGCAGATATGACGATTTCGCCAACATGCGAGCCCAGAAGATTATTTTCAAGGTAGATACCAGCGAGTAGGAATAATGCGACAGGATTTTTCTTCTTTCCTATTTTTTCTTCAGTATAGTGAGCTTCCCACAGTATCCTGGTTCTATCCAAATCTCTTTCTCGAGAATTCATAAAAAAAAGAGCCAAAATCCACGAGGCAATTCTGTTGACCTATAAATATTCAAACACACGCGGAGTAACTTGATAATGCTCAGAAGGGAAGTCAAGATTTCTGTTTACTTTCACGATAAAGGAAATATCAGGTCAACGGCAGTAAGCCTTTTAATATCACAGAAGCGAACAAAATTTTGGCTGATATTTCTCATAACTCGACAAATTTCTTCAAAAGGCTCAAATCTGCAAACTTATTTGAAAAAAATATTTTAAGACTATTTGCCAAACTTCAGGAGCTACCTGACTCCTGATCAATCGCGTGGACATTCTTCCCTTCTCGCCTTTTAGATCCCTGCCAGTGCAAAAGTCCTATAGGAATGATGCTCAGTGCAACAATCAGGCCGGATATAATACCACTACACGCGGAAATGCCAACGTTGTTGAACATTGGAGTAAACCTGGAAGATCAGAACATGGGACAAAAAGAGAAGTGTATTGGATGTCCATACCAGAATGGGCCCACAAACGCCAAAGTTTGACGGATTAAAGTGATGATGACTCCAATGCTCGCAGACTCCTCCGGGTAACAGTCGATCGCGTACGTGATGAGAACCGTGGTGACCATCTGATTGCCGGCCCCCGCGATGGCGATTCCAATGACTGGGGAAATATTCCAATGACCTTCAGGTGCCTGCTCTGTCCTTACAAGGAACAAAACCAGTCCAACGATAGCAAGGACAAATCCTAAATAGCTGATCCACAGCCTGTGTTCCGGCGCAACGTTGGTGCCCAATTTCCGCGATCGACGTCTCATCCAGTAGTCGCTAAAACTTCCACCGATTTGCTCGCCAAGCACAGATCCTGTAATAAGTCCGATGAATTGAAGACCAAGTTGTTCCGAGTTGAAGCCAAACTTTTCACCGAAGAGCTCCGGCAACTCCACGACGACAAGTGTATTTGCAAACATGAATGTTACGGCATGGGCCAGACCTGGGAGCGCCACGCAGACTTTACGCGATAGACTCAGCGGACGAAGGAAATCGTGTGTTGTGAGTGGGCGAGGGTCAATGCGTCCGAAATGCAGGTATTGTTTTCTGAAAGACGATTTGTTCTGAACGACGCTGCCCGGGATGTAACGACTTTCAGGCCCGAAGAAGAGATAAGCCACGAACTGAACTCCATTCATCTATGGAAACTGAAGGTAAGAGACATGGCAAGTCCTTCCGTCCAAGATGAGTGAACTTACAATTGTAAGGATCCAGTAGATCCAACGATAGTCAACACGCTCAGACACGAAGCCCATAATGAGAGGGGCCAAAGGAACACCAAGTGTCACCATGAGGGTCCACAATCCCATGTACAGAGCCCTATTCTTTTTGAAAAAGGTCTCTGTGACGACTGCACTGCCAATTGCCGCGGCAGGACTCATGAAAAAGCCCACCAGAGCTCGACAAAAGCACATGGTCCCGTAAGAAGTACTCTTGGCGCAACCCACGTTGGAAACAAAACTGCCAATCAGGGAAAGGAGAAACAACGGTCGCCGACCATAAGTATTAGCGAAAGGTATCCATACAAGTGGCCCAAATGCCAGAAACACGAGCTGAACGGTTGTGAGATATGAAACCGTCTGTAGGGAGACGTGTAGATCGTCTGCTATCTGCTGAAAGGCAGGGACGATTGCAGCGGCGGTGAACGTGACCATACTAGCATGGAAAATGACAAGGATGAGGTTCGTCATTTTCTGGATACTCGGTTAGCCTGGTAGTACGAGAGGGCCGAGCATTGAGCATGAACTTGCCTTCCACTGGGGCCAATTGTATGGATCAGCATCGTCTGGCTGTGGCACAGGATCGAGATCCAGGGTACCGTGTCGCTGCAGCAGATATTGCTTATGATCATGGGAGAGAGCGAAGCCCTCGCCGTCTCCCTGGGTTTTGACTTCAATGGGGGCATTGGCTTGTTCCATGAGTTCTTCCCTCTGTTTTACTGAAGCCATTCCACTGATACTAGGTCTCGCCGACTCTGTGGCCAGCGAAAGATTTCACTTGCAATTTGCCAACGACGCGTGGACTTAGCCAGTCAAGGGTGAGATCCCCAAATTGAAGGATCCTTGAACGAGCAAAGCAAAGAAGATGAAAAAGCCAGGGAAGGTTTTGCAATTGAAGAGCTTGAGGGAAAAATCCTTGCCAATTGAACAGCACGGAGTCAACTTTATACTGGGGCTATTGATCTGATGATGCATGGTGGAGCTTAATCCCAACCAATCGCTTCCGGAGACCCTGGGGATTTGGGGCCCCGCACTTGTTCGTGCTCTTGTCGTCTAATCCGGGGGCGAAATGTCGTTGCCGGGGAGAAGACGGGGAAGTAACAAGACGCCGCGGGCTCTCGAGATGGTCATGTGATGAGGTCGGTTGATGTAGATCACAGCCGAAGCCGACTGTGCGGGGATGGGAGCCAAATTTCTCTAAATAAGCCAAGACATAAATTCCAAGCGAATTGGGAATTCAGCCCGGATCTCACTCTTAGCCAATCGCCAACTCCAAATCATGGCTGCCCGACCAGACCCGACCGCGCTGCTCGCTAATGCGGCAGTTCCAGCATTCAAATGCCCTCCCGGAACCAAGATGCATATTCTGGATCTTGGAACCTTACAAGTCGACGAGTCTTGGTAGGTCGATTGAACTTCAGGTGGCATGACCATCGGGCTTTGCTGAGACAAACCTAATACAGGCTTCTCCGAGGTGCCAACGCAAGCTCCGTGAGCAACTTGAACCCAGAGAGCAAACGTCGTGATCTGATGGTCCTGTCGGCTCTTATCGACTATCCCGGGGTAGGACTCATTCTGTTCGAAACGGGTTGTGCCGAGGATATCGATATGGTTTGTGTGAACCTAATAATCTGGCAAACTCCTTTTCTAACAAGCGATGGACTCTGTAGAAATGGGGTGCCCCAATCACCGATATCTTCCCACGAACCGAGTACTGTGAGACTCAAAAACTTCCCGCCGCGATAAAAGCCACTGGAAACGACATAAAAGATGTCAAAGCGGTCATCATGGGCCATCTCCACTTAGATCATGCAGGCGGGCTGGAACACTTCATCGGAACTGATGTGCCTATCTACACGCATGAGGAAGAATTCAAGCACGCCTGCTGGGCGGTTCGCGACCGGGGCCGATGTGGGTGTCTATATGGCACACTATATTGATCTGGAGAATCTGAACTGGACAACCTTTAATGAATCCACGGTGGATTTGTTCCAAGGAATTTCCATCCACCATTTGCCGGGACACACCCCGGGCCTATGTGGACTGCAAATCAACTTGGAGAAGGACGGAACTTTTATCTGGACGACCGACCAGTTTCATGTCAAAGAGAACTATGAAATCGGACACCCCCACGGAGGATTGGCAAGAGATCACAATGCGTGGTATCGGAGTTTGAGCCTGGTGCGGAGATTACAGCGGCTTTTTGACGCGAAAATAATATTTGGGCACGACAAGGAAGTTGCAATGGGTTATAAATTGGCCAAGGAATATTACGAGTAGAGGATGGCCACGGACAGTCAGGAACGGAGCCAAGTGCTTGCGCATCAGATGCGGAAGAATTGATTCGGACTTGCATTCGATCTTCCCTTTAATTGTATATATTTTTCAAAGCCCCTCAACCACGACGGTCTTATGCAGACCTGGGAGGTTTTTCGCGTTTAGCCAACCTGGTAAGTTTGTTTCTCAGTAGAGAGGATTCGCCATCCTTGCTTTCCGCTCGCTTACGCTTGTCAAGCAGTCTATGCATCTCCAGGCTTACTTTAGGAATTCCTCTTGGATTGATGTCTTTAGATCAAGATATTTTAAGATATGAAGACAAAAGAATAGCATATACTAAGATCATGCCTGTGTCTGCAACCACTGGTACACGATAGAAAAGTCCTTTCCGTGGTGCTCCTTCTCCACTGCATCATACACTTCCCATGCCACGTCCGCTAGTCTAAGAGCAGCGTTAGATGCCTTTGCATCAGCAATAGCCAGTCCAAGATCCTTCTTGATAATGGCCACGGTGCCACCCGGTTCATAATTCTTAGACGCGGGGGAATCCTTGATCACGCCAGGGACGGGGTTGTTAACTTCCACGGGCCAGCAACGCCCGGTCGAAACTTTGAGCATATCGGTGAGGGCCTTGGCATCGAGACCCCACTGTCTTGCCATGTTCATTGCCTCTGCCGTGGCGATGTTGTTGATGCACAGGATGTAGTTGTTGGCAATCTTGCTGCGAACTCCGGCACTTTGCTCACCCATATGCCAAACTTTATCACCCACCAGGAACAAGATGGAACGGATCCGCTCAAGTAATGTATCAATTCTGGGAGCGCCGAACATGAGTGACAAAGTCCCCGCACGAGCTCCAGCCACGCCTCCTGATACGGGTGCGTCCACGTATTGACCATTTTTCGAGTCATGGACGAGTTTGGCGACCTTCTGGGAAGTATGAGGATCGATTGTGGAAAGGTCGATAAAAAGACGCTCTTGCTGCAATGGTGGAAGTTCCCCATCTTCAACTATGGAATTGAAGACAGCCTCGACGGCCTTTGACGATGGGAGGCAGGTGATAAGTACAGACTACATAGGCGATGGTCAGTTAACAAGCCATTTTTGTTAGAAGGGCGAGGACCCCGATTCATAGAGGGGAAGGAAAATCTTACACATTTGGCCGCCACCTCTTTAGCGTTGTCAGAAGTTTCCACGAGCATTGAATTGGCGCCATCCCCGCTCTTCGCAAGACTGGCAACGTCTTTCACGAAATTATTCACTGCTACCTTGTTTAAATCCATCACAATCAACTTATGGGAGACTGGCATATTCTTTCGAATATTGATAGCCATGGGATATCCTTTTGTCGTTAGAATAATTGAGCAAAAGAAGCACAGCGAAGTTACAAACAAATTGGACCCGGAGGTAAGCAATTTGCGCACGTACCGATGTTGCCCAGGCCAATATAGCCCCAGGTGATGTTCGCCATCTTGCTGGATGAAACGAATAAGATAGCACGCCTACACCACTTTTCCTTTTTCCGTTTGTCGGTTGGTTGGTGTAAATCCCAACGGGTTCCTATGTCGACCAAGGAGGCGCTTAGATGAACTTGCAGGGATGACGAAGAAAACAAATAGTTGCTAGAGAAAATAGAGTGGTTGAAATACGTGAGATGATTACCTTCACTTGTGTTTCACGTGTTTAAGTCGTACCTGCCGTCAGAACCGAGAGGACCGGCATTCCGGCACTAAAAGACGGCGAGGTCTTCAGAAGATGTAGGTGCTTTCCGTGGCTATTACGTAGACAAATGATTCTATTTCCTGATTCATTATGGCTAGAATAGGGCAGTGGTCGGACAAAGATAGCCGATGGCAACGCCAAGCCACTTTGATCATAGATAAGCACCAACCATACTATGGGTCTGAGGCGAAGAAGCCGCGGGCTCTTGAACTATGGAGACAGCTATATTCGATGACGTACTCAGACATGTCAACTTGTGTCCACCAAATCATTTAAATTGCATACTGAGGGATTCTTTCACATAAGTAAAATAATCATCAGCTTGGAAGGGAATTCAACCTTTTCGATTACTTTTGTTCCTTTCACACGCCCTCAGTATCAAAGCCGAATATTCTATCTTTTCCAGATGGAGCGCAACGAGCAACAATGGGAAGACCTTTGCCGACAGGTGAAGGATCTAGTCCCACGGGAATTGGGGGAGGAGGCCTGGTACCTCGTGATTGTAAGAATGGCTAGTTTAAGCCTCAATAAGAAATCATCCTATTAACACCCTATCGCTTGCAGGCTGCAGCTCTGGGTGTATCCCCAGTGCCAAGCGCACCCGCGGAGTTTTATACCTACCTCACCAAGCACGACCCGGCCTTCAGCTCAGTAAAATCTAGGGAATATCTCAGTCAAAGACTACGAGATGTAATTCTGAAGCTCCTCACTATCGTGGGAGGTCCGCAGGTCCTTTCTGTGCTCATCCCACTTGCGGCTGCGGAAGGCGATATCAAGTCAAGAGCCGCATCAAGCAAGCTGAGCGAGAAATGGTTTGACACCTTTATTCCCCCTCTGTTCGTCAGGTCTGCTAACAAAGTTCTTCTTTTAATTAGGATCGCTGACAAAATGAGCGTCCCTGCTCTTTACGAGCGAGGTCAAGCGACGATCAACACGATCTACGGCGCCCCGCTGTTGGAAAAGGTCTTCGACTCCCTCGGAAGCCACAGAGAAGATGTCAAATTCAATGAGATCTACACGCTGTATGGCCTTTTCCTCTCGGATTTCGAGGTATTGACACCCCTTGAAACTGAGGCGGTGGTGTACTCTTCGATCTCCTGCCTGGGATTGGGAGGTCCGGGAAACTGGCATTTGAGAGGAATGGGACGGTTGTTAGGTGCAAGAGGAACAGATGATCAGAGCGAGAAGATGAAGAAAATCATGGCCCTGTTGATGAATCTGAAGCAGGCGGTGGTCACCGTTGTGGAATTCGTGGGAGATGAATTCAAAGCCAGAGCGCACCTGCACAAGTGGGCCGATCCCGCAACCGTGGCGAAGAACTTGGGCGGTTGGGGGAACGATGATTAGATAGTCCGAATATCAACGGCAAATCAAGTCGACGAGTATCTCCGGAGAGAGTTCTTCGCCATTCCAAGTCATTAAGTATTACCAGTCTCCGGGATCACAAATTGAAAAGCCACAGGTGCTGCGAGTAACTCGGAGTACTTGAATTATAAGAAGCTCGAACCTTGGGAGTGTCAAAACATGGCCCCCTACACAAAAACCTATGTTTAGTCTAATTGCCGGGGCTATGTGCTGTTGCCAGGCTATACACAAAATGAAACATAGCTGCCGATAAGCTTTGGCATAATCTAGGCTATCCGGATAATGTTGAGTTGTAATTGCCAAAATGTTGTTAATGTTTCCCCACAGTTCGGATTTGAAATTCTCCAAGCTGGTGATGGCTCTTACTTAATTTCTACCTATTAGAAGATAAGTGCGGCACCAGGGTCTGGGCTTTATTTACGTATTCTTTCAATTCGTTGGATGCCACTGCATACAAATGCACTCTGATATAAGCTACTCACTCCAGGCTACTCATTGTAACTAAATCAATATTTGCATACTTCTCTAAACTTCGCAGTACCCGCTTTATTGAAGCCCTGTAATTTTCTCCCATGTTGAGCAAGGGCAGTGGATCTCCGACTTAGTAAATATGGTATCCCTTGTATCCACTTTTGACCTCAGCATCAAGTACTTGGCGATACTGTCCTAATCCTCCAAAGTAAAAAAGGACAGACTTCTTTTTTCCTGGGACATTGGCACCAAAGATCCATGAATCAGTTCTTCGGAATAGACTATCCTTGCTGATGTTGTCGCACATCTCTGTCCAATCATGTTCGGCTTTGAGAGTCGTTTCGATGACGCGATTGCTGCCAGTTGCCGCAGATAACTCAACGCTACGCGCAATCAGCTCACTGATGAACTCAACTTGCGTCTCGATGCTGGGTGGCAGGTTGGTGAAGGGCCCGTTGGGACCTAGGATCATGAACAGGTTGGGAAAGTCGGGGATAGAAATACCGAGGTACGAGGTCGCACCGTCGGCCCAACGCTGCTTTAAGGTCTCGCCCTTCTTTCCCTTGATAGCAATGCTAGTGTAGTTGCCGTCAACGGCATCGAAGCCAGTGGCAAAGATTATTGCATCAAGCTCATGCTCGGTCCCATCAGCAGTCTTGATGCCCCTCTCGGTGAATTCTGTGATGGGGGCTTCCTTGAGATCAACGATATTGACATGTTCATGGTTGAACTTCTCGTAATACCCAGTGTCGCACAGAGGGCGTCTTGCATAAAACTCGGTTGGTGTCAATTTGCGAGCCTTCTCGGGATCGTTGACTCTGCCTCGAATCTTGCCGCGGATGAACTGAGCAGCTTCCTCGTTCGCTTCTTCACTAGTCAGGATGTCGGAGAACGTGCCAAACATGAACCGGAATCCGTTCCCTTTCTGCCATGCATCTTCAAACACTCTCTCGCGTTCTTCTTTGCCCACGCTCATTAAAGGGGTGGTACTTTCTTCAAAGCCGAAGGCGAAAGCACTCTCTTTGGCCTGCTTCCAGATCGCATCGTAGTTCGCGTTGACCTCAGCACGATGCTCGGGAGTGGCAACCTTGTCTCCTGATGGAACAACGTATTGAGGTGTGCGTTGAAAGCAGACCAATTGTTTGACATCATCGGCGATGTCGGTGATGATCTGAACACCCGTGGACCCGTTCCCAATAACTCCGACACACTTTCCCTTGAAATTATGCTGCCTGGGCCACGCACCGCTGTGATATAGCTCGCCCTTGTATTTATCGATGCCAGGAAAATCTGGGAAATTCTGCTTGGAGAGCAGGCCAACTCCAGTGACTAAATACTTGGCCTCCAGGTTCGGACCGCTACTGGTCTGAACCGTCCATAGGCAGGTCTCGGGGTTCCATTCTGTGCCGCTCATCTGTGTATTGAATTGCATGTATTGACGCAGTTTGTGACGCTCAACAACGTGCTCCAAGTACTTTAGGATTTCAGGCTGACGAAGATAGGTGCGCGACCACGGATACTGCTGGAGATCTTCTTTGTCCCATGAATAACGATACAAGTGGGAATTGGTGCTATACTTCATTAATGACTGAACAACGTTCGCAAAAGTCGGATCAAATATACTCGCTCATGGCTCCAGGGTATCGATTCCAATACCAAGTACCGCCGACATCAGATGCGGCCTCGATCAATCTGACCGAGAGGCCCTGATCAACCAACTTCTTGCACATGTAAATCCCCCAAAACCAGCACCAACGATGACCGCATCCACCTTTGACTGCATAGTGTGGTCCTGGGAGCCCATAGTGAGGCACAGAGAGTGAAAGCTTCTGATTGGAAGATTAAAAGAGAGAGAAGAATGACAGATTGTTTCTAGGAGTGTCGCAGACAATCGAGGGCTTAGTGCACTGGGCCCCTGTCCTATATAGACAAAATACGGCTACAAGCACGGGTGTATGACATTGGGACGAGGGAGCTTCCCCGCGCCTCCCCGACCCCCCAGGTTTACCCCGCATCTTTCTCTTTGGAAGACATCACCGATCACCAAGTAGCAATGAGGCTCGTGTTACTTCGAAAACCCGGTGTAGTCGCTTTAGTGGGCCATCGGGAAGTACATAGCCGTAATAACCGCGGCTATATGGATGGGTCATCTTGGCGGCGGCAACGCAACCCAATCAAGTATATGGAGCATTCTCCGATTCGATCGGAGCCATGGAGTTGAGAAACTTTTGAGGCCCGAAAATTGGGGCGAGATCTGGTTGCTATAGTCTTGTTACTCGTTGCTAACTGGTCACTGCGAGGAAGTGCGCGAAAGTAATACGTAACGATCTGCTGCTACGAGGAACAACAAGTATATGTGCTGAGCAGGCTGAATACGCCCTTCCGGGCACTGACTGCAGATCTCGGGACTGTGACTTGCAGCCGTACCGCCTCCTAGTCCGCTAGGCTTTACAGGGCCTCGGGTTTAGAGTCGTCTTCCAGGATGTGCTAGACAGAGCGCCAATAAGGTCAGTACCGAGGTAGCGCCCCTTAGTATATAGGATGGTTGCAAACAGAGTCAAACAGCGAATAATAGCACAGGTGGTTCCATCTGACAATGTAGGATAGATCACGAGTAACTAACCTAGCTCCCTGAATGAATGCCCGTGTATGTCCTTCGCTGCGGGTGTCCCAGTCCTGCATATGGCTATACCGATCGGGGAGCAATGGTTATTCTATTTTGCATGTGTATCCCTCCCTGTAATTTATCGATCCGGGGATTATATAATACTGGATTCTTGATAAGGTGCCGCTTTCCGTATTTGCGGGTTCCAGCTGGCGGGGTCCCAGAAAAAGTTGACGGGGATCCAGAAAATTATGACTAATCCTGGGTCCCCGTCAACTTTTTCTGGGTCCCCGCCAGCTGGGTGCCCCCGTGTTTGACAGCTGTTCCTAGATCACGTCAAGCTTCGAACGCTCCTCGTAGGGTCCGATAACTCAGAAACCACGTTGTTCTGAGTCATTTCAAGTATTCGGGATATACGGGGTCGCTTTCATTCCTAACTTGCCTCTTTGGCTTGTTCAGTCCCAACCATCGTCAATATGCCGGACGGGAATCCGAGAGGACGTCATAGAGCCTCGAAGGCCTGTCACAGATGTAACCAACGCAAAGTGAAATGCGATGCAGCGCAAGCGGGGGTGCCTTGCAGTCGCTGCCGCATGGACCAGGTTGACGACTGTGCATTGATCGTTTCTAAGAGAGGAATTTACGATAGGAAAAAAGCCCGAAGACATCCGGAACTGGGCGGACTACCTGTGCAAGACAGATCAAATCGACATCCCAACACGACTAACGAGACACAAAGGAAACAAATGGACCTAGAAAACGCCCAAACTATGAGCGTGGAAGGCTCAAACGACAACTTGCAGCCAGAGAGATTCTCAAACCTTGACACCCCTTCTTCGCCACGTGAGTCGCCAACTCATTTCCCGACAGATGCCCCAAGAAGTTCAGAGCCTTTCAGAGGAGATTCTGATCACAGTCGTGCATCAAGAGCTTCGCAATCCCCCGAAGAATCGCTGGTTGGTATGTTCGAGGCCTTTCTAAGACAACAGAGCGCGAACAAATCGGAAAGGCCTGGAATTGTAGTCTTTGGCGAACCATCACCATTTACATTCGCTCTTGAAGAATTAAAACACGGGGATAGTCCCAAGCTCCACAACGCAAATCGCCAGATCTACGATAAGACTGCCTCTTTAGGCGGGGCCACCCAGCCTCCTGGACATCTGGCAGAAACAGACTTCGCATACTTAAAGGCGAAGGGTGCATTTAACTACCCCGACGGGGCTATATCGGATGCTCTTATCTCGGCTTATTTTGAGAGATTCCATCCACTATGTTCAATAGTGGAGAAGTCTCAATTAGAAAGAGATTACCGTGAACAAAAGCTCCCCTGGATAATCCTTCACGCCGTTTGTTTCATTGGTGCTACTTTCTGTGATGATGCAGTGATCCATCGATCGGTGTTCAAATCGAGATTCGAAGCACGGCAGTTCTACTACGAAAAAGCTAAGGTCTTGTTTACCGTGGGATATCACTCGGACAAGATTGTCTTACTCCAGGCAGCTTTGATGCTTAGCTTCTATGGACCACATATACAAGGCTACTGGAACCCGGGAAGTTGGACCGGCTTTGGAGTGACAATTGCAGTGTCACTTGGTCTACATCGGGCTGCTACATATACTCACTCGCACTTCAGAGAAGTGACGAGTTTACTAAGAAGGGTGTGGTGGAACCTGGTCATACGAGACGCATATACGTCTGCATTGCTCGGCCGTTCATTTAGACTCAATATGTCTCTTTGCGACACAGAGCCCTTAACATGCGAGGATTTTGAAAGCTTCGTAACGTGCTCCCATCAGCCACAGACCGATTGTCACTGCAAGGACTCTGCTCATTACCAAATTCAAATCTCCAAATTGTCTCTTCTTCTACGACGGATCCTGATCAGTCGTTTTGGGCCCGGGGAAAGTACAGCCACAGTGGCGCAGCTGCATCAACTACTGTCGGACTGGCAATCAGATCTCCCGAAATCGATGAATTGGGTTCAGCGGAAGTCTCCCCTATCCAAGTTCTCTGTGATTTTCAAGATTATGTTCCATTATCATGTCATCTTGCTCCATATGTTAAAGCCGGAAAGAGTCTCATCCTCCCAAGCTCAAACGCCTTGCAGTACTGGTCGTTCCACAGCGATTGCAGAATCAGCAGCATCTGGTATAGCGTCCACTGCTATCACAATAATGACCAATTCTTCTCTGAACGCATTTCCACACGAACTATTCCCTGCATTCTTCCTTGCAGGCATTATTTTCTATCGTCAGTGGCGTCAGTCTGATGCCGACTCGGCTGAAAAGGCCCGGGCGTCACTCGATAACTGTCTGATTGTGTTGAACCAGGCAGCTGATTTCTGGGACCCAGGGAGCTGGGCAGTAAAACTCTTCGAATTTCTTTCTTCCAGCTCCGATGACAAAGAAGAAATTTCGCACCCAGTCAGCCAACAAGAAATTGATGAGCCCGATGAGTTGCAACCAGCTACTAATGAAGTGGTTTCGGAGAGCTTCAATTCACCGCTGGTGGACTTACAACAAAACCTGTACGTACCATTCGATACAGGCACCATTTTCGATGCGAACGTTCCAGTCGGACTCAGGGATATCATGTTGATGCCAAATTTCTGGCTTCCCTCTGCTGAAGAACCACAAATTTTCCCACTATGACTAACACTTGATGTGTTTAAGTGGTGTCAATAGTTCAAAATTGCCTTCCTGTACTTGATCGATACAATCCTATAGCATATTTTGGACATTATTTATTATTAACATCATTATTATCAGGTCAAAGCCTCTCTAATCTTGATATATTTACTATATAAGACTATTCAAAATACTAATTTTGACCTATTTAAAACCTAATTTTTGCTTGCAACATCTTCTGTATCTACCTCTCTAGCGGCCAGTGGCGACTCTGACATATCTCCGTACGGGATAAAACAGAGTCTAATTTAACTCTCTCACACATTTAGAATCTATAAATTATCACCGATTTGAACTTGCTTGGGCAGTATAAATCCCATCCGATTATGTTTCCAAAGTTCAGGGTAATTTAGATTGGGCCAATAGCCGTGTAAACCCGGCCAGGGTTCTTTTCGTTGTGGGTTATTTAGTTTCCGGTCGCCTAGTGTAAAGTGTAAGTTGACGGAAAAGGGACGTGGTCCGCGCATGATGAAACAATGTTTCAACATTGTACACTTAGAACGTATCGGACCCTAAAGCCTTATTCTATACTAGGTAAACCTCGATACGAGTCAGTTATTTAATATAGATAAGGCATTAGAGAAAGGATTCATTCAATCGTTAGAACTAATAAGAAGACGCGATAGCAAAGCTAATTAAAAGTAATATATATATAATTATTAATAACAGGCTATAGAAAGCTATACTATTTATATTCTTAAGGAAAGAGACGAAGACTCTCTTTCCTCGAGAAATAGTATAAAACTTAGGTCTTATAAAGGTCTTAATTCGTTGAGTCATACTTCGCCGGAACAGTGTTTACTGATGAGTGTAAGTGCTGGTATCGGCGAGGGGACAGAGTTATCGGACTTTGGCCAGACAGCCCTTACACGAGATCGAAGTTCTTAGATCTCTAGGATGGGAGGACTTTAAATATAAATACATCAATGAGAGCAAAGACAAAGACCATAATCCTTTATAGTGGCTCGGTAATTGTTGGTCGATTCCTCAAACTAGCAATGGCGACATGTCCAACTGAATCGACTCCGATAATGTGGACATCACGGCGACACCATATCCAGAATTGACTCCAAAATGGGAGACGACATTGCCTTTCTCGCACTAGTTTTTAAAATGAATCTGTAGAAATATATGATCGCATGGCAGAGACCAATAAGATTTGCTTGAGAGGTTTTCCATCTTTATCGCAGTATCTAGCGGAATGGAGAGATCAAAATGATGGCAAACAGATAAACAAGTATTGAAGTGGGAACGGCTCGATGGCTGTCTGGCTGTGCAGACTGGACAACACACACACACACACACACACCGCCTGTCCGGTGTAGAGGACGATCTGGATGAGGCCGTACTGATGCCCTAATGCGGCAGTACGGAATAACCTTAATGCTGTATCATGAATAGAGGAAACAGGGTGAACCTGAATGAATTAGGTAGATGACTTATCTATCTCCAACTCTGTCTTGAAGATGCACTATGCACTGCAGACATTGAATCATGCCTGAGGCCACACATATGCTATTATGTCACCGGTTCTCCCACTACAGTCTCTAAATTAGAAAGAAGATAAATAACAGAGGACTAATTGACATACCCATAGTGTCTAGTTTGTGGGGCTGGGGGTTTCTGATCAGCTCCGAGGAGCCATTTTATTCCTAGATTTATCTACCCTATCCCTACCAGGAGCTTACATTATCTCCCAGGACCACAAAACTATTACCAGGAAATATCTTATTTTAACTGGCTAAGGTAGATCTGTGTGTTTCAGATTTTGCCAAATTACCTGTCAGTACTAGAACCGTGCAATAAGTGTTCTTAGAGTTTTGTGGCCTAATGCTTGTTGGTTGTTTGTCTTAGTAAAAGATTACATTGTCAGGTCATGAAAGGCAGCACATTAATTAATGTGAACGTTTGAATTGAAAGCAGTGCTGTTGAATAACGCAATATGTGACGCATGATTATCTTGAGGACTGAGGGGGAACATGATCTGGAAGGGGCCGTTGGGCTAACTCGATTTGGGATAGAATTGGTTTTCTTTTGTAGTCGCTCGTTCTCTTCTTTCTCTCTTCTTCTTCTCTCCAGCTTAGTTGCTTTGTTAATGACACAAGAATTCTTCTCGTCTTGGTCCGCGACAGACTAGATAGCCTGTCGACCAGGTGAATTAGGATGGCCAAGTTCAAAGTTGGTTGTGAGAGCGAGTCTTGCGAAATTGAAACGTCATTTGACAAAAATCGAATTAAACACAGGGCTCAGTAGTTAACCCACAAGTGATAGGCATAGGGAGGGGCCCCGGATGAGAAAGGCGTAATATTCACGCCATCTTTGGCTAAAATAGTTTTAGAGTTGTGCCTTATGACTCAAAGAAGGGCAAAATAATGAATACTTTCTCATTCTTAGGGTTTGGCGCCTTTTCGCTATAGTTCGGCCAACTGTCTTCTTGCTTGGACACTCGCTTACATTTCACTGAACTAGGGAAGTGAAAGTGGTTCCCAGGATCACTTGCTCCTCACAAGTCCCCGAGCACGATTGTTATGCTTCCTAGGGAGTGTTACTATAGTTCTAGAGGTTTAAAGGCCGCTATGGAAGATAAGTCACTCGAGATCATTATCCTCGAATGATTTGATCCCCTGATACATTAGGAGCCTGAGCTTGCTCTTCTCTATCCGTCAATAGCACTTGCTTGATCAAGGTGTGTGCTATTTTCGTAATCTATCGTTAGTTGTGAGGAGTTAGAACATCCTATCACTTAATTTGTGAGGGAGCCCCCATAATAATATTCACAGAGTTAATTTTCGGAGAAGACGACCGGATGCCCCACCTACCCCAACCCCGCATTTTGTTAGGTCAGGTTACACTGGATTCTCCACCAAATTTCAATTCAGGCTATTTCATTCTTGATTCCACCGCCTTTTGCGGAAGAACTAAGCTAACATCAGGTTCTCTGGCAAATTACATGTCATCAGATAAGTTTGAGCCGTACATTGCTTCTTTAATTGTGAGAGTCGTGGTAACTCGGCGATTCCCAGACAGAGAGGAAATAGCATTTGACTACGGCTAAATGTGATTGTAGAGTCCCAATGACATTATCGACCGTTGAAGTCCCTCGTCGAAGTTGAGAATAGGTTACAAATATGGATTCTGACCAAATTTTATTTGAGAGAACGGAATCAATCTCGATCCAAGCATAAGATGGACTGTCTTGAATATGCCCCATGTAAAAAAAAAAAAGTATTCTTTCTATTATGGCGCTTCTTGCCAGCAGAGCTATGGCCATTAGTGCCTTTTCGGGCTGCACCACAGGACCGTTAAGTGAGATTGGCAGTATGCGACACATCTGAAAATGTGCTCACAAGGGCCAATTCGCATGTAGCTTCCATAACGCTCGAGGAGAAAATATATGACATAAACTAATATTCTCCTGTGCGCAACACGGGTCACTCTGGTTTCGACTTCTGGACGCCTAACCTCAACCCATTCAAGACCCTCGTCGGGGTCGTGGTCAAGAGACTCCTGGAGAAGATGATTTTCATGTTGCTCGATATGTCCTCAACTTCATCGACGGTTTGCAGGATTGTGTTGGGCCTGCACATCCAAGAGTGCGACATGCAAGCACTTCGCCGCGTATAATCTCGAGGACTGGGGAAATGTCACGCGTCATATATTTGAAGCTATTGTCTCCATAGGGGATCTTTCCGAGTATTATTTGCCTTCTTTCCGTTCGTGCACCCGCGACGCGAAAGTCGACGCGACAATGTGCAGTTACAACGCTGTCAACGGAGTCCCTAGCTGTGCCGATTCGTGTTTACTCCAGACAATCTTACGTGATCACTGGAGCTAGGAGGCAACAGGTCACTGATAAAATCAGACTGTGGCGCGATCGACGATATTTATCTCAGTCATAACTGTACATGCACTGGCGCTGAAGCAGCAGCTGTCGCTTTGAATCCTGGGACCGACCTCGACTGTGGTTCAGTCTTTCCAAATTACTTAACCTCATCTCTCGCACAAAGGCTGACAACGATAAGGCTCTGGACCTCCCCGTTTGGATTCTATGTTATATAACTACGTTGTGGGAGCCGCATACATGTTGCACGGCTTCTCCAGCTCTAAAAAATGCAGACTTACTGTGAACTCATTCCATGGACGGAGCGCCGACCTGTAAACCTAGATTATACGACTTTCCCAGTCAGTCGGTAAATTAGGGATAAGGGATTCTCAGCTTATCACACAATTCAGCCTTAATGCATTGCTAGTCACGGTTTTTCTACTCCCTGTTGCTGCCGATATTTGCCGGTCACTTTGCACTAGCCAAGCGCCCGAGCGACCAATCAATTTCAAGGACCACGGTAAACGCGTTGCTGAAGTGGTCAGCTGCCAGATAATAGCTACTTTGAAAGTTTACCTTTGATTTAGCTAGGAAGCTATTTAGGCAGATTGCCTTCTGAGCCGTGCCTGACTGGTGCTTCCCGTTTGCTTTCGCCACAATTACCCTAACACAGGCAATGATCGTGCTAAAGAGACCCCGCTTGGAGGTTGTATAAGTGCAGAGGCTGAGGACCTCAGACTACATTCTGAAGGCCTATCTCTCTGATCAAAATGGTCGCAACAATCGCTTCGGGACAGCATGCTCTCTCACAAAGACGTGCCCAACTCGCCGGGCCGTCGGGAGTGAAGGGTCTGCTCTCGAATCTTCGAATTTTCGCTATCGCCGTATTTGCTTCTCTTGGTGGTTTTGTGTATGGCTGTAGGTCCTATCTCTTGGTTTCTGTATTATATTGACTACAACGGCCGTGCTGATTCAAGAGCGAAGACAATCAAGGAATGTTTGGACAAATTCTGAATATGCCCTCTTTCTCCGCTACGGTGCATCCTGAATCAATCTCCAACCCGACTTTGAGAGGATTTCTGACCGCGTACGCATACCAGACCGGTGACAAATCACGATGATCATTCCATTAACTGAAGACTGAACAGTATTCTTGAACTTGGTGCTTGGGTGGGCGTTCTCATCAACGGTGTTCTCGCCGACCGGCTTGGGCGTAAGTTGGCGACATTTAGCGGCGTGATTGTCTTCTTGCTCGGCGTTATCGTCCAAGCTTGTGCCAAAGGACCCTCCTATATCCTCGGCGGTCGCTTCGTGACCGGTATGGGTGTCGGTACTCTTTCTATGATTGTGCCACTGTAAGGACATTACCCAGCGGGCTACGTCCAATATTCGGCTAAAGACCCATCTAGATACAACGCGGAACTGGCCCCTGCAGAGTTAAGAGGATCTCTTGTGTCCCTTCAACAACTTGCGATTACCTTTGGTATCATGGTATCGTATTGGATTGGTAGGCTATACTCCGAGTTGTCTCAAGCTGTGCTGATTTGTGGTCAGGATACGGAACGAACTACATTGGAGGGACCGGCGCGCACCAGTCCAACGCTGCTTGGCTAGTCCCCATTTGTATTCAGATTCTTCCCGCCTCGGTCTTGGTATTGGTATTCTATTCATGCCTCCTAGGTATGTCAGCGCCCTTCAGGCAAGTGTGAAAGTATCACTAACGCTTCACAGTCCTCGTTGGCTCATGACCAAAGGCCGAGACGAAGAAAGTCTCGCCGTCATTTCTCGGATCCGATCCTTGCCTTCCGAGAACGAACTGGTCCAACTGGAATACCTAGAAATGAAGGCGCAGCATCGCTTTGAAGTCGAAACTTCGATCGCACGATTCCCTCAATATCAGGCTCCTGGGCTTATGAATCAGTTCAAATTGGGTTTCCAACAATATGTCAGCCTTCTCACTAACAGATCTCTCTTCAAGAGAGTTGTTGTTGCGGTATTTATTATGGTTTTCCAACAATGTGGGTTTCAGATTTGGCAGGCATGCTGGACTCAACCGCTGAAGATGTTATTTCACAGGGTCAGGAGTCAACGCGATCCTCTACTATGCAGCTGTAAACTTCTCCATCCAGGCAACACCGAAAGCTTGTATTATACTGATCGTTCATAGTTTATCTTCAAGGATCTCGGTCTCACGGGAAATACCACGTCGCTGCTCGCCAGTGGAGTCGGCGGCATTCTTATGTTCCTTGCCACTATTCCTGCCGTTCTGTACATTGATCAGCTTGGGCGTAAGCCTGTCCTGATTGCAGGGGCTATTGGGATGGGCGTTTCCCATATTATTGTTGCTGCTCTATATGGATCTTTCAACAAGGACTGGGCAGCCCACAGAGCTGCCGGCTGGGTTGCTGTCGTTTTTGTGTGGATTTATGAAATCCACTTCGGGTGCTCCTGGGGCGTAAGTCATTTCCTACACTGTCGTCAATTGGAGTTAAGTATACACTGACGCCTATCGTTATCGCAGCCAGGTGCCTGGGTCGTTGTAGCGGAGATTTTCCCGCTCGGGTTTCGTGCAAAGGGCATCTCTATCGGTGCTTCTTCTAACTGGCTCAATAATTTCGCTGTATTTATTTCCACAGTGCTTCTTTGCGGGTTAAAAGTACTAACAAGGACTAGATCGGCCAAGCCACACCTCCCATGGTTTCATCCATGACGTACGGTACCTTCATTTTCTTCGGTCTGATATGCTTCATCGGCGCACTATTCATCTACTTCGCTGTCCCTGAAACAAAGAATCTTACCCTCGAGGAGATGGACGAGGTCTTTGGCGATGAAGCCGGAAATGCCATTGAAGACCGCAACCGTCTTGTCCAAATTTATACTGAGCTAGGCTTACTGGGTGATGGTGTTGCGGAGGAAAAGCATGTTCCTGGTAATGAAACTGTTGAAGTCGAGCCGTAGCCCCAGCTTTTTGAAGTTTGAAGGAGTTCGAACATGTCGAATATAATCTCGAAGCCCTTTTTCCGATTATTGAACGAGTCGGTACTAAAAATGCCAAAACGTGACAAAGTTTTGAGTTGGGGCTGTATTGACTTAGGATTGATTTTTTTTCTCATTATTCAAGCTTGTGTATTCGATTCCCACGATCGCTATATCTGTAGTAGGTGTTGCATTGACGTACTTTTTCGAGTGGGGAAGTTTTTGTTTTATTCATCGCGAAAATGACCAATGTAGCTCAGTACCAAATCATTCGTAGCATCCATTTCCTTGCAGCCACTTACCGCCAACAAGCCCGTTTTTCTTCTTCTTGGATCCAAGGAACCGCGAAAAGAAAGGCCTCACATCCACTGGAAAGATCAAAAAGCTCGACCCCGTTCACAAATGCTTGTTCACAATCCTTCTACCGTAGCTCTTTATAGCGCCATTTGAGGCGGAAACCTGATATCACTGGTCAGAGAGGGGAGGTGATCTCGTTAATCGAAGAATATGCTGTAGTACTCGATTATGTTGTCTTCAATCAATACCGACACGGAGACCCATCTTCGCCTCCCCGCATTATCAAAAGCTGAAGCGTTGTCACTGGCTCATTTCCAGGACGTGCACTAATTCGATTACGAACGTCTTACAGTACCAATCACCAACATACTAAGCAATCGTTCGAACATGTCTTAATTCGTGGTCATTGCGTGATTTTTGCGTGATTTGCAAGGAATCAGATGGCAAAATCACATCCCGCCAGACGTCGAGCGGCATATGGGTAGCTGATTGTTCAACCGAATCATGTTCACAGTCTTTCTGAGAGACATTAACACCGTTGAATTCGACTGCGCCGCCCCTTTAATGATCTTTGCCCTTTGATACATGAATGTTGTCGCAGGTTTGATAAAAAATTCAATCTCCACCCCTCCTTGGCTAAGAAACTACAATGGTCCGCACTCAAAGGCTTCAGTGGAGCCATCGGCCTCGAAGGCCCCAAGCAGCTGTCCACACAATGATAAGAATTGCTGATTTCGATACCGGGATGGGTTCGTCTCATTTGTACAAAGCCTTGGTCCGGCGGATCGAATCGGTACTGCGCAAGCTAATCTGAGCAATCAATCGTCGTCTCGTTTCAGAGATGTTCCGCCAGGGTTGACATCTGCGTTTAAGGAAGAACACGGACTTGGCGGTGTTTTGAACGGGGCTTTTATACAGCTGTTGAATAAGATATCAGCGGATTTTTCTTACAATGGCTACTTACACTCGGGTTGCCTCGCGCAACGATGGTGGGAAGCTTGTTAATCTAATGGCGTTCGCTTAAGCGGATACAGCTGTGGAAGATGGGCTGGCAGCATGAAGGGAGAGTTCAGATATTAGATTTTGTAGATTCTTTGCTTTAAAATTGATCACACTTGTCCGCAGTGACAATGACCGTATATATTCAACTTTCCTACATGATCAAAGGGGGTCTTACTTCCACATACTTGAGGGAAGCCTTGGAGGGTCGTAGATCCAGTTGAGCTGCAAAATAAATTAGCAATGTTCATCGGTGCTTGCAATCACATCTTTTTAATTTCCAAATTTACACGATGCGAGGTTTTATGCTCTGCGCTCACGGTCTATCTCTACCTGCAGCCAAAAAACGTCAATGCACAAGTAAGAATATACGCAAATAAAATCCTAGAGATACCCCGAAGGCGTAATGGACTTCCAGTACCCCTATGGTGGCTAACAAACACCCAAGGTAGACACAAACCCTGATGATCCACCATATAATAAGGGCGAGGGGCATGCGCCTAAAGCCTTTGGAAGCTTCATAGCGCAAATCATACTGCTGGCGAAAGTCTTGGTCTTGCAGGCCATCGGCTGCGATAATTCCTCTGCCGCGTGATGTATCATAGGTCGCAATTGGGTCCCTTTCATCTGTGAGTTGATACGGACAGGGGTCTTGATCGGAATGAGAGTAATGGCCATTAAGATGCCTAGGAAGGTCATCAGAAACCCTGGGGAGTGGAGGTACAGTTTTGGAATCTCTTTACCACTAACAATGACAAAAGGGATCAAGTCACATATCATCGCCGCTCCGTAAACCCATGATGTAGCGTCGAGCTCCCATCGTGAGCGAGATAGAAGAGAAGCACATGTATCTGGGTACTAGATGAGACGTTAAACCCGCGCAATTAGAATGTAAAACTCTCCCAACCCAAATGATATGATATTGAAGACCAAGATCCGCTTATCGCACTCCGGCTTTGTGCAGGGGCATCTATCAAAGGCTTGGCAGTCACTCTCCCATCGGGATTGATGGATGTCGAACCAAAAGTAGTAGACTATGCATGGAAGCGCGATATCGAAGACTACGATCATGAAAGGCCCAATTGGAATTGAGAGATGATCGGTCCATTTCGGCGTCTTCTTAGCAAGCTTTCCATATGATACTTCTGACTTGCCTCATGTTGATGTCTCTCCCGGTCTCATTTTGATCAATGCATGATTCATGGCCAGTGCAGTCACACCTTTCCTTTTTTTACTGCCAAACATAATATCTATGTCAGACGCCATTCTTGAGCTGCCAATATAAATAAGGTCGTCTCGTCAACTCAGCGAATGTGGCGAATGTTCGATTAAGACCCGTTGACATCATCGATCGAAAGAACTGATTTCACACAAGACTCGTGTTTTGTTATTCACTATCTACGTTTACTAGAAACTCTTTTTTCATGACAGAATCGAATCTCGGCCCCAAAATCTCAATATACTGCCACGACGTCCGTAACGCCATTTTCACGGGTGATGCAATGTCATGATCTCAATCCGGGGGTTGATTCCAATGCGGTTAGCTTTCAACCGAGAATCAACCCTTCCTCCAATTTCGGGCAGATTCTCATTGAATCACAATAGGATTTTAGATTGCATTGAACAACGTTGACGCACAGAGAATTGGGTCACAAGTGTCCGCCAGCCTGAGGCAGAGGCATTCTCAGCGACATAGGAAGTCTGACGTAACGTCTGTATTATACTCAACTCTATCTCTGGTTTCCTGAACATATCCGAAGTCAAACCTTTCATCATTGAAAGAAGAGTATCACCGTGGCAGGATCGAGGCGCCTTAGGTGGCCCGAGCAGAAAATGGCGCTGGCATATAGAGGAGGATGGAATGAAAACAACGCTAATGCCATCATGAATGGACTTTTATCGCCATGACTCGATGAAAAACGAACCTGTGGATAGGAAAGGGTACGCTTTTCGCAGCACAAAATCCTAAGCCGTAGCTCAAGTTTTGACATTTGCTCTGTACCAACCGTCATAGACAAAATCAATCGAAACCTGGAACGATGCCAGCTACTGCTTCCATTCAGATTTTCATTAATGAACATTCAGCTCAATTGAGTAGCTAACTTTCCCCCGACGCAAAAATGCCAACAGCTGGGTAAGTGAACAAGTTTATTGCACTTCGTCGACTTTGAGCCATTTCATGATAGTGAAGTGACCCTTATGCTTAAAATGCTCAATGTGATGAATGGCTTTTGCCTCACTTTCTACCATCCGCATACTACCGCTAGCCATGCTGCTCAAAAGAGGCAGCAGTGCAGATCTTTTAATCAACATTAGTCCGACCTGACATTTCCGAAATTGTCCATGCACTATGGGTGACCCCTCATGGCGTCATCTCAAGCAAATACGCGACCGTTTGACAGGTAATTGGGCTGCGCGTGGGGCAGATATATCGTCCTTCGATCACGGGCTCGGTAAGGGAACACTTGTTGCCGCATTCTGCCCAATGCGTCTCCTTTGGCTATTTATTCAAATCAAAATGGCCTATCAATGTTGAAGGTCTAAAATTCTTCAAAATTTCATTACAATGGTCTTTCTTCCGTTCAAAATGATCACATTCACCATAAATAAAACTGTGCTAATATGATATTAATATCGAGATAACACGAGCTTCTGACCAAATGCAATTCACCGTCGTTTCTAGCTCAGATCGTCTATTTATCTTACAGCAATATTTTTTTCACAACCATTTGTGTATCCGTATTCAGTCGCCCTATTTCACAGTATCAATCATGGTTCCGCATTAAATGAGCAATCGAAAATTCTTCGATTTTGATGAGAAATGGTAGATAATTCATGCTTGGGAAAGCGCAGTGATCTCGGACCATATTTGTCAATATATGAAGAAATCAAATCGGTTACAGGCTATTGAGGCAATTTTCTCGAAGGTTCAACCCCGGGATCTCTTAGTAATTCCAAATTATATACTTTCTTTGATGACTATTTCCAAGAAACGAACAAGTCCTATCATTAAAGCTGCTCGAAAGACCCATGATCCACCAGATAATGGCCATCAATAGTACTGATCTCCATTTCGAAAACGAAGCTCCGCGTGAATTTCTCTTCCTTCGGTTCGAGATTAATAGCTAGATGCCTTTTAGGGAGCACAGGAGTGACTCACGAAGGGAAATGCGTCTAGAGGGCTTTAAATTGGTTAAAGACAAGCATACAAAAAGTCCCGCACAATTCTCAACGCTAGAACTTTGAAGATTGAATGGTCGTCAAGCAAGTGCTGGCCCAAGACATCGATGAAATCAGCAATGTCGGACTTTGGGGCTAATTGCAACGGCACTCATCCCAATCTGACCTTAGTCACGATCACTCATGGGAGGAATACCACTGTTCTAATACTTCTGAATCCAAAACCACAAACAGCTGACTGACTGACTGACTGACTGAACACACCCGGATATGAACCGGGCAATGCTAAACGACAAAAAACTTTTCTTCGCAGAGTGTCTCGGGGCATTAGGCAATCATCTGATCTTGTGGCTTGTCAAATGATCCAAAATCATTTCTATCATCATCAAAACCAACATTCTTATTGATCCCACGCTCCGCCAAAACATTACCATGTAATGCAAATGCCTGTTCCATCTTCCAGTGGAAGGGACTTGGTGTAGAGAACAATGTTTCGATCGATTCCAGGGAACGATTACATGTTTCAGGGTAGACTAAATCGTTAACTGTGATCTTCCAAAGATGAATTCTAAGCGGGACGTACAGAGATAGATAATGGGGATCCAAAGTAAATTGAGACCGGCGAAGAGGAAGTAAGTACGGCTCTGTTGAAGCGGTGAGTAGCTGTTCATGCGACGTGAAGCTTTGTAAAAGTTCCCAAACTTACTGTCAGGGCCTCAAACATGACTGGATTGACCAGGGTAGTCATCCCAACACCGATAGCCCATCCGGTAATACCAAAGCCATTGCCCTGAGCCCGTAGATCGCTCGGAAATATCTCTGTGGGCACCAGAAATGCGACAGTACCCCAAGTCGCAGCATAACTACCATGGGGTAACAGATTAGTATAGAAAAGGCTCACGCTGGAGATGCTCGACATACCTAAGATTGAATAAAAACAACATAGCCACAGCCCCGGGAGCGTACTGAGCCGCCTTGTCGGGATTCTGCAACGAGCCCTCGTAGACAGCCCCAGCCTATGACATGGTTAGAAGTAGACCAATCAGTTTCCTGAGAGGTGGGGACGCACAATCAAATTGACGATAAACAACAGGGCTGCACCACCGATCAGGCAGGCACGTCGGCCTAAGCGATCGACAATTTGGGCACTGATGAGGGTACCAAAAATACCAATTGTGTTGATACCACCAGCCAGACCGTTTATGGTGATTTCGCTATACCCGGCTTGCTTGAGGAGAACCGGAGCATATGCAGTGACAGCCTGGATTTAATGTTAAGAAAATTTGAATAACACCAGCTGGACACGAAAGAAAACACTTACAGTGATACCCGTCCAGGAGGCCATGATCTGCAACCAGACACAAAGCCAAGCTCGCCTGCCCAAATTTGGATGCATCTTTCCACTTTGCCCAAACAAGATTTTTGCGAATTGGAAAGAGCTGCTACGTTTCCCCTCCTCGGCCAATGTCACAATCTCGAAAAACTCATGGTCAATTTCTTGAGGGGTGGCGCGGTGTCGACGAAGTTGATCTAGCAATTCACGAGCCTCTTGTTTGCGACCCACTGAAGCGAGGTATCGGGGACTGTCGGGTAACATCTTGATGCAGGAGAGAAGGATCAAGGCTGGAACGCATTGAAACGCGAGCAAGAACCGCCATCTCACTTCAGAATAGCCGTTGTCGATGAACGCGAGACCGAAAGAGATCCAATATGCGACCGATATCCCAAGGTCTAAAAAGCGTAAGTATGAAGTTGGCGAAGGATAGCGTTGGGGGTCATGTTACAGTTTGCAACGAAAACGTAGCCTAGAAAACCGCCACGATGATCTGCTGAAGAGGTTTCCGAGACCAAAACAGGCGTGATACCAGTCAAAGCTGCGCCATTGTGAGCGATCGCGAGTGCGGAAACTTGCCAACTTACTCACCTCCAGTGCCAATACCGGTCAAAACCCGAGCACAAATCATGAAGTTCGAGTTCTGAGCGGCACTCTGTAAAGCCCCGCCGACCAAGGCGAACGACGCACCCATCAGAAGACCATTGATGCGGCCGATTCGATCAGCCAAGTATCCTCCAGCAAAGCAACCGAAGATAGCACCCAGGTAATAGACACTGACAATGCCGCCCTGGTGCGTGGTGTTGGTCACTGTGCCATCTGGCTTACCGATACCGACCTCTGTGACATAATTAGGCGCAGAGTTGACGCCGCCCATGACACCTTGGTCATAACCCTCGAAGAAGATGGAAATGAGGGAGAAAATTTGGATAGTAACATTCAGCTGGCGCGGCGAGAGCCGCTTCCACAACGTCGTATATCCCATTTTTTCGGTGTTGCCCTATCCAAATTTATTCTTCGGAATCATCGGACTCTCGAGATTGCTTTATATACAAAGTGGGGCGTTCCCGGGCCATCGGAACGCAGGACATTCTGGGGAAAGTCGGGGCGAGTATACTGATCCTTAATCATTTAAGCGTGTAGCCGCTCAATGGAGCCGCTGAGCTCATTCTTGCGCTGTCCTTTGTCATCCGTCGGAATCACTGGAAGCTCATGAGACCTGATATAAGGTGGGGCATCCCCGGCAATCAGCATGCAGCAGAATCTGGAGAAGAGTGGGATGGCTCGACTTTGGCACGACTCATTTAAGCGTTTGGCCGTTTAGCAGCGCTCACTGAAGCTTTGAACATATTCTATCCTGATCCCCAGTGCCCCCAGCCAAAAAATTTGAAATAGGCATTTTGCCGTCGACCCGTTTAGCCGGCGCGAGCATGAAACCATTCTCCGGGCCATCGGAATCGGAATGTCGAGCTTGCCACCTATTTACCATTCAGCCGGCCGCGGGACTTCGGCCTCCGTTAAATACGGCCGAGATCCTCACTCGTGTGTCTCTCTTCAAAATCCGGATTGAGACGTTGAGGCCCCCGTAATTGATCAAACAATGGCTTCCAGCACGACCAATGGTACTTCTGGTCATGCCTTGGACCTGACCGTCCTCGGCCTGAACAGCGGGACGTCGATGGTGAGTCCTCCACTTTGATCGTGGCAGGACTGTTAATCTCACAGTGAATTAAGGATGGTATCGACTGTGCCCTTTGTCATTTCCGCCAAGAGACTCCCGAGTCCCCGATGCACTTTGAGCTTTTGAAGGTAAACAAACTGACTGTTCTCGCGAAGCATCATTGACATTGGTAATAGTATGGAGAAATCCCGCTGGAACCAGTTATCAAGAAACGGATCATGAACATGATCCTGCGCAACCACACATCCCCATCCGAATTATCCAAAGTGAATGTCATCCTCGGCGAGACATTTGCATCTGCAGTCCATCAATTCTGCAAGGATCAAAATGTCGATATTGAATCCATTGATGTGCTAGGCTCCCATGGTCAAACGATCTGGCTTCTCTCTATGCCCGAACCTGGAGAGACCCGTAGCGCATTGACGATGGCCGAAGGCTCATTCCTAGCCTCACGCACCGGTATCACCGCAGTGACCGATTTCCGGGTGAGCGATCAAGCTGCCGGACGACAGGGTGCACCGCTGATTGCCTTTTTTGACGCCCTTGTGTTACACCACCCGACCAAGTTGCGTGCCTGTCAAAATATCGGCGGTATCGCCAACGTATGCTTTATCCCGCCTGATACCCACGGCGGCGTGGACGAATGTTTCGACTTTGACACCGGCCCTGGCAATGTTTTCATTGATGCGGTAGTGCGCCATTATACAGATGGCGAGCGCGAGTACGACAAAGATGGTGAGATGGGTGCACGCGGCACCGTCGATCAAGAGCTTGTGGACGAATTCCTTCGTCACAAGTATTTTGCACTTGATCCGCCGAAGACGACGGGTCGTGAAGTTTTCCGAGATACCCTTGCGCACGACCTCATCGCCAAGGCTGAAGCAAAAGGACTTAGTCCTGACGATGTTGTCGCGACGATCACCCGCGTCACTGCGCAGGCTATTGTGGACCACTACCGTCGGTATGCTCCGAAAGACCTTGAAATAGCAGAAATCTTCATGTGCGGCGGTGGTGCCTATAATCCCAACATCACCGCGTACATTCAAAAACACTATCCAAACACTCGTATCCTAATGCTTGATGAGGCCGGCATTCCAGCGGGCGCGAAGGAGGCTATCACTTTTGCCTGGCAAGGTATGGAGGCTGTGGTGGGTCGTTCCATTCCAGTCCCTACACGCGTTGAGACCCGTCAAGAGTACGTGCTTGGGAAAGTGTCTCCTGGGAAAAACTACCGGCAAGTTCTACGCCAAGGTATGCAATTTGGTGCTGGGCGTGACCACCTAGCGCCGGTGAAGGAACTGGTCAACTATGTCGATGGCAAAGTTTTCAACAACAAGTGGTAGACCACCTCTTGGAATAAAAAAAAGAGGGGAAAAAGGGTTGAAATCAGTACGACCATGCTGCAAAGGACGACGGAAATCGTCCATAAAAAGCAATTTGTTATATGTAGATAGACTAAGCACAATGCAAATACAATCAACGCAAAATCGATAGGCTGGCTCGCCGTCCGGCTTGCTAAGTGCCACCCGTCCTGCGAAACAAACCGTAGCGTTGATGAGTCCAGACGCCAGGCGATGATCATCACGGATGGTCGGGGTCCGTAGCCGCTTGGTTTGAGAGTGTTGACTTACATTTCATGATTCGAGCTACATACGGACAAAATGACAATCATGATGTGAAACTCAATCTTCCAGTTTCTTGCATCCGGGCCTAGCTCAGATGCAATATACATAGAAGGCGGATTCTTCGCATGTGGTAATAGATTTGCCGCGGGACTCGAGTAACATGCCACTTGCATCCTTGATAATTTAATGCTTGCGCTAGAATTTACGGTGGACACTCTTGGAGCCTCGCATGTGCTCCTAATGCTCAATAATTACGTTGAAGTCAACTATGAATGCCTTTTCTTATGATATGATGAGAACCACAGATGCCACTCAATCAATTGCATCAACGACAGATTCAAACGACATCGCGAATTGAATCGTCAATACGCTGTTGCATTCTCATACTTACCGGTGTGCATGGCATTGTCATGACTAACGAATACTTCATGATACTGAGTTGCGAGACGATGAACCTCAAAGTTGAGGCTTAATCAGGCCAGCCTCTACCTCCCTTTTGGCATCTTCCCTGAGAACACGTTTCAGAATCTTACCACTGGGGTTCTTTGCAATGGCACCCACAAATTTCACACCACCAGTCAATGCTTTATATCGAGCAAGGCGCTCTAGGACGTATCTCTGTATTTCTTTTTCCGTTGGTGCAGGTCCTTCTGTTCGACGTCGTACAACATATGCACGAGGAAACTCCGTATCTGACCCTGGAATGGTGATACCGATGACCGCTGCATCGACAATGTAGGGATGAGACAAAAGTACAGCTTCAACTTCAGGTGGTGCAACCTGAAAGCCCCGTACTTTGATCAACTCTTTCTTTCGATCTACTATGTACCACTTTCGGGTCATTTTATCACAATACGCAATGTCACCTGTCCTGAACCATCCATCCTCATCAAATGACACTGCGTTGGCCTCGGAGTTTTGGTAGTAGCCCGGCGTAATTGTAGGTCCACGAACACATAGTTCACCCCGAACATTGTAAGCCGATATGTTCTGTCCGTCATTGTCAACCAGTCTGACATGAGCGTGTTAGCAATGAGTGTGTAATGGAATGGCGATATTCCTACTTGGCTTCCAGGTTCGGGATCAGTCGCCCCACGGACCCAGTATCATCATGCTCCGGGTAAGGGAACATTGTGGCGATGCATGATGTTTCTGTCATACCCCATACCTGGTTAAATGGGCTCTGGTCACCCATGAGCGTTCGAAAACGTGCTTGCACATCTTTATCCAACGGGGCGGCACCACAGATGGCAAGCTTAACCTTTTTCAAAAAGGGGCGTTTGTGAGATAATGGTGACATCAAAATTGCAATCACGATAGGTGGCACCATAGCCAGATCAGTCACATTATACCTCTCTACTACAGTCAAGAATTGCTCCAAGTCGAATCGCCGCATCATGTACGCCACGGAACCGGCCTTCAGAGTGGATATATGAGTTACTGGTGCTGCAGAAGCATGGAAAACAGGAACTGCAATGATCCGGGAAATCTAAATGGGTTTAGGGTCAGAGTTGACCGCTCGTCGATCTCAGGAGCCAGGGAGAAATAGCTTACAGGATATGGTCGCGGGTTCGCACCAAGAACAAGCTCATGCTGCGCAATCAAGTTCAGATGCGTGATCGTCACTGCCTTTGGAAGGCCCGTGGTTCCGCTGCTGAATAGCCTTGCGGCAGCTGTTTTCTGGGCAATTTCCAAGTCATCAAATCTAATCCAGTCATCCTCACCGAATTTCAACAATTCCTTCCAGGATTTCATGCCACTTGGAAGAGATTGTCCCAGACAATCAAATATCCAGACTCTCTCTTTGGGGATCCCTGTTTGCTGTGCAGCCTCAAGTAGAGACGGTAGTATTTCGGGTTCAGAGATGAGAAACTTGCTCTCCGAGACATTGATGTGATGCGCCAGCTCATTCCGTGTATATGCAGGATTTGAGCCCGTGAACACACCGCCAGCCCCGATTATTGCCAGTACCAGGATACTATAATTGATCTGGATCACATCAGATGACATTCCAAGATGCGGGTCCAGTTTCCGACAAAAATGCGACATACGTCATTGAAAGAATGTACAAGGACACAGTCTCCATTGCGGAAGCCAGAGGCACGTAACCCCGAAATGAGAAGGCGTACTAACTTCCGAGCTTGGTTACATGAGATTGAGCGTGAATGGTCTCGAGTGTCGATGAAGATCTATTTGATTTCAGGGTTTTCAGAGGGGTTCACCACGGCTTCAAAGCTCTGGTTCCAAGTCTTACTGGCTGATCTTCGTCATAAGGCGGATCGTCAAATATGTAGGACAAAACGTCTTTGGTGGGAAGCAAGATTCGTTCTGTCGGCTCGAAAATCATCGTGGCTCGGCTTGAGAATGTGTACGGGTGGGGTTCTCGGGATGGCAGTGGTGGAAGGAGGGCCCCTGAACGCGAGCGGATGCCAATATATGCCGTAGAAGCCAGATCACAATTTACTTATCGTGCTCGGAGTCATCCAACTTAAACGATGTGATGCACTGAAGTGATCCGCGGCATCAGCTGTGCCCCTCATTAAGCAGGGATCGGAACTCGGTTGGAGTGAGGATGGCCGAAACGAGCAGGATCTGCTGTCGGTGGAAAGCTTACTGAGGCGGGGAAGATGAGGCGAAGTTAGGCATGTGCAAACATGCCATGAGATTTCATGAACATGCAGCACTACCATCCGGTGCTGTATACGCATTCTCCTGCCCATAAAGAACTCTCATGGCGTGTTATTCCTGCACGTTGACATCTCTTTGCCCGCCCCACCCCCGCTTCTCCTGGTAAATGGAGGGAGAACAACGTCAACGTAAGCTGTGTTCATCGCACATGACATTGTCATTTACAGTATTTGGTAGCCCGGCTAACGTGCTTTCTAATTGGCTTTTCAAAAACATATTTTGGAATTGATTTGTGTGGAATGCTCCAAAGCCGCAAGGGAGAGAGCTTCTGCGCATGGGCTCAAACACTTTCGATCCTCGATCGGGCTTAGACACAAGAGATCTAAGACGCTCAAAACGAACTACATTAGGCATTCTAGTCATTATGTGGTGCTAGTTTCCTTGATGATGCCCGCATGTACCAACTGGGATCATTTGTTCTGAAACTGTACACATCTCGCGTTTCAAATCATGGGGCTGTAGCATTGAGGCAAAAAGTCCCATTCTACCTACACTTTCTTCGTGAACAAGTAAGGCAGAGCCCCCAAATTTTTATCTTATTATGTCTTCCTGCAGCAAGATCCAAAGCACATATTTGCAGCTATGGTTTCGAATCAGAATGTTTGTGGGAACCTTGAAATTACCAAGAGATCAATCAACGGAGGATCTTACCATTGAAGTTTCCCACACGCGCGGGTCCTTTGGACCTTCCACTGGTGCTCTCTCTGCCACATAATTAGTCAATCTGGTGGAAATCCACGTCGGCTGGGGTGAGAACTCACTTGGGAACCAGCGCAACATCGGATTGATTGTCATCGATCGTCCACCGACCTCTGTTTCTTCGGAAAAACACACCTTTGATTCCCCAACCCCTGGAAAATTGTTGCAAATAAGATTGCATCCTTCCAGTGCTGTATGGTGAGTCGCTTTCGACCCCTGGGGACAGAAGGGTGCTAAAAGTAGATTCGGACTGTGGTGAAACTTGGTCATTCTACAGGTGTCTTATATCAGGCAAAACTCTCGGCAGGCCCTGTTTCCCAAAAAGTATACACTGATGATGATAAAATCTTTACATCGCTTCGCCGATGCAGAATAAGAAATTTGCCTGCAAATGAAGCTACTCGGGCGTTGCATGATGGCAACGGTGAGCAACGTTTGCCAAGGACGGCCGATGGCTTGCATTTTGCCGACACTCCCCATTGACGATGATCGATTATGATCAGTTCGTCCACATGAAACCGGCGAGCACCCTGCTTGACATCTTCTTCCAGGCGGAGGAGAGCCGCAACTCGGATGGGCGATGAATCCACTCAGATGGATCCAAGACCACTTGAGAGCGATCCGCCGGACCCACTGAACTCGGACTTTGCCGCACCACTACCAATATACGCTACATCGGCCATCTTCTCTTCTGAAGTTTGCCGAGCTGTCGAATCAAGATTACTCGCCGGCATATTATGTTCCAGAAGTACATTTGCTTGCTGATCCCCCTCTCACTCGCCGGTTTCGTGGCCGACCGCAAGCATGTCATCGCCATCGCCTCCTCCCGCCCGGCCCTATCGGTCGAAGCGTCACCGGCCCTGCGATCAATGCCGGTCCCGAAAATTGGGTTGCCAGACAGATACGGGTCTGCCATGCCAGCGATGCCGAGCTGCCAAGCTTGAATGCACCTTCGATAACCCACCGCCGAAACGGGCACGTCTCTCGGAGTCACTATCGATTGTCTCGCCAATCATCGATGAAGTGCCGTTGCCCTCACAAAGCGGGTGTATTCTGGGAGAAGGTCCGTATCACGCTCGATCGGCCTCTACAAGTGTCGAACCCCCCCTTCCCATTGCTTGACCTCGGCCAAGGCCATGGGCCATCGCCAGGGTCTGGGACATTATTGGGCAGTCGCCCACCAACCCAGTTCGTGCAAAGTATCGACCAGCTGATTCACGGGCACGCACAATTATTCGGTGCGTCGGCAGAGTCCGACCCCTGGCTACTGAGACATTGCCGCTTCGATGAGTCTGGGATGAAGTTTTTTTACAAAGTACATTACCGCAATGCCGGAGGAGTCCCTACTGCACAGCGAATACCGATCCACTTCATGATTACATCTGATGACCTCTCAGCGCCAATGAAAAAGGAAACCCGAGCAGGCATTGGAGAAGTAACAAGAGAACACCTCAATAGTCTTGTTCCTCCAGAGTATGGACGAAGGCTAGTCGCACTGTAAGTATCGAGCCGGATCTCTCCCGGTTTTATTCAAAGGACTAATTCAGAAATCAAGATTTGTAAAGTACGTGTTTCCTGCGCTTCCGGTCATCTCACGCTCCCAGCTTGGGTTAAGCACGACGTCGTATCAATTACCAGAGCTAGATGCATTGACGAATGTGCCCGTGCTTCTCTTGGCGGCCGTTTACGCATCTGCGTTCCCATTTGTTGCCCATGATGATTATCTCTGTGTGTTAAATATGTACCACACATCTCCAGTACAAAGTCTTTGGCGCATGGTGTATGAGAGCATATCAGAGGAGATCCACAGCCCTCGCCTTGCAGTGTTACAAGCTGCTTTGCTTTATGCCCACCAGAAACCACTTGGTGACGCACAGTATACGACCGCCGAAACTCCATTCCTGTGGTCTTTTGTGGGTCAGCTTGTCGGCTTGGCCTGTTCGCTCGGCGTTCACATTGAATGTCGCATGTGGGGAATTCCGGCATGGGAAAAACGTCTGCGGCGTCGTTTATGGTGGGCTGTTTACGCCGAAGACAAATGGCGCAGCTTGCTGATGGGGCGGCCCCCGTATATTCACCCAGACGAGTGGGACGTAAGTGAATTGGACGAGGGTGATTTCCTGGTAGGTCCTCGGCAAGGATTTTCTACCTGTTCCTGTGATACCGAAATACCGTTTCGGTATCTAGTGAACTTGGCCAGGATCGCCGACGAAATACACGAAACATTCTAGTGAGTCATAGTCTCCACTTTTTGAACCAAACAGATCACTAAGTATCTTGTGCAGCACCTTAAGAGCTTCTCAGATCTTGAACGCAAACTTTGAATCTTCGGGCGAGCTCGGCCGGGCTCTCTTGGAGAAACTAAATTCGTGGTACTCGTCTTTGCCTGAGAGTTTCCGCCTGCCAAATTGGAGCAAGTCGGTCAGTGGCCTAGCACCGTATCCGACTTCGATACATTTTGCCTACCTGTTACTCATCGTCTATGTGTACCGTGCAATGCTTCGACCAATGGCACGCTCGTCCAGCCCTCCGATAATATTTGATCTGGAGGAAATGGCCACTTCGCCATTGCCAGTGGATGACTCCACACTAGATTTCACGGACATATCTACACTTGGATCTTTGCCTGAGATTGCTATGCCGGATGTACATGGTACTGGAGAGATAACTTTGCATGCAGCCGAGAAATGCGCCACGATCTTGGTGAATTTCACGAGAAGACTGACTCCTAGTGATTTCACCGGTTTCTGGTATTCCTGTGAGTATATGACGGTACTTCCATTAATGATGTGCCCCTCTTTGCTAACTCTACCGAAGGGTCTCGGATTGGTTTTGCGACCGTTTCGAACTTTTTGATGTTATTGCTTGTGCAAGCTCCGAATGTTGCCCATGCAATCCGGGGGAAGCAATTAGTAGAGTCATGGTTGCAAGTCTTGCGGTGCCAGAGTCAAAGCTTCCCCCTAGTGAAACTTGGTCTGGCTCGTTTAGATGCTTTGCACTGGGCAGGACTCGCGGAAACTTTTGTTCTCCCCTCACATGTGCAACAAGTGATAGCTAATGCAGACGACCGCAGGTCCATGGGATAGAAGTATCGCAATGATTTTCGTCAACGCAGGAAGGTCTGCGCCACACCTCTTGCCTCCTATGTTGGTTCTTTCGCGCAGAAAACCCTTGCTGAAAAAGGTCGCGTATCTTCCCACCTGCGAAACACCTACTCCCTAGGAAGTTCGTGGTGTTAAAAGACGGGACCTCAACCTTAGTTTATCTCCGATCTCGCGAAATGCGATTTATCTTCCGTCTGCCGTCACGATCGGGATTCCCCGCATCTTTTATCCCGTATCAACCCACATTCCACGTTCCATCTTCTTCCCGTGCCCACTGTACACAAATATTGCCGATCGCCATGTAACGCTGCAATCGATGCCCCTTGCGTGAACGTATATAAAGAGGAGAAGATCTCTCATTTGGCAATATGGATCACGATGAAGTGGCCCTTTTGTTTTCTAGCGCCTGCAGCTGTGGCTCTGCAGACCTTGCCCCCGATTCAATTCATTAGGGTTCCGAGCTCGGGTGGATTCTCTCTTGCATCCACAGAACGTGTTATCTATGTCGAGAAGGGGTTTTCTGACTGGAAAGATCAGCATGGCCTAACTTTGGTTCCACCCTCGGTATTTCAGTTTGCGGGACTATTCCGTGATGATCTCCAGGAACTCACCAACAGTACCTGGGACATTCGAACCGCGCAGGAATTTCCAGAACACGCATCAGGAATATTTCTTGGTCGCTCACCAGCGCAAAATCATCTGACCTATGAGGATGGCACAACTTCAGAAGAGGGGTACGAAATCGTGGTCCAAAATGACCGTGTTTCTATCCTGGGTTCAGGCGCGCGAGGAATGTGGTGGGGAACTCGGACACTGCTGCAACAACTCGTTCTGAACTCGCATTCAATCCCGGCTGGTCGTGCGCAAGATGCACCCGCTTACGCGACGAGAGGCTTCATGTTGGATGCCGGTCGGAAATGGTATTCTTTGGATTACTTGAAAGACCTTTGCACCTACGCCTCATTGTTCAAACTATCCGAATTTCATTACCATGCAACGGACAACTACCCTCTGTCACGAGGACCGAATATGACCTGGAACGATGTGTACTCCCAATTTTCTCTCAGGCCGGAGAACCCGGAGCTTATGCCCCTAGTTCAACGAATCAATGAGACTCTATCGCGATCCGAGTTTGATGACTTTCAGCGTCACTGTGCTCTGCGAGGAATTACGGTGATTCCGGAGATTGAAGCCCCAGGGCATTGTCTATCGGTGACTAAATGGAAGCCAGAGTTGGCCTTGCACCAACAGGATCTACTCAACCTGTCACACCCAGAAACAATTCCACTCGTCAAATCAATCTGGACGGAATTTCTTCCTTGGTTCCATACCAAGGAGGTTCACATTGGCGCCGATGAATACGACGCCACGTTAGCCGATGACTACATCGGTTTCGTCAATGAGATGTCTCGATTCATCTATCAGACCCACCAAAAGAGCATTCGGATCTGGGGCACCTACGAGCCATCCAAGTCTCGGTCAATTGACCGAAACATTACCATACAGCATTGGCAGTACGGACAGTCGGATCCTGTACAGCTGGCTCAAACTGGATACCGCATCATTAACTCTGAAGACTGGTGGGCTTATCTGTCGTTGAAGAACGATCATGTTCCCATCACACCAGCTCCCTATCCTCAGTTCTTTAATAATTCCCGTGTTTTGGATTTCGCCGACATCGAAGGTTGGCAGTGGACCCCACAGCTCTTCAATCCAGTGAACAAGACAGAGCAGCCCGACTCAAAAGCTGTGCGGGGTGCCACTATGGCGGCATGGAATGACAATGGGCCGGATGCAACTACACAGCTAGAGGCGTATTATGCGATCCGAAATGGTATCCCTGTTGTTGGATCACGCGCATGGTCAGGGACCCGCGGACCTAGACTTTCTGTGTCTACCCTGGACGACTCTATTGCGCGACTAACAGCACATGCTATTGGTCAAAACTTGGACCGAAAAATCTTCCGAGAGTCAGCGCAACCTCTCGATCCAGTTTTCTCATGGAGCAAACCTCAGGCGGACCCCTCCCGGCAGGGCTATCCGATAGGACTGGGCAGCAAGGGAATGAATTATACCTTGCGATTGGATGTCACCGGTCCCTTTACCATTGAGTCAACCGATACTACTCTTTCTTTGTCTGAAGATGGCCAGTTAATCTTTACCGCTGACGGATGGCCATATCCTCTTCGTTCCGTTGCAGAGACCGATGGATTTGACTCGGCTAAGCCTGGGAGAATCTGGGCAAACATGACCAGCTCGAACCACAAGGTCGTCGAGGTGCCTAGGGATGCCCATATCACTATCACTACAGATGAAGTCTCCGGCAGCCGTGTATGGATCGATGGTTATTTCGTAGGGCGCTTCGAGGTTTTCGTGTATGGTGGTCATAACGAGAATTTCTCATGGAGCCAAATGGCCTTTGTAGCCCCGCTCGATGCCGTTCATGGGACAGGGTTACAGAGCATGACACTTGAAGGTTCTCCCTGATCAACTGTATTCTCACTGCTCTATATCAGCTGAATCACCTCAGTGCTTAGCTCTGCGAGAATTATTTCACACACAACATGCCTCTTATATCAAGTATGCGCCCACTTGAACTTCAAAGAGCCAAAAATCTAGTCACTTGTTGCAAATTAAGCAAACGATAAACGAGCGAGCTTGGTTGTGCAAAGGATCACCTGCATTCTAAGTCAATGACCTAAAATCATGTACAGGGCTAGAGATAAAGCGAACATCTGCTCAACATATTATAGATCAAACCGAGTTCGATCATTTTGTCAATCTCGGCAAAGCCATCATCGCCAGTCTTGGTGTTCCCTTCTTGAAATATGATAAACCCTGAAGAGGCTTCAGCGACCCAAGCTCTCTCTGCATTCTATTAAGACACAAAACGATAGACAGGTGGTATATATCAATTGTGGGGGTAGAAAGTGACTTGGTCAGCAAAGTCGCATGCCTCCTGTGCAAGGATTGCAGAGCAAGAGTTGCGCTGCCAAGAAGCTCGTCATCAGAACACATTCGTCCCGAGCATAGCTTGGCATCCTAGGCGTAATACCCGAGCTGAGAGTCCGCATTCTCGGCGTGAGTCATAGCCCGCATAGTGACCGATGTACTAATGATCGGAGGTACAATGCATGATAGCGGCCTGCCTAAGGCGCATCCTGCAGGCGCTGATGCAAACTATCGGGCTTGGCCCTTACTCAGCGGCACTACCTGCAACGTTCCCCCTCTTCTTGGATGGTCTTGGAAGGTGGTTTATCCGGGTAAGAAGGATGCTTCTGCTCGCGCTCATTAACCATCAGGACTATTTTGAGGGCCACAGAAACCATCACCGAGCCGAGGAATGATTTGACGTCGTTCGATAGCAGCCTTCAACGTGTCAAATCAAACTCGCTCCCTTGGTTTTCTTCGCGGGGTTCATTCAACTTGTCAATGGACCGAGAAAAAGACGTGTTCATCAGCCTAGCAGCGTTCCTGAACGACGAAGTTCAATCTCTTCACGCCGACTTGCTTCTCTTCACTTGCTGCTTAACTTCCGGGTTAATTGATAGCACGATATACAATGGTGCGAATCGCTCCGAACTGCTTTGATGGAGTGCTAACTTGCGTAGCCTACAATACTTTTGTGTCAATGCAGACAGGTGAGACGCAAGTCCCTTGCAAAGACTGGCGCCTGAGATATGATAAGCTGACAGTTCGTGCTGCGTCATAGGGAATACTATCTTTGTCGGACTGGGCGCATCGAACCAGAATCCACGCCCATACGGATGGGCTCGGTCTCTGACATCCATTGGATGTTTCACCGTGGGATGCTTCCTCTTCGCATGGCTGAATCGTGCTGTAGGGGCACAGCGGCGCGGATCCTTGATGCTATCATTCCTCATCCAGGCCAGTATCATCCTGATCACTGCCAGTTTGATTCAAACTGGTGTTGTCTCGAGTAAGCTGGACAGCCAGTCGCAAGGAACAACGCACTGGAGCCAAGAGGTCCCCATCGTTCTCCTTAGCCTTCAATCGGCGGGTCAGATCGTTGCGAGCCGCGCCTTGGGTTTCAATGAAATCCCAACCGTGGTGATCACGAGTCTTTTGTGTGATCTGATGTCGGATCCCAAGCTCTTTCTGTTACGAAACGAAAAGCGCGATCGACGCGTCGTAGCCTTCATTTTGACCTTGATTGGTGCCATCGTCGGCGGTTGGGTCACGAAGGCTACCGGCGAGATCGCGCCCACCCTCTGGTTGTCAGCAGGTATCAAGCTAGCCGTAGTGATCGCATGGGGTTTCTGGAAAACCGGTTCATAAATCGCCCAATGTGTTGTTACGCGGCTGGGTTGGGAACAAATTGTCGAGACGAAGGCGCGGGTCTTTGTTGCTTGGTTCTTGTGGTACTCAAAATGGTTCAGTCGATATGCTTGCCCTAGAGAGGGATCGGAATAGAACACAGTGGCTTGCTCTACTAGCATGCACCTCGCTAGGATGATGCTCTTGGCCAATATCATGAAGATCGAGTATACAATCCGGACCTGTGAACAAGTTGAGTTGAGTCAGCGACTCGCCATCAGCAACCAAGTTCGAGTGATTTTGACCGTATTTGATTTTCCAGGATTTGAATTCTTGTTGAAGTTGTACAACTTCGCGTAGGTGATTGATATTTTAAAGTTTTCGAGCACATGAATGCATCGCTTGCGGTCTCCTTTGATGGCCTATCTTCCCAGTCACGATCTGTCAGATCCATTCATGAGTCATAGTAGACCTTTGGATGCAATAGCGTACAATTGCCGAGTTTCATCAACTGAGGCCCTTAATGACCGAGCAATCGCTGACAAGGGTCAAGGATCAGATTTCTGGTTTATATTCAAAAGGGCAAAGAGTCTGGAGCCACACTTTTGATTGGTGGTGAACATCTAGGCGAAGAGGGCTATTTTGTGCAACACACAGCCTTTGCGGATGTGGCCGACGACGCGAAAATAATGAGTGAAGAGATCTTCGGTCCCGTGGCAGTAAGTGACTTTGGTCCATCTGAATCCTACAGAAATGTACATCCTAACGAGGTCGCCCAGGGCATTGCCAGTATTCTACTGAGGAGGAAGTCATCGCAAAAGCCAATTACTCTCATCACGGTCTGCGTGCTGCTATTTTTACCAACGATGTAAAATGAGCGTATCGAGTATCCAGGGAGCTTGAGTGCGGCCAGATAACTGTTAATACGTGGGCAATGTCCGCACCAAACGGAACGTTTGGTGGGATGAAGGTGAGCCGATTTGGAAGGGACATGAAGCCTTGGAGGGCTGGACAACGAAGAAAGCAGTCAAGTACCATATTTTTCCGCGCCTTTGATGAGACTATACGCCCTAAGAAGAGATTATAATTGCTTTGATACTGAAGCAGATTATTCTCAATTGGTGGGGAGTGGAATAGGGTGCATCTTGTGAAACACGTTCTTCGGATCGTATTTGAGTTTGACGGTCTGCAGACGTGGTAGATTTGCTCCATAGATATTTGGGACCACAGAGTCTCCAGCTGAGATCTGATTAATACGTGGGTTGACGAACCGTTGCTGAGGAAAGCTCAACTTACGTTCGGCATAGTTAATGTATTGTGGTACAATTTGACCTTGCGAGTCGTCCTTAGCTCTCGCATCCAGTTCAATCTTCCATTTTGACCGAATCTCTCGTGCCCAAGACCGGTGATCTTGATCCTTCATCGAATCTGTCCAACGTAAGAAATGATACCATTCTGAGTGGAATTGCGACTGGAAAGTGCTGTGTCAGTCAACGGGACGTCGCAGATCTTTCGCATATCGATGAACTCGAGAATGATCGCAGACGCTGCCAGGTCGGAATCTTCCTCGATCTTGCTGAGTAGGTCATTGAAAATTGACCGAACAAATTTTGGGTCCAGTGGAGGCTCATAAAACACGTCTTTGAATGATTTGCGATCACCATACATCGCCTGGGCATTTTGTAGCGTGTTCACCACGGGGTAAGGAACCATATCAAGCGTGTTCAGAACTGGATCCAGAGCCGTGAAAGCAGCAAAGCGTTTCTGTCCCTCTTCCCGAGTCCCGTTATAGAAGCAGATGACAATAATGATGGGGCCGGAGACATCAGGTGCGTGGGGCGAAGATGCTCATCGCACCAGAGCGTGGATCGGGATTTGCTAGAGTGACATTCAGCTGCTCTACCACGACCTCCAGCTTTTCGACGGGAAACCCCAGTAGACCCGTATAAACGGGATCTTTCTGGACATATGCCCGATAAGTGAAGTCCACCACGACACCAAAATTGTATCCTGCGCCTTGCAGTCCCTAAAACAAGTCAAGATGGTCGATCACAGATGCAGTCACAACATTGCCATCGGCGAGGACCACCGTAGCAGAGAGCAGGTTGTCGATAGTCAACCCGTACTGTCCACTTAACCAACCATATCCGCCTCCCAGCGTCAAACCTCCGACACCGGTGTGATTCACGGTTCCTCCTACCGTCACAAGTCCAGAAGCTGCCCCGGCTTCGTCGACTTCCTTCCAGGTCGCGCCACCCTGAGCAGTAATCGTCTTCGCTGGTCAACTGTGACTTGATTCATGCCTGAAAGATCAATCACCAAGCCACCCTCACTGGAACTGGTACCGGCAGTCGAGTGTCCCCCGCCCTTGACGGCTATTTCGACTCCGTGATCTTGCGCCCACAGCAAAGCCGCCCGAATGTCTACGGGGTCTACTGGCTGAACCACGACGCCCTATTCCAGTCATTAGTCAGAGGGTGTATATCTGCGCTTTTTCTTCCTACCGCATGTTTCATTCCAGTATCCGACCATCGAATCAGACTCTTTTTGTATCCTGAAGAGTCGGGCGTATGAAGTGTCGCGGTCGCCAATTGACTGCGAAGGGCGTTGATAGTAGAAGCCCTGATAGGGCCCATTTTGGTTTCGAAGGAAGAAGAAGCAGCTGGCAGGACCGCTCACTTACCCCGACGTCTGTTATTTCGAACGATGCGGGGAGAGGGGTTCTCGGACCCGCTACACAGTGCCGCGACCGGGCACCAGTGGTATGGCACGGCTTTGCAAGTCTTGACTACGAGATAAGCATAGCTTCTGGATGATGCTTAATATCTTAGATGCCGAACCCGGAAGCTGCTTCTTCTGACGCAGCAGGGTTGAGACACGTCGATCTTCAACAGTACCCGATTTCTCTGTCACAAAAATTCCCTATCACAGAATTCAAGGTCCAGGGAACCTGCCTAAAACCAATAAACAAGCCGCAGAGCTACTTGGGAGACTGCTGGGAATACATGGAATACAGCTCTGGATACCATCGTTGTCCCACATCGGGGTGACTCAAGATGCGGTTTCTTAGATGCGCCTCCCCAAACTATTCTGTCGTCAGAATCTTTCATATAGCAGAGCATGAGAATCCTTACGCAGGCATAAAGAGGTGACATGAATTCACTCGGGACATCGATCGCGCGCTTCTTGTGGTTGTCCGCGGTGGGAATGGAGGACACAATGTGAGCGGCCGATTCCTTCAATGTATCCAAAGTCAGGTCCAACCGAACTCCGAGGAAATAGGGAATACTGTAACGTGTCCTGGATGTAGGTGCCTTTGAGACTTGTGTTAGTGGTTACGCAAATAACGATGCAGAAGACACCAATCTTACGACGACACGGTGAGTGGTAGCGGCACAGGCGCCTCCTGTGATAGCCTCAAATCCTTGTTGTATATTGATCACAAGGCTTCCATCGACTGGAGGAACATCCACCCATTCACCGTTCTTGTTGAGGACCTGCAGTCCGCCCGATTCATCCTGTGAAAGAAACGTGAACAGGCCTGCAGAATCCTTGTGCGGGCCAACGCCTTGGGACCCGGGCGCGGATTGCGGATATTTAACAAACTTCAGTCGACTCATGTTACCTCTGAACTGGTCAAAAGTATTGGCAGGCAGGCATAGGCATTCCGCGACTAGATGCACAAAGCTCTGTGCTAGCTCATCGATGGCAGCGAAATATTCCTCAACGAGTGTTTGCACGCCAGGATAGTCCGGGTACTAGGTCTTGTTGTCAGAGTCATGTCCGAACTAATGTAGACCAAATGGCGCACCTGGTTGGACCCTTCAAGTCGTTGCCAGAATGGATCCTGACTTGACCAGACCTTCATTCCTGGGGTGCCAAAGTCAAATTGCTTTGGCAATTAGCTTCAACTCAGTATACATTTACATGGGGAGCCTTGGATCGATTACCTCGCGGAGATCAGTCCTGGCTGCTGTTGTTTCAGCGCCGAGCCTAGTATATCCAAGAAAGGACGGAGATTTGATCATGTTGCATTTCTCTTTAACCTCTGATGGTAGTGCAAACAGGGCTGGCAGTGCCTCGTGGGCTCGACGAAAAAGATCCTATAATATGGTCAATCCAATTTTCAGCGGAGAGCACCGCGTCGTTCGTTTGTCGTACCTCCAAACCAGTATCGGTCAGATAGAGAAATCCCACCACGAAGATGGCCTCACGAAGTTTTAAAAGCTCGTCATCCTTGGTACTGGGGTCTTTAAGACGGGAAAAATCAACCTTGGGCACCGTTGAAAAGGTTTCCACCATATCGAATCGATCGCAATTCGCCTTAGTTAACGTGCAATTGGTGGCGCCACGGAGAGGACGTGAAACTGGCACTAACGTGGTTGGATAGAGTCAACGGCTGTAAGTGAGCACATATAGATGCACCCGATTTTTGACGTTTAGACCTGGCCTCGTCTCCAAACCCTTTCCTAGTTGATGTGCAATGAGTATTGCCCCTTCACGCGGGGTCGGGGTCCGGGTCAGTCTACATCCCGTCTAGGGGCGCAGATTACTCAGCTATTGCCGCATTAGACCGTGGACCAATCTCTCATTTCGAGCAGGTATGAAAAGAGTGCCTTGACATATTCATAGGCACTACATACTTCTCACCGCAAGGATAAGATAGAGGCAGAGCTCTGAAGCTGAGAAGGGCTGCCATAAACGCAGAAACTAAAAAAATTTCTGATTCCAACATTCACGTCTGTTCTTCCCTTTCTTTCCCAAAGATGTTTTTAAAGATAGAATAATCACGGCTCTGGAAGGAACCCTATCAGCACCTTTTCGAGACCTCCTATATTCTTCATCTTCATATGAGACCTCGATGCATGCGCCGAAAAGGCTTTGTCTAGTCAAGTCTCTGAAGGAAGAAACGCGAGATGAAACAGCTATCTCACATTGCATACTCCATCACGAGACACTTATCAATTGATTGATGGGAATGACAATACCTGGCCGCCATTCATCTCCGCGTGCCAAGATCCCCGGAGCATTATGAAACCTCAGCCTTCTTGGCGCCATTGCGTGGTTGTGGAAGTGGCTCTGAAAGAGTAATGAATTTCTTTGTGGAAAGTTCCTTCAAGTAAATCCATTGGAGGGAGAACACAATTCTCGTGCAATCAAATGGTGTAATTACATCTCCATCTAATGAAACTCGGAAAGTAACTGAGCTACGCTCCGAATGCCAAGAGCGGATTCCCCAGAGCAATTCCTGCTTTGCCTATCCTGTTTCCTCGCCGTTGTTTTGATTCCTTAGCTGCCGGAGAAAAAGCACCCATGCCCCTAACTTTGTTTCTCAGATGCCTGGTGACTATGGGGTAACTAATTTCCAGTATAATTCTCGTCCACAATGGCGCCATGCAGAGGTCTTGGAAGGACTACCAGCGGAGAAATTCTAAGAGTCTCGAAGTGTATATAAAGAGCGACTTTCCTTCGATTTGTCTATATAAAGATACTTGAATTCCTTGTAAACCGAGTCTTACTAGGCCTATCACATTTTCACTAAAACTTTGTTCTCGTTGCAATGGCCCCTTCAAAGTGGATTGCCGCTGTTCTTGCAGGCTACATTTCTGGACTTGCGCTTGCAGCCCCCACCAGCACATCGGAGTTCGTGAAGCGTGCAAATGTTGACGATGTGAGTTTCTGACAAGTCATTAAAGTGGTCTACCCTTCGACCAGCTAACATGTCAAACGCAGTCTGCGACGGGTTTTGCTAGCCAAAACGGAGGTACAACAGGAGGTGCTGGCGGCACTACAACCACCGTGTCTTCTTACGCAGCTTTCACCAAAGCCGTCTCGGGAGGCGATGCCAAAGTAGTGGTTGTCAGTGGAACAATCACCAAGACTGCTGATCAAGCTCGTGTGGGCAGTAACACCAGTATCATCGGCAAGAATTCGGATGCTATTTTGGAGAACTTTGGAATGTTTGTTACTTGTTCACTATGATCACGACCATTACTGACTGAATCTAGCCTTGTTAAAAAGCTTCCAACGTTATCATTCGCAACTTGGGCGTCAAGAAAGTGCTTGTAGATAACGGGGATGCAATTGGCATTCGTGAGTTGAATAGATGTTTGATTTCAAGATTGAAAACTAACCGTAACAGAGTACTCCAACAACGTCTGGGTGGATCATTGTGATGTGACGTCCGACAGAGATCACGATAAGGATGATTACGATGGCCTCATCGACGTGAGTAACTCCTCGTTCTACTCGGGACATAGTAGCTCATTGTATCTTACAGATCACACATGCCTCCGATTATATCACTGTATCGAATACATTCATTCACGATCATTGGAAAGCATCCCTGATTGGACTCGGACAACAACGGTGATGAAGACACTGGCCATCTTCATGTGACTCAAAACAACAACTATTGGTATAACGTCAATTCTCGGGCACCTTCTTTCCGTTTCGGCACCGGGCACATCTACAACAGCTATTTTGACATGTTGTCATTTCTTGAAAATGAAGAGTATCCATTCTCATTTGAACCAAGTCCATTAAGGAGAAAATTTCGCTTGACCTGCAAGAACGATGGATGCGCGGCCATCCCATCCTAGCTCCGTCCGTCGATCGAGCTCTAGTAGATAATCTATTACATTAGAAAAAAGAAATGGTATCAAGCCATAGTCTATATCCGGTACACCGCCCGACCCATGCAACCGTCGCTGAACAAGTCTGTCGACCACGCAGCTAGTAAACAGATTTCACGCCTTTAGAGGCTTTCTTCCTTCAGGAAAGAATGCAAAGATACCGAATCCTCACTGGGTGCTGGGCTTGGTATGGAGATTTTACTTGCATCGAACTCCCATGCCGCTTCTCGCTGATCTCAATGACTGCGGAGTGAAAAGGGCATCATCCACTCCTTGAGCCGACCCTCCAGCATACTCATATCTCGATTTCGCTCCCACATTCGTTGGGACGCTTTGAACGCATGGCTGATTGTATCCCGACGAAGGCGCTCATACGTTTCGAATACCACGGCTAGTGGCTCCGAGCGATACTGAGCTAGAATTCGAGCAAAAAGAATAGCGTCATCCAGAGCGTATGCGGCCGACTCGTCTCGGGGAGGCATCTGAAGAAAAGGGGTTTAGTGAGTCGGTACAGGAGATAGGCAGAGGAGTCTTACTGCATGGGCTGCATCCCCCAACAAGATCACTCGGTTCGTGCACCAGCGTCCTCCCGGGCGGACTTGATAAACAGGGTAGAGCATCCAATCAGCCTTGCTGTTCACCATTTCTCGAATACAGGGTATCGAGCATTTTCTAAACCGATCTTGCAGTTCGTTGCGCAGAGCGACCTTGATTCGATGTTGCGTTGCCCAGTCCTGGCCCGCTTCGAGCCGATAATCTTTCAGATTCTCCTCACTGAATTGCACGATAGCGGCGGCAAAGATCTGTTCGCGATCGCGATCACAGAAACTTGTCAACATCGACCCATGCCGTGAAACATTCAGGGCCGATGAGTTGAAGTGAACAGGTGATGAGATATCCTTGGAAGGAATGGTGGCTTGCAGGAATGATATGCCTGTGTATTGAGAAGGAGTGTCCGGGTCAATCCACAGGCTACGGACCGCTGAATGAACACCATCGCAGCCAATGACCAAATCACCAACGGCTTTGGTGCCATCGGCAAATCGTACCACGGCATGGTTCTCCGATTCTTCTCCGCCGACGACCTTCTTGCCAAAAATGATGTCCACGTTGGGTGTCCGCTCGACCATGGTCACCAGGGCCACCGACAGCACAATCCGCATCACTCGTCGACCTTTGTATCCCCCATAGCCATTGCCTCGATGATCGACGAAGTCAATCGAGCCGATCGAGCGGCCGGAACGCATTGAATAAAGCTCGATTGCATCCACCTCTGCTCCACCCTCGGGGCCCATCCGGTCCAGTTCATCCAAGATCCCGAGGTGTGCCAGATGGCGTTGTGCCACGGGTGTGAGGTTGATGGCGCCGCCCGACGTAGACAGAATGTCATGGCGCTCGAATATCGTGATTTTCAAACCTGGCACGTAGGGGGTGAGTTCTTGTGATAGAGCGAGGGCGCAAGCGATGCCTGCGATGCCCGCGCCGGCGACGATAATGTGGTGTGAAGGGCCTAAGGAACCCATGTCGCGCAGCGAGAAGCGTCCTCGTAGTGCCTGGTCTTTGTGAACCTAACTTTTTATGCTGAATGTTTAGATCTGCATCTTTGTTCAGGTTAAAGACGGCTTGAGCATTGATATAACATCTTCTACCTCGAAATCCAGGTTTCCTTTCGTAGAAACAATCGACACGTCGAAGCCCCTTTGTGAGCCACTCGTATTCAAGATGTTCTCGGGATAAAAAGTAGATTAGTTTTCCCCAGAAGAAAGTCAAGATTTTGCTCGGCCGGGATAGGCGATCGCTCGGCCTTCGAACGTTCAGAGCGACTCCATCCGCGGAACCGTTGTGGAGCTCCCGCAAATTGATCACTGGATCAGACTTTGACGCACGGCGGTTTATTTTCAGACGTGTGCGGAGTGCAAAAGGTGACAGATCAGAAGCTCCCATCACAGAATGCTCAGACCTCGTGAACGGTGGACTCAACACGAGATTGGCACACTGGCCGATTGACGCGGTGGCAAATCTAGAACGAGGAAAGAACCAAAAGCGTCCAAGACTGTGCGACCGTTGAGAAAGAAAGTAGAAGAGACCGGCAACTTCCGACGAGGCCCGCTCGTCCGTTCTCCGTACTTTATTCTTAAGGGAGCTCGCATAGGGGACGGCCGTGTCCTGACAGGGCGTGGATCCCGTTCCACTTTTTGTGCCAGACTGAGTATCCGCGCCGATAAATTGTGGATGAGCTGCAGTTTGGCCCGACAGGTCTTCACATCTGCTGAAATCCCGGTCACTTTAGCGGGTTCTAACAGGAGCCCAAGGTGCGTTCGTCTTTGGCGCAGCAGTCCGGGACTTGTGGGTCCTCCCCTCCGGTCCCGTTTCGCTGCTGTTCTTAGCCTTCTGCAGCTAAAAGGGACCCACTGTCCTCCCTGCTTTGCCCATCGATTCCACGTAGAAGAAACGGTTGGATAAGACGGTTCAGACCGCCCGGGGTACCCTCAGGTGGGGGGAAAGGCGGTCGCTATCATGTTTCAGAATGCGACGGGCAGCTTGGCATGGACGGCGCTGGTATTATGGATTATTGGCGCCTGGGAAGTCCGAGGACCTTGGATAGGGATAAAGGTGATCTGCATAACTGGCTCCGTTCACGAGCTATGCGACTTCGAACAAGGTCGGCCTAGAAACCGTTTCAGCTTCCAGCTTCTTCACTCATATGCCAAGTGGTGTTCGTTCAGAGTCGACTTCAATCTACTGCGTGAGATGGACAAATTCAGCAGATTTTGACCGAGAGGACACGTCGCTTGTAACCCACAAGCCTTGGATCAACTGGATCAACGAGGAGATCATCTGTTGTAAAGATTACAACCGGCCAGGCGACGAGAAATTTGATTATTTCAAAGAACTTATCATCTTGATCAATAGTAGCAACAACGAATCTTCTCGAGAGACCTATGGTACCCGGACAAGATATATAAGCTTTGTAATCAACATAATATGAATCAAAGGACGGGCGCTTCCAGGAGACTGTAGATGCCGCGAGGGTTACCAAAAAGTCAAGGCAGAAGCAGCATGGAAGGGGTATGTCTCCGTGATATTCTACACTATGCTTATGAATCTTGTCTAAATCATCCGCACGTCTGACAATGTCTGCGAGCTCCCCTCGTGGCCCGTCCAGCTGAGAGTTGTTATGTTTGCTGGATGCCTTATCTATAGGGGTGTTGATTGGGCTTCCCAGGTTGTATTTTATTATGAGCTGACTCCGGGCGACACAGAATCCAGTCAACTCCGAGATTTTGCGGAAGAAGAAAGCTGTCGTCGGAGAAATCAATTGTCTACGGACAACCTTGATGTATTCCAGCCTTGCACATGTGAAATTCGAATTGCATCACAAACATTGAGTAGATCGAGTCAACCTTATACGGGTTGTGACATTAATAACTTCATCGATTCATAACGCATGACCAGGATGGACCCGTCCATATACACCTTAATCATACTCCCAGCAGTGGACTTTGTAGGCAACGTATCCCGCTGTATCCCGCATTACTTTACAAAATTGTCTCTTGGTGACAGACCACCCGCCACTCGCCATCCGAGGCCTGACTCCAAGTAGTACATCCGGTTGCGCGGTACTCATCCTTGCCTCGCACGGCACGGACCTTGTATGTCACGGATCCCGCCATGAGATCAATAATGATTGTTCGCACATCATCAAATTCGTATCCATCGAAGCGGTGGAATGGCGGCTTCAAGGCTCGCTTCAACTGGTCCGGATCCTCCATCGTCAAGATGTCCATCTGGGGAAACAACAGGTTCGCTTCGGGATTGCACAGTTTCTGTACGGCGGGCGCGGGGTCGGCCGATGTCAAGGCGGTCCATAGCGCGCGCTCTTTGTTGAGGAGATCCTCGCGGATACGGTCGTGCATGGACGGCATGGCGGAGTGTATTGCGTCGGAGTGTGCTATGCCAGATTAGCTCCCGAATTACCCAAAATGCCAAAGCCCCGGAAGTAGATCTCAGCAACATACCAGATCGACCAGAATAAACGCGCGCGAACAGCACAAAGAAATGATTCCAAGTCGCCGGTGTGGGAGGGGCAGGATGGTTATATTGGGCCCAGTGTCCGTTTCGACGGGAGATATTAAACATGACGTCAGTGGGGATGCCGTTAGCAAGCGACCAATCTTAGAGTCCGGCGCCGCCTTACGGACGACACAGGATTTCGATTTCGGACGGTTTGACAAATGCGTCATGCTTCCCGCCGACGGACGATGTTCCACGGTGGCTTGAGTCCCGCGCGTCATCCTAGCCCGATGCCCCTTGTCTTGGGCGGAAGGTCTTCGAAATTTGCAATCGTCGCCTAACCTGGGAGCCCCGTCTACTAGAAGGCTCTGGCTGCAAGCAAGCCTTCCCAGGCTTTCGGCCCATGTGTCTGGAGCATGGGCTCGACTTCAGCCAAGGCAAAAAGGCTAGGTTCCATCACCTGACCGCACACATACAAGTGTCTCCGGGCTCGTTTCCTATTCCTCTGATGTATCCATCAAGTGCCCGGATGCTCTATTTGTCACATTGGCATTCATTTCCTTGCCTGGTTCCATGGAGTCCGACAGGCACACCTCGCGGGTTACTTGGGTCGCTCCACTTCGCCAACTGCCACTGACTACCCCCGGGCTGCACGTGATACGCCGCCCCTTCATCGACCCGTTTTGTCTCTTCTCTAGACCTGGCTGTATCCTGCGTCTCACTCTCCCATGGCGATGCAGGCAAATGGTGAAATAGTGGGATGTAGAGTCAAGTTCGCGTCGCCCGAGCCGAGGTCAATCCAAGCTACCCGCTCTCATTTCTCGAGTTCATCTCGAGGCCAATCGTTAGCAAATCCCGTTCCATCTACTTGACTGCTTGTAGATACATAGTGACTCAACCTCGCTATTACTGCACTATAAGCCCAGGAGATCGGCACCCTCCGACGGTCGAACGTGGGAGACCCATGATAAGGGCGTGATATTGGCGCACAAAGGCGTGATAAGGGCGGGATAAGGATAAGGCTAAGCAATGGCGAAGATTGCCTCAAAGTGCGGGCCAGTCACTGGTGATGAAGACCACTCGAAAGGGAAAGGCTTCAAGGAACCCGATGGAGCCTCACCCCCAGAACCAATCAAGGATGCGGTTCTCATCCCGAACTAGACTTCGTCAGGGGAATTATGGCAATTATGGCTGATCCTTTCTATATCGAGTTCGCGCCAGGACGATCCACTTCAAAGGCTGCAAGATCTCCCTGCGATCGGAGTCGGAGGCGCGACGGAGTTTGAAAATTTGCAGGTCTGCTAGGCTTTTAAAGACCCGGTGATTCCCTGCCCAGTCCTCTACGCTAGCTACTTGCTACCAGCAATCAACGCAGCCAAACCCTTCAACCAACATGTTGTCCCTGCGAACCTTGGTCCCGCTGTTGCTGGGTGGAAGTGCGTTAGGTGCAGCTTCCGCTCACGCGTCTCCCAAGTGGGCTCCGAAGGTGTTCATCGTCTCCATGGTATGTCTGAGAATGAGATCGGAATTTTGCACCTGAGAACCTTGTACTCACAGCCTTTCTAGTTTGAACCTGAAGCTGAAGCGTGGTGGAACATTCCTGAATTCAACCTTCTGGCCCACAACATCAGCCTTCCCGGGCTTTCACCTCTCTATCCCGACATTCACTGTACCGAGAACCATGAGGTCTGCCAACTGATCACTGGCGAATCGGAGATCAATGCCGCTACGACCGTGACCTCTGTCGCGTTCTCGCCCCTGTTCGATCTCACCAAGACCTACTTCTTCATCGCCGGTATTGCAGGTGTCAATCCCAAGCGAGCGACCCTTGGCGCGGCGACCTTTGCACGATATGCCGTTCAGGTGGCTTTGCAGTACGAAATTGATATCCGAGAGCTTTCTGCCAACTACTCGACCGGATATATCCCTCTGGGCTCCGATTACCCCGGTCAATACCCCACCAGCATCTACGGGACAGAGGTTTTCGAAGTCAATGCCGAGCTTCGCAGCATTGCGGCCGGCTTTGCTAGCAGAGCGAATTTTTCTGATTCCGCGGCCGCAAAGGCTTATCGCGCCCATTACGCAACTGAAACGGGAGAGTACCACGCCGCTACCGTGGCCCCGGAAGTCGTCGAGTGCGACGTGGCTACGTCGGATGTCTACTACAGCGGCAACATCCTGGGTGGTGCTTTTGAGAACACCACCAAATTGTTTACCAATGGCACAGGTGACTACTGCTCCAGCGCCCAGGAAGACAACGCTACGCTCGAGGTTCTTCTCCGGTCATCTGCTAAGAAGCTCACTGATTTCTCCCGTATCATTGTCATGCGCACTGCATCCGACTTTGACCGCCCCTACCCCGGGCAGGCAGCGACCGAAAACCTGCTCTATGCGGATGCGGGCGGCTTTGAGCCGGCCCTCGAAAACATCTACCGCGCTGGCATTGAAGTCGTTGGAGGTATCTTGAAGGGATGGCATTCTACCTTTGCCGCCGGTGTGAAGCCTCGTAACTATATTGGAGATATCTTTGGAACTTTGGGCGGAGAGCCGGACTTTGGCCCCGGCCGAACTCAGTCTCTGGCTGACAGTGGAGCCTATAAGAAGAGAAGCGTTGGAGCTGCTCTCAAAAGACGCAACTAATGGTCAGATGGATCCGGAATTTATTAATTCTAGCTTATATCGACCGCTGCATGTATAATTCTTGATACTCTCCAACACACGTCCATCCCGGACTTGGTCTCGTCCCCCCCCCCCCGTGTGCTTAATTTCTTGGTCGCTTCAAACGTATTCTTTCCTTCCGTATTGAATAGGAAAAGATCTCCAGTGGAAGATATGTAAACCTTTGGCATTTCCTTCCAACTTTGGTGGTGGGGCGCCATCGGGGGTTCTATCAAGCATCTTTGTATGGTCGCATGGATACCCTTAGAGTCCATTTATTCAATGGAATCTTTAGTATTGATGCACCATGGTGCGGGCTTTCCATTTGTATTGTAATCTCCAGATTTACATTCCGGGGGCATGTCTCTGACCTTCGCATGCAGTTGATAGTTGACGATGTTCTCCCCGCACTTCATTAAGCGGTGAAGTCAACCATGTCACAAGCTCGCCGTTTCTATTTCCGTTGCTCCCACGCATCGCATATGTATGAGCGACCAAGACACAGTCATTAAAAGCTCTATGACCAGCATGGATCACGTTATACAGGCCAAAAAGACCGCCCTCATCACTGGTGCTGCATCCGGGGTGGGATTTGCCGTGGCGAAGCGTTGCCGGGACGAGGGCATGCATCTGGCTTTGCTAGACATCGACAAGGAAAATCTAATCAAGGCCAAAGACACTCTGGCCGATCTGAATCCAAGCCTCATAACCGAGGCCTACGTTCTCGATGTAGCCGACGTGCCCCTATGGGAAAAGACTGCCCACCAGATTGCCCAGGTCTTTCCAGACGTTGACCTGGTCGTGCTCAACGCTGGGAAAGGGTTCAAACCAAATGGACAGGGCAGCGAGCGTTTGAAGCCATGGCTGGACGGTGACTATTGGAGGAAGGTGTGACATATATCTCGATTCATCAGTGATTTTATGAACCAGGCTGACCTTCCTAGACAATGGACACGAATGTTTACGGACCCTTGAATGGACTCAAGACTCTACTCCCTATGGTCATTGCCTCCAAGACTCGGACGGCCAAGGCAATTGTCATAACCGGCTCGAAGCAAGGGATCACCAACCCGCCGGGGGCAGGCAATCCAGCATATAACGCATCCAAGGCGGCGATCAAGAACCTGACCGAGCACCTTGCGCACGACCTACGTTCCGACCCATCAACGGCTCATATATCCGTGCATTTGTTGATTCCCGGCTGGACTTGGACGGGGCTGATGGGAAATGTGGGTCCCACCAACGAAGCAGAGGTCAAGAAGCCCACCGGTGCATGGTATCCAAGCCAAGTTGCCGAAGAGTTACTTCAAGGGCTGAAGACGCGCTCGTTCTACATTGTATGTCCAGATGGGGAGACCGACCGAGCTCTCGATCAAGCTCGTATGAAGTGGGGCAGCGAAGATGTCGTGGAGGGCCGGCCGGCTCTGTCTCGCTGGGATGAGAATTGGAAGACCCGCGCTGAAGAAACGATCCAGATGGATGCCGAATCTCGGCGAAATTAAAGCATTTATATACGGGTGTCAAACAGGACAACGAAATATCATTCACTTGACGATGATAACGTACATACAAAGAGTAAGTGACTGATCAAATATCTCAGCGTAGACTCAAACCTGGTGTTGTCTAGGTATACATATAAGGTGAACGGTCGTCTTGGAGTGTTGGAATGGAAGGAAACCCTCAGATTTCCAAATTGTGTATGGCAAACTCAGCGCTGGAGATAGTCACTGATCTTTCGATTGGAAACTTCATATTGCTTTTGTCTGCACCAGGCAATGTATCTAGTCAAGCTCATGAAATTCAGATACAACCCTAGACCCGGAATAGGAAGCTTTTACATCCAGCGGGATCATCACCGGGATGGCTTTGAATAAAAGAAGTTTATCGAGCTATGACGACTCAATCTAGCTTTGGCTCCATAGGAAGGAGATAAAGGGAAGGCCGAGGGCGAGAATGCGGTGATCACTGATCCAACCTCGGCGAAAAGTGCGATAGTCTCCGCGATAGGGCTCTCCGCAGATAGCAGGGCTCTTCCCCAGGCGGATGCAACCGTGCGGGACGAGGTGTTGTTGATCTGCAACCCACCAGGCCCTTTCCGTCTTTTTTTCAACTTGTGGCCCTATTTCATGGGTCTATGATGCGGAGAAGCGTGGGGGTGACATTGAGCTGGGATGCAACATTCTCGTTATCTAAGGAGCAAGGATGTCTCGCGGTTGAGATGCGAGCTCTCTCTCTCTCTCTCTCTCTCAGCGACGTCTTCGCACAACTATCTTCACAATGGACTCGGCACGCCCGTCGCTGGACGACACGAACAAGGCTGCCATGGACACCGTCGACGAGCCCAATAAGCTTCAGAAATATGCATCCGCCCCCAGCATCGTCGACGAGGTTACTCGCGTGGTCGACCACAAGGCCGAGCGACGTCTCTGCCGACGGTTCGACCTGCGCATTCTGCCGATTCTAGCTGTAATGTGTATGTCTACCGCAACTCCCTCATAGGGTTCCACTTCTGACAGACCTCTAGACCTCTTCGTGGCGCTAGATAAGGGAAACCTGGGAAATGCAAAGACGGATGGATTGACCGATGGTGAGAGGCAGTTGACACGATCGGAGTCCTACGCCTTGTTGACGACCTCATAGATCTCCACTTCAAGCCCAATCAGTACAACTTGCTGCTCTCAATCTTCTTCGTGCCCTTTGTGATCTTTGCCCCGCCCTTGGCCATGCTCGGAAAGAAGTTTAGTCCCGCGCGCGTGCTACCGATCTTGATGGTTTCATTTGGCTCATTTACCCTGTTGTCCTCGGCGGCGCATAACTTCGGAGGGATCTTTGCGCTTCGCTGGTTCTTGGGCATGGCCGAAGCCCCCTTCTTCCCCTTGGTCATTTACTACCTGACCACCTTCTACCGTCGCGGTGAGCTGGCTCGTCGGCTGGCCTTCTTCTACGCCGCCTCGAACATCGCGTATGCCTTCTCGGGCCTCATTGCGTTCGGCGTCTTCCAAATCGAGGGTTCGAGTCTCCCGAACTGGCGTTATCTGTTCATCATCGAGGGAGGTGCTACCGTCGTCTTTGCGGTATTTGCCTGGTTTTACCTCCCCAAAAGTGCGGCCGAGGCCCCGTTCTTATCTGAAGAAGAAAAAGCGCTTGCTTTCCATCGTATCCAGGTAGACTCGAGCGCGGTGGTCAATGAGGAGTTCAGCCTTCGCGAGGCACTCGGCATTTTCAAACAACCCACCACCTACGTTTTTCTCTGCATTGAAATTTGCCTCGGTGTTCCATTGCAAGGCGTGGCGCTCTTCATGCCTCAGATCGTGGCACGACTCGGTTACTCGACCGTGAAGACCAATCTCTATACGGTGGCCCCAAATGTGACCGGTGCTATCGTGCTACTGATTCTTGCATTCTGCTCGGACTACAGTCGGCTGCGGTCACCTTTCCTGGTGCTAGGGTTTCTGCTCACCTTTACTGGTTTTATGATTTATGCAGCCATTGATGATGTCCACAAAGAACTCCAGGTGGCATACTTTGCGACCTTCATGATGACCTGGGGCACCTCCGCGCCGTCGGTGATTCTGAGCACCTGGTATAACAATAATATTGCGCACGAAGGTCGCCGTGTGCTCTTGACCAGCATTGGCGTGCCTCTAGCCAACCTGATGGGTCTGGTCGGCAGTAACGTGTTTCGGGAGCAGGATGCGCCCAAGTACCTGCCGGCCCTGATCACCGTCGGGGCCTTTGGTGCCACTGGGGCCTGTCTGGCGGGGCTGTTGGGACTGTATATGCTGCTGGATAATAAGCGCCGCGACCGCCGTGCCGGGGTGACACTCCGTGCCAGAGACATCCCCACGGAATGCTTGCGGGAAGGTCCGTCCTCCGCGCAGTTCAGATGGCTCATATGAATCCTTTTTCCGCACCGATGTGCATGATACGGAGATCTCCCCACATTCAGGGATACCAATAACTTTAGTCACTAAACATAGTCGTATTTGACTGTTTTCGCCACAAACGGCCTCTTGCACCATCCCCGTGTGGGATCTCCCGCATCCCCATAAGTAGCACGAATCTGTGGGATAATGTGCCCCGATGTCTGGGGTAAATCCTACGGAATAAGGGCGGCCCAAGGTGGAGGTGGGTTTCGGATATCGAGAGTGGGGGGTCCCACCGAGGAACACATTGAGCTGCTTAGTATGGGAGATCGGCGACGCAAGTCTGACAATGATCCCATTCGACATGAGCAGAGTGACAAATCCATAGGCTGTCCGTCCACTGATTTGCTGCATGTCCGCGGTCCATTGACAGCATCGGGTGAAGAATCATCATCACACCGCTCTTCGTGCATGGTGGGACAAGATGCAGACGACGGATGAGAATAAATCAGCTGCAATTCCACTCCGATAGACCAACCTATCCCTCATTATGTCGAACCCTGGTCAGATCTCGCCGCTCCGTCCTGTCACTCACCATATAACCGGCCACAATGCGGCCGGCAAAGCCATCATCCACTCCTCCTCTCCGGGCGAATGGAAGTCTTTCGAGGCAAAGGACATGGCCTTCGACGTTGTGTACACCACTTCCGATTTCCCCGCCAATCTGAACAACGACGCCGATCTCGCGGCTCATAAACAGGTTATGCAGTCCGATAAGCTTGGTCTGGTCAATCCTCGAGGCACGGTCTGTCGCATCGTGGACTTTGCCCCCAACAACAAATGTATTGTGCACCGTACGCAGAGCTTGGACTACGGTATTGTGCTGGAGGGAGAAATTGAGATGTTGGTAGAGGAGGGAGAGCCCGTGCGGATGAAGCGGGGAGATGTCGCCATCCAACGCGCTACAATGCACGGCTGGCGGAATACCAGTGACTCCGAGTGGGCGCGTATGGTGTTCGTGTTGCAGGATTGTCAGCCATTGACTGTGGGCGGCACCACGATGAGGGAGGAGTTGGGAATCGCGACCGGCGTCCTAAACCCGAGCGGGAATGATCAGTAAGGGAGTTCGCCATAGTCTCTGGCGCGAAACGAGATTGGCACCCAACTTGACGCGGAGCTAGCTCGATTGATAAAGTCCGCAAATGTACATAGTTATGCGAGTACGAAATCTTCATTTCCCTACGTCGCGTTTCTAGGTACCTGAGTATCCATCGAAAGCAGCGGGAAAGATCTTTCGAGAGCTGTCTTTCCACACTTTGAGGCATATTTCTTGGATTTTGTCTCAGGAAGTTTTGACCCCTATCTAATGACTCTCCTCTGTACGCGCTCGAGCAAACAGGTGCCTCAAACCACCGAGGATGACTCGTGATATCATGCCGACTCTGTAGGGCAGGATCCCCGCTTACGACTTGACTCGGATCACCACCTTTCCAAAGTGGCTGCCGCTTTGCAGAAACTGGAAGGCCTCCTTAGCTTCGGCAAAGGCAAACACGCGGTTCACCACTGGATGGATCTGATGTGTCTCGTAAAATCGAATCATTTCTTCAAATCGATCTTTGGGGCCGTTGATAATGCCCTTAAGGGTGACTGTACGGCGCAGTGCCAACAGGTTGACGTTCAGTCGGTCATCTGCGGCGTCAACCTTGCCCGAGACATAGCCGATGCAGTCAATCAAGCCGCCAAAGGCGATACAGTCGAAGCTTTTCCTCAAAGTCTGGGCGCCACCGGTTTCAAGGATGATATCGGCACCGTGATTTCCGGTCCATTCCATCACCTCGGTTTCCCAATGAGGGTTGTTGCGGTAGTTGATGGTGTAATCAGCCCCGAGCTGTTTGGCCTGGTCAAGTTTGGCATCGGAGGAGGAGATTATGACGGCTATGCACTGAGTGAGCTGGTGTTCTTTTCGATTGGCGCGCTTAGCACTCACCCTTGGCACCTGCTGCCTTTGCAATCTGCAGTCCTGAAATAGCTACACCACCAGTACCCTGGAGTAGGATATACTCATCTTTTCCACCACTCTGTCCCATCGGTCGCATTCCATTGATGGACATCCAAGCAGTGACTGCGGCAATTGGTAGCGTGGATGCCTCTTCATCCGACATATAGCTGGGAGCTGGGACGAGCCCGTGGGCGGGGAAGACTCGGTGAGTTGTCAGAACGCCATCTAGCGGTAGACCGATGCTACCCGCCAGCATTTTCTCCGTCACCTGCCCCGTCTGATGCTCGGAGAGAAAGGTTGAGAGAACCCGATCACCTACAGCCCATTGTGAAACGTCGGATCCAACTTGAATCACCACACCGCACATGTCTGAGCAAGGCACGATGGTTGCATTCTGCTCCGCGGTTTTATGATGCTTATATTCCCCCTCGGTGACTTGAATGCCGTCAGAAAACGCTTTCGCACAACCTCACGGCGAGGAGCACTCACCTTCCACGTCCCGGTAGTTCAGGGAAACGGCATGGACCTCCACTAAAACCTGGCCTGGTCCAGGTGTTGGCATTGGCGCCTCGGTCTGGCGAAGACTGTCGAGACCCTCAAGAGGTGTCACCCACTGCTTGATCGACATGGCTGAGAGCTTGAAAGAGATTGAGTGGCAAAGCTTCGCGGCGAAAAGATCCGAGTCATGAATTGAAACACGCCGAGTTGGAGAAGCTTGAGCTTTGGAGACAGTTTGAAGCTGAGTAATCCACCAAGTTCCTCCACCATGACCGTGGGGACAGGCTCTCCGTGATTTGTGGCTTCATCACTCCTCCCCAGTCGCCCTAGTGCCTCATTTGAGAACATCCTGGAATAAGGCCTCCTCGGGGGCCTGAACGTGACAAGAGGTACACAATTGGAGTTAGCGTTGTGCCAAAGTAGAGACGCGTAGACATTCGTCCGCGGGGCATTTCGGCCTATCTCCGCCTATCTCCGGATGAGATAAATAGCTGGCAACGTCGTGGTCATTCTTGACTCTATAACTCTCACAACCGGCAACAATGAGCGACGATCAACCTCTACACGAGGGACTCTTTCCAGATACTCCAGGTTGGTGATGTACTTGAAACCTCCTGGCCAGGCTCACTGACGTCGATCCAGCACATTACTTGCACGCCCAGACGGATCATGAGTTCCCACGTCTCCCTCAAACAATCTCTCATCGGGGTTATAAGGGGAAATTTCCAGAGAATACATTGTGTGCCATAGATGAGGCCATTAAAGCAGGAACTCAAGCTCTGGAGCTCGATCTGCGGCTCTCCCAGGATGGGGTTGTTGTATTGTCACATGTAAGCAATACCTGCTCCTATCTTTGGGAAAGAGGCTCATCGAATACAGGACGCGACTTTGAAACGATGTTTTGGCATCAACAAGAAGGTAGAGGACTGCGATTGGGATTATCTCAGGACCATTCGTACATTGAAAGCGCCGCAAGAGCCGATGGCTAGGCTAGTCGACGTCCTGGAATTTATGCGCCAACCGGGGCGTGAGCATATCTGGATTCTGCTCGACATCAAAGTAAGTAGGAATTACTCTGGTCATATAGTGCTGGCTGTCACTGACCATCATTCACAGCGCAGCGACAATCCCGACATCGTCATGAACCGCATCGCGGAGACGATCGAATCAGTACCCATCCCGGCGAAAGGACCAGACTGGCATCGGCGAGTGCTCCTGGGCTGCTGGTCGGCTCGATATTTGCCTCTACGGGCACAATATCTGCCACGATACAGCATGACTTTAATCTGCTTTGATATGAATTACGCGCGCCAGTTTCTGCATTTACCGGGGATTTCTTTCAACGTCAACCAGATGGTCTTGATGGGCCCGCTCGGTCGGGGATTTCTGGAGGAGGCACGAGCTGCAAAACGTCATGTATATCTATGGACGGTCAACACGCCGAACTTGATGCGCTGGGCCATTCGTCACAGGGTGGACGGAGTCATCACCGACGAGCCAAGTCGATTCAAACAGATCTGTGAGGAATGGGAGAAGGAAGAGAGGAACGAAACAGGGGCTTTACGAACTACAGAGTTGGATCAGCTGACCGTAGGTGAGCGGCTTCGAATTCTGGCCCTCAACGTCTTTCTTGTTCTCTTCGGTTGGTTTCTCAAGCGCAAATATTTCCCTTCCGTGGAGCGCGTCCAGTTCGAGCAACGAAAGGTCAGTTGATTGTGTAGAAGAGCGTCTAGCCAGTACCGACAGGAAATCAGACAATAATAGAACATTCATTTGGATTCCGTGCAGTGAACATTATATCCATCTCTTACTATACAAGCACACGTGTCACCCCGCCAATGGAAACACCAAGCCGAGAAAGAGGTACATGATAATTTTGTTCGACACAACGTAGAGAAAACGAAGATAGCAAACACCGGCCGGGTAAATGCCAGAGCTGACCCGTATACAAGAGAACCTCAATTGACATGAGTCAAAATGCGCGCAAGATAAGAGAAAATCCAAAATGGAAAAAAAAAAAATGGGTCGACCGACGCTAATCGCAGAAGGCCGAAGGAATTAACACCGAGGACATGGGGGGTATAACGCAAATTTGAAACGAATGACAAAGGTAGCCGATTCGGCGAGGATCGACCGGCAGGAGAACGTAGAAAAGAATAAGATTCTGCAAGCCACATGAGCAGAATCTTTGGAAACGCATCAATCTCATGTCATCATGAGCTTGGTAGTGCGTCTCTCCGGGAAACGTCGACCACCGCCGGAGGAAAACCGTGGCCCAGGGCGAAGTCCCTGAGCGGGACCCGGTCCTGGCCCCGGGGAGCGTGGAAGGGGATATCCAGACGGGGGAGGATATCCGTGGGACAAGGGAGATGATCCCAGAGGAGAAGATCCGTGAGTTGGACGCCGGCGGCCAGGGGGAGGCGGATGAAGGGTCGCTGCAGCCCGACGAGCATCACGTTCGCAATAGACTTCACCATTCCATTCAAAATAGTCACCATTGAGCAAAACGCGACAGGTCCGACATTGCAGGCATTCGGGATGGAATCGGCGACGATCCAGTCGGTTGGGGTTCCGTTCAACAGTTTCTAGGTATTGACCCTCGATTCCATTTTGACAGGTGGAACATAATGATCCATTACGCTCGTGATAGTGCTGTGCACAGTACGGGTGATTGTTAAGGACGTAGAAATCGGCTGTTTGGAAAGGAGAATGACATTCGAAGCAGACGAAGCAGCCACGGTGGTATTTCCCGGTGAGACGACCGTCAGATGATGATACCGATTTTCCCACGATTTCTTCATTGCATCCCTTGCATTTTCCTTTTGATCGTGTCGTCGATCCACTTAGCGGAGGAATGGGTTCGGTGGCTGACCGTTGTAGAGCTCGAGGCGAAGAAAGTTTCCTGGGTTGCTGTTCTATCGGGCCTTCCACGTGCTTCACAGGAGGCTCTTCGCGCTTTCGGTGCTCTTGTCGCTTTTCAACGAGCAGTGAGAGGGTGCCCTGGCCGATCGCGGGATCGGTGGGTGAGTCTGGGCTGAAGAACGTTGCTGGGATTGTAGGTACCCCATCCATCGTACCCGGTATCCGACCAGGCACTTCCAGAATAGTCTGACGAGTTCGTGGGGGCAGTTCCACCACAAGAGGACTGAGATTGAGTGGGTCAGAGGGTTTACGTCGGTTCAAGCTCACATCAGATGGCAGACTAGACATGGAACTCCCGCTGCCACTGCGAGTATCCGATAGTGGAGATGAATCTGAAGAAGTGGAGCTCTCCGGCTGCTGAGAATCTCCCTCCAAGCCTAGGGCCCGTGCAAAGCTGGTGACGGATCCATTGCTTCCACTCGTAGCGTCGGAGTTCCTTCTCGAGCCATCATTTCCGAGATTGGCATCGGCGGGGTGAAGGTGTGTCTGTGCTGGTGACGCGAAGGCCTCGCCAAAGTTAGAGTTAGATACATTCTCCTCTAGGGAACCTTCCTCGGGCAAATCATGCAGGCCCGAAGTACGGTGATCATGGATGCCGAAATCAAACCCACTGTAGGTTTCGCCTGGGTCACTCTTGGAGGGAGAGTCGACGGACAGATTCGAGTCTCGGACCAAGGACGCCCGTTTTAGCGTTTTAAGAGGCGGTGGCATCGGTGGAGTGTCATCTATGAATGTACGGAGACCGCGCGAGAAGCTGTTTGTCGACGACCGAGCCGTCGAACTTCCGTAGCGGGTGCTTGCCAAGGAGGTGCGGTAGCTACTATGACTCGCGGACGAATCGCCTCGCTGGTGAAATATCTCGGATTCTCGTGACGGCGGAAGCGGACTCAGAGGCAATTGGATCTCCTCCGGCCTCAGGTCCACCTCGAGTCGCGGAGACGGTGTGGGCGCCGGGCGTGTCGTAGAATCCGACATCATGCGAGGGGTTCCCACGTGGGCCGGTGGCCGATTTCCAGGCATCGGGAAGGCGAAGACGGAATCCAAATTGAGCACTGAATCGTCTTCCGGCGACGCTCTCATGGGGGATCTAGGCAACGACCTTGCGGAAAGCGGCGATGGCATATGCAACTCCACGCTCCCCACCGGCGTGGGTATATTCAGGTGGAGAAATGCGCTATCTGCAGGGTGTCAATGTTACTTCTTCTGTCGCAAGGCGCACTGCTAGACGTACTTGCGATTGCGGGATCGATGCGAGGGGGCACTCGACCCGGTTTCAGTCGATCTGGAATATCTAGCCCCGCGAGGGGGGGAGGAGACGGAGGTGCAACGGAAGCTATTGAACATTAGTGGGCAAAGTCGATTGTCCGTGGAACTCTAGGCGTACAATGATTCTGACGATGAATGTCCCCGGCGGGAGAGCACACATGGTCGCCCATGGCCGAGATCTCCACATTATGGCCACAGCTGGAGCATTTGATGGTGGGCAAGAAGCCCAAGTCCATACTCGCCATTCTCGTATCAAAATCCGGGGTGGGAGGTCATCGAGGGATTGTCTCAGTGGGCAGACTGCCCGAGCTGCATCACCATGAAAGTGGAGTGGGAAAGGGATGTTTCAGTGACAAAACGGATGAATTCACGGAAGAGGGAGGAAGGTGTAACCGCGCTAACAGCGTAGCGTTCCAAGTACGGACGGGCTCGCCAGTGCACCAAATGGATGTTCAGGGGTAAAGGTGAATCGACCACTGAGCGAGCGGCCACGTCCTTCTGCTCCACCTAGAACTGCAATTGGTATCTTCTGTTCTACAGTATTCACTTCATTGACTGTTTCATTGACTGTTATTGCTCATGTACCTGCAAAGTGGTCCAAGACGGGCGACTCCATTTCGCGACTGCCGATATGCAGGAACACTTGATGGTGGACTCGGCCTACCATTTCTCTTCTTTCTACCCGTCTTCACATTCTCTGGCTGAGACTGTGGATTCAGGCATCTACAGGTACAGTAAGGGCCTGGGCCCACTGGATTCACGATGATGTTAGTTCGATCGCACGATCTTTCTACCCCTGAAATGGACTCTCGGGCCCACATCCCTTGGGTCTTTTCCCGATATTTTTCACACCCGGTTCCACTGCTGTCTAGCCAAAACACTGGATTCCTTCCTTGAGCCTATCCGCCAGTCATGATACATGCCCATCACTCTTCCCTCCTTGCGCAAGAGAACCAAGTATCGATGAAAATCCGGAATCGAAATCGGAATTAGCCCTGATCCCTTTTGGCGATCTATGCTTTTTTTCTCTTGGCTCTTTCCCAATAGTGCTGGCCAGTGATACGGGATAAGTACTGCGGGACACGGGATACAAGGTTTACTCGGTCTGCACTCCATCGACGGACGATCTAGAGGTTGAATAACGCCGGACGAAGCTCGCTCTATTGCTCATTCATCTTCCGAAATTTGCATGCACTGCCGCAAAGCGTGGGCCCTGCGCCTAAAGTGAAGAGGAAAAAGGCGGCATGGTGCGTAATTGCTTGCTTGCCTAGTCATCGTCGACAGCATCCTGGCTGAGTGCTGTGAACAGCGAATGCAGTAAGCTGAGATCGATATTGGGGGCTTGAAGAAAGGCTCATAGCATTGGAAAATTCCTAGCGGAGACCACTCCAGCAGGCAGCCTGTCGTAAGCTCCGGGTCTCGGTCAAGGATGGCGGCGGTGATTCATGAAAACTAAGTCCCAAAGGTGTGGCCTGAATATCAAAGCCCGTCGGTGGGGCTGCGATCGTCGTTGAATATGGTTTCCATAGTGCCACTCACGTCGTCTTCGTGGGAACAGTCCACGGCCTCAACATCATACTCCTTTAGTAGGCGAAAGTGACGGTAGCCGCCAAAAGATCGACTTTCATGGCCGCATCATGCTCATGCACTGCTGTGATTGGTTTCTCGAGACAGATCTGATAGCAATGGCCGCATTCGTCCTGGTCGAACGTGGCTGTGTAATTGCCTACGATTTTGCAAGGGCCGTGAGGATCACGGTGTACAGCTCAGTCCGATATAGCTCGAAGCTTTCTCATATACAGCTATTTCAAATGAGCTTCAGGACGGGCGATGGCAGGTGCTTATTTAGGGTTGGCCTACGGGACACTTGCAACGGAGCAAATTGGTTGTGGGCGTAGAAGACGCGTAGAGTATGCCTGGGAAGAGAAGATCGAAGTCTCTCTGTCCACCTAGATTTACTGATTCTTTTGCCGGCTATACTCTATGAAGAATGATGTGCCTCATCGCGTTTCGAGCCCTCAAGGCTTGCTTAGTTCGCGATACATTGATGAGATTACCGTTCGGGTTCTCGGGCAATTAATGTTCAGTGGTTGGACAATTGTCTGTTGAGCCTGTCTCGTGTTGTGACTGATTATCAAAAAACCATGTCGTCTGTGAAGTTGTTGTCTTCTGTCACATGTATTTGGGCTGCTTGGCCCCTTGAAATATATAAAAGTCCACGGGTGTTGTCCAGCAACCACCTACATTACCCTCCAGCCCACTCCCTTCTGGGCAGCCAACGGGTAATCCACGCTGGCTTGAACCAGGCCGAGATGATCTTTTATGCTAATTGCTCGGTAGGAATCTCTTTCGGGTGTCGCGACCGCTCGGGCATCAAATGGGGCAAGCGCTCAGCTGCTTTCACGGTGTCCCAAATATTGTCGGATGTCATGAAGATCCGATCTATTTCTTCCAAGCTGCGGCCGGCAGTTTCTGGAAACAAGAAATAGACAACTCCCATCATAATGACGTTCAGTCCAGCAAATATGATAAAGAATCGCCATTCAAGGGCCTGGAAGGCAAACGGGGTGATTTCGGTGATCACGACACAGAAGATCCAATATGTTCCCATGCTGATGCCGTTGATCGTACCCCTCATTTTGAGAGGACTCAGCTCTGCAGCATATAGAAATGGGATACCACCATAGCCGATGACATAGCTGAAATGGAAGAAGAAAATGAAAACGACCGCCCCGTCCATTGCTCTTGCGTTGTCGGGCTGAGATCCTAGTGCAGCCACCATGGCTAAACACACCGCATTGCCAGCAGCACTCGCAAGCATCAAGCCACGTCGGCCGAATCCCTCGATGGTATACACGCATAAAGCACCTGCAATCAGTGTCACTAGTTGGTAGATCGCCGCCAAAATTCGAGACTTGACTGAATCCAGTGAGAGATAGGTTTCGAAGATTGTGTTTGCTGTAAGGGAATCAGCATGTAGAACAATACACCTAGTACACGCCAACACTGACTGTAGAATGTTACCGTGTTAACGCCGGTCAGCTGCAAAAACATCATGACCGTGGCAGCCAACATGGCACGGTGGAAGATACGCTGGCTACCCATGTGGAACACTTGCTTGAAAGATGCTTCTCCGGCCAGCTTCAGCGAAGATTCCACCTCTAAAATTTCAGCCTCGACCTTGAGGTCATGGGAATCAACATCTTCTAAAGCAGCTAAAACTTCCCGAGCCTCAACGATACGGCCCTGGCGAACCAGCCAGCGAGGGGATTCTGGCAGAATACTGATGAACCCAATCACCGTTAACGAAAGTAGAACTTGCAATGCAAATGGTACCCGCCACCCCTCACTTTCAGGGGCGAAGGACATTCCAAAATCAATAAAGAGAACAAGAGTGGCGCCTAAACCTGCAAAGGGGCCGATGGTAACGACATGAGCTCCGCGCTTTGAGGTGGTTGATAGTTCGGACTGCCACACAGGCACAGTGGCTAGGACGCCTCCGGTTCCAAGGCCAATAACCAGACGCGAAACGACCAGTTGTGCGAAGTCAAAGGCAGTCGTCATGAGAATCGCGCCGATGATCTGTATGGCGGAAGCCAGCATGATGACTTTTTTGCGGCCGAGAATGTCACCAAGTCCAATACATGAAAGTGCACCGAAAAGGCCACCCACGGCGTATAAAGCGACGACGGTGCCTTGAATCGTCGACTTGTATGGCTTTTCTGCGGGCGCCGCATCAGTCAAATCGATTTCACGAAATTGTCTCTCGAAGCTGTCCAATGTCAAGACTCCACCGAGCATCGACTGGTTGTATCCAAACGACATAATTGCCGGCATAGTCACGCCAAGGAGAGCCATCATGGTGAGGCGATTGCCTCGTAGGCCCAGATATTGTCGCATCGAGGGTCCGAATAAGGTTGGGAAAATGGAGTCAAACTGTACGGACCGACACCGGTCCAGGCAGTCGCAGTTAAATTAAAAAGATATTGGCATTTCTAGAATCCATCATGTTCTACTGGAACTCCTTGGAGGATTCCGCCTTCAAGGGACGAGAGGGGGGTTTGTGTTATTCCCGCATTCCATCCCGACGTGTTTCGCGCCCTCGTTGCAGATTCAATCCTCTACCATACCATGGTCGTGCACAAGACTGTCAGGTCAACGCAGCACGTATCGATCAGAGATTGTGATCAAAATCTTTGGCGAATCACCTTTATCAAAAACAAGCATCTTGTCGCGTGCACTTTGCAGGGCTGCCGATGATGTGGAGGCCTGAGGGTGACAAGGGTGAGATGGTGAAAAAGGAGTAGAGCGTCCTTGCAGATCCTCCTCGACACAGCCCGAAACAATAGATACCCCCCCTCTTGATTACCTCGAGGTGAATGGGTCTCGCGCACACAAGGGCACTGTTGCCTCGAAGCATTCTCTGTCCTTCTGCAGCTTATACGTCATACATGCATGTGGGCGAGCCGCAGCATGGCCTGGATGAGAAGGTGATCTACGGGACTCATTCTGATGGACCTCCTTCTAGATCTGCCTTTGCCTTTTCGCCTCTTTACCCCGCAAAGATAAGAGACTCTATTCAAAATTATAGTGCAGCCGGAAAAGATGGACCAGCCTGCGTGGCGGTGTCTACATACTCCTTGATCAAACTTTCACTGGCTCAACCATTCTTCCGTTCAAGTACTATCTCTGACATCGTCGGGATTGAAATGTGTACGGACGCGAGGCTTTCACGCGCTTTTCCAATTCGAGGCAGCAGAACTCGAATGCAAGAGATGAGGGCTTTCGCGCTTTCGCGAGACTGAGCGCACAGTGCGTAAGCCGACTTGAAACATCATGTCCACTTTGCTCATCTTGCACGTCACTGGAGATAGCCTCAGAATCTCAATTCAAGTCTTTCGGCGGGTGTACCAGGTACAAACTCGATGGATTGCTACACTGGATGCCCCAAAGGTGCACAGTATCTGACTGCGAACGAAGTCGATTCGCTTCATTTTCTTGATTAGGCTAAGATATCATTCTCGGCAAAATGTGTTTTTGATATTTTTGTAGTTTAGGTCGTGCACGAATTGTGTCTCGGGGGGCCTCTAGAAAGTGTCTTTCAGAAAGTGTCTTTCGACGTCCCTTCGAACATCTGACAGCCAGGCCATATGCAGTCCAAAGTCCTCCTACTGTGTCGCGCTGACCCTTCTACACCAGGTAATGTTTCAATCACGTCGTATGAGACCGAGCCGATAGTGGACCGACGGTGTAGACCGCCAGTTGAGAACCCCGCTGCGATGTGTGTTTTGCCCCTCATTTCAGGCAATTCCCTTTTTTTTTTTTCTGTTCTCGCACGGATCACCCTTTGGTTTGGGGTATGGAGCTCAACCCCAGTTCCTTCTCCGGGGTCAAAACGAATTGAACTAGACATTGCGACGTAGCACTAGGGCAAATTGGCACACTAAGCGACACGAAACGGGAACTCGAAGCGAGACCAGGCACAAACTTGGGACCAGACGGATGCGGATGGGCTCGGCACGCAACACGGAGTAGTGGCTCCCGCTGCCACTGGAAAAAACGCAGACAGCTTCAAGAGTACCGTGTATGCCCACATGTCTCTTGCCAGTCCCTGGAGGGGATCTTAGTTCCCCCCAATGCAAGGCACGGGATGACATTTGCCCGCAGAATTTCAGCCTGCATAGGCGCGGGAAGGAAAGCTAGTGCCCAACAATTCTCATCTTGGAGGCCGAAGATCCGGTCCATTCGTACCCATGATTGGTGTAAACGTCGAGTAACATCATACACCATTGAAAGGAAAAGGGGGAACTAGTGCAAAGACGAGAACAGAGGACCCGATACCCGATAGACGGCACGTGTCACCGCCTATTAATTGACACCGTACATCTCCTTCCTCTTTCCTCTTTCTTCCTACTACCTTCCCCATTCCCAATTCCTCTTCACGGTTCGTATAAGCCTTTTCAGCAGGTTCGATCACATCTCCTCGAGAAGTGATCATCATACATCCGGCACCATTTTCGCCACACAGCTTAACTCGTGAGTCTTTCCCCGGGGCAACCTCTCCCCCCCCCCCACACCCACCTCCCCCGCCTTCTCAATGCCTTCGACCTCTCTGACATGTCTCTAGGCGGCACCACCCGTTCAACGGCCGGCGCTCATCCAACCGTGGTGGAGCACCGGAACACGCATTATACTTCCAGTAAAGCACATCTAGAGTCCAACTTCGGTTCACTTTCAATCCCGCCGTGAACAATGGCTCCTCACGCTTCCTCGGACGTTGCCAATGGCACTGCGAACGGGTCGGCTCGCCAAGAGTCCTCGCCACTGTTTACTGTTCAGTCGCCCAATGTCGTCTACACCCCGGACGAGATCAAAAGTCAGTATGCCTACCAGACTACTGAGGTGACTCGCACGGCGGACAACAAGCTGGTGGCAACTCCCAAGGCCACCAACTACCACTTCAAAGTCGACCGCAAGGTGGGCAAGGTCGGCATGATGCTGGTCGGTTGGGGTGGAAACAATGGTTCCACCGTCACCGCTGGTATCATCGCCAACCGCCGTGGTCTGTCCTGGGAAACCCGCGATGGTCAGCAGACTGCCAATTACTATGGCTCAATCGTCATGAGCTCCACCGTCAAGCTGGGCACTGATGCTCAAACCGGCGAGGATATCAACATCCCCTTCCGTGACCTGCTTCCTATGGTTCACCCCAACGACATGGCCATCGGAGGTTGGGATATCAGCGCCCTGAACCTTGCTGAATCCATGGACCGTGCCCAAGTCCTGGAGCCTAGCCTCAAGAGCCAAGTTCGCAAGGAGATGGCCGAGATGACCCCGCTGCCCAGCATCTACTACCCCGACTTCATCGCTGCCAACCAGGAAGATCGTGCAGACAACGTCATCAAGGGCGACAAGGCCTGCTGGGCTCACGTAGAGCACATCCAGAAGGATATTCGTGACTTCAAGGCTCAGAACGGTCTGGACAAGGTCATTGTCATGTGGACCGCCAACACCGAGCGGTACGCTGACATTATCCCCGGTGTCAATGACACTGCCGATAACCTGATCAATTCGATTAAGGCTGGCCACGCTGAGATTGCCCCATCCACCATCTTTGCCATCGCCTCGATTTTGGAGAATGCCCCGTTCATCAATGGCTCGCCCCAGAACACTTTCGTGCCCGGTGCCCTTCAATTTGCCGAGCAGCGTGGTGCTTTCATTGGCGGTGATGACTTCAAGTCGGGCCAGACCAAGATGAAGTCTGCCCTGGTCGACTTCCTGATCAACGCCGGTATTAAGCTCACCTCCATTGCCAGTTACAACCACCTGGGTAACAACGACGGCAAGAATTTGAGCTCCCAGAAGCAGTTCCGCTCCAAGGAGATCTCCAAGTCTAACGTTGTGGATGACATGGTCGCCGCCAACCACCTTCTATACGAGAAGGATGAGCACCCGGATCACACCGTCGTCATCAAGTACATGCCTGCTGTTGGTGACAACAAGCGCGCCCTTGACGAATACTACGCCGAGATCTTCATGGGTGGCCACCAGACCATCAGTCTGTTCAACATCTGCGAGGACTCGCTCCTAGCGTCGCCTCTGATCATTGATCTGGTCGTGCTCGCGGAAATGATGACCCGTGTCACCTGGAAGGCTGACAGCGAGGGTACTGATTACAAGGGCTTCCACAGCGTGCTCAGCGTTTTGAGCTACATGCTTAAGGCTCCTCTGACCCCGCCTGGTACTCCCGTCGTCAACGCCCTCGGCAAACAGCGCTCGGCTTTGATCAACATCTTCCGTGCCTGTGTTGGTCTCCAGCCTGAATCGGAGATGACTCTTGAGCATAAGCTCTTGTAGATGCGAGTCGTGTTACAACGACATACAGACTTTTCCCAAATCTGACCCCCTTTTCCCAAGTCTGACCCCCTTTTTTCCAACTAGAGTCACTCTTTGAATCAATGCAAGTTTGATAATGCTATAACGCCTATCTTGTTCCTGCGTAGTGATTGATCTACCTAGTTGATATCAGCATACTAGCCGGACCATGGAGATGAATGCAAAATGGACCTATGCCCTGTACCTTTCTGAATGCTTTCTACGTGATGTCAAACAGGTGGGTTGTTTCGTAGACCACTCAAGGGAAGTGTTGATTTCTCTTCGTAATGACTGTACATGCGACCGGACATATTCATTCATTGCCGCCTACTAAAGCCTATCCATACCATCTCTTTATCCCCCGTCCAGAGATCTACTCTTGGTCGCACCGGGCTCCGAGTATGCGTTCAAGGCTAATTGCCCACCCAAGTGGGCGTACAAGATATTGCCTTCAGCGATTTCTCCGCGCCTGATCATATCCGCCATGCCTGCCAAACTCTTTCCCTCGTAGACCGGGTCGGTAATGAACGCCTCCATCCGAGCTCCCCATTTTATAGCTTCCCAGGTCTTTTCGTCGGGGGACCCGTAGACGCCTGCATGATACCGATCATCCAAGATCACGTCGTCATCCGTAATATCATCCTCCGTGAGCCCAATGCGAGAGGCAGTGTTCTTGGCAATGCGAACGACCTGTGCCCGGGTCGCCTGCATCGTGGCCGAAGCATCGATCCCGATGACCTTTCGCTTCGGGTCTTCAGGGTGGAGGCGCTCCAGTAACTTGAAGCCAGCAATCATGCCAGCAAAAGTTGAGCCCGTAACCACACAGACCAGCACCGTGTGGAAGAAGATACCCTGCTCCTGCTCCTGCTCTCGAACCTCAAAGGCCCAACGGGCAAATCCTAACCCACCAAGCGGGTGGTCCGAGGCACCGGCGGGAATATAATAGGGGTTCTCGCCTCGAGACCGACATTCCTCTACGACAGCCTGTGCAGTCTTCTTGTGCTCAATACCAAACTCCGAGGGATCCAATCTCACGTCGGCGCCCATCAATCGACTGATTTGAATATTGCCGACTTGATCGTAGCCCCGTTCATCCGTCTCCACCCAATGTTCCTGGACCAAGCGAGCCTTGAGACCAGAGCGTGCGGCGACAGCAGCGACCTGACGCGTGTGGTTGCTCTGCACGCCACCAATGGAAACCAGGGTATCGCAGCCCAGGCTCAGCGCCTCGGCCAGCAGATACTCGAGCTTACGAGTCTTGTTCCCGCCGAAAGCGTATGCCGAGTTCACGTCATCGCGCTTGGCGTAAACATTGACCTGGTGAGGACTGTCGCGAGCGAGATCGGCGCTAATGCGGGGAAGAGCGTGGATTGGCGAGGGCCCGAAAAGAAGAGGAGTACGAGGGATGGAGGCGAAGGGCTCCGGCAGGGTAACAGTGGCCATGGTGAGAGTCGAAATGGGTAGAGATTGAACAAACGCAGCTCATAAGTGCTTCTTTATATGCCGCTTTCTCATCCATCTGGTCCAAAGTGCCCTCCCCACCTTTTACGCCCTTCAGATAACCTCATCGGGATGGCGCTATCTGAAGTTCTTCTCGGAAGTAGAAATAGACCCGAAATCGGCCTGCTTATCAGCGGGGAAGAGCAGTGAGGGGTCGCGGACCTCGAACGATGCCCGTAATCGATCTTGCAGGTGTTCCATTGTTGACATCGGTGCTCCAAGTATAGGATTTGTCTTCATAATTGAGATACTTGAGACTCTCAGTACATTGGCTATGTCGATGGACTTGGAGACCTCAGCATTCCGAGGATAACCCGTAAGGTGCTGCGGGGGTGAGGACCTTGGTCTCCCCCCGGAAAGCACTACAAAGCCAGTCCGATTCGCCCAGTCTACGTGGAATTTTGTTCGGAGGTTCACGACAGGAAAGACAGTCATATTTCATATCGAGACTTTTGGGGATCGTCCACAACTATATCAGAAGACCTATTTCATGTCCACGACGCAACGGATACAGTCGCCAAGCTTCATCTGTTCAAAAGCAGTGTTGATAGCCGTCAGAGGCTCACGGTGGGTGATGAACTCATCCACCTTGAGCTCGCCATTCAGGTAGTCGTCAACCAGACCGGGCAGCTGAGTGCGTCCCTTGATACCACCGAAGGCACATCCCTTCCACACACGACCAGTAACCAACTGGAAGGCTATACGACAGAGGTTAGTATGAAAGGGAAAGAAAAAAAAAACATCACGGACACGTGTGAGCAACTTACGCCGAGTGGAGATCTCCTGGCCAGCGGCAGCCACACCGATGACGATGCTCTCACCCCAGCCCTTGTGGCAGGCCTCGAGAGCAGCGCGCATGACACCGACATTACCAGTGCAGTCGAAAGTGTAGTCGCAACCGCCGTCGGTCATCTCGATCAAGTGTTCCTGGATGGTCTTGCCGGAGAGCTTGGTGGGGTTGACGAAGTGGGTGGCACCAAACTTGCGGGCCCAGGCCTCCTTGCCATCGTTGACATCGACAGCGATGATCATACCAGCCTTGTTCTTGACGGCACCCTGCATGACAGAGAGACCAACACAACCGGCACCAAAGACGGCCACGTTGGAACCCTCCTCAACCTTGGCGGTCACCACAGCGGCACCATAACCGGTAGTGATACCGCAGCCAAGCAGGCAAGACCGATCAGTGGAGATCTTGGGAGTGACGGCGACGACAGAGATATCGGCAACGACGGTGTACTGGGAGAAGGTCGAAGTACCCATGAAGTGGAGGATGTCCTTACCGCGGGCCTTGAAGCGGGAGGTACCGTCGGGCATCACACCCTTGCCCTGGGTGGCACGGATCTTGCCGCACAGGTTGGTCTTGCCAGACTTGCAGAACTTGCACTCACGGCATTCGGGGGTGCTGTGGAAAAGGGGGTCAGCCAAAGATGCGGCGGCGTCAACACCATCCGAACACACGTACTAAAGAGCAACGACATGGTCACCGGGCTTGACCGAAGTCACACCCTCTCCAACGGACTCGACAATACCCGCACCTTCGTGACCGAGAACGATCGGGAAGGCACCCTCCGGATCCTTGCCGGAAAGTGTGTAGGCATCTGAGGGCTGTCAATGGAATATCCTCTGGAGCTGCATAGTGGGGGGTCCCCGGCGGGGCTTACCGGTATGACAGACACCGGTGTGGTGAATTTGAATGCGCACCTCATGTGCCTTGGGGGGAGCAACCTCGATGTCCTCAACGGACAGGGGCTCACCGGCAGCCCAAGCAATTGCCGCCTGTGGATGTGTTAGTACCTCCAGCTGTCGCGCGGAGTGCCGACGTCATAATGCCCGGCTGGGTCGGAAAGAAGTTTACCTTGCAAGTAATGGTCTGCGAGCATGTTAGCCTGATGATCGTGGGATGATGAAGGACGTGAATTGGAAATTACCTGTCCTACTGTGCTAGCCATGATGTATGTGAGAATTGATATTACCACGCAGCTAGGTGGTTGTGAGTGCCGAGCTTCTATGGAAATCTGGGGGAGGGGAGTTACACTTAGGAGAAGACTAGCGATGAGAAAAAGAGGAAGAGGGAAAAGATGGGATTTTGAACAGTAGAAGTGGAGCCGGAATTGCAGTGAGGGGAATGGGGGGGTGGGCTGGAGAAAGAGATGAGGAGGATGAGGGGTGGTTCTTTCGGGCAGGTAACGGGTGTGACGTCCGACTGGCCATTCGCTTCTAGTCTGTGGAAGGTTTCGCCGTGTCCGCCTTGTCTACACTAGAAACTCTCCGATCCTGCCCCGCCTACACAGTACGGCATCGCGGGGAGTGAGCCGGGTTACAAGCTATCTCTCACCTATCTCCCGCGGGCTCCTAATCAGGCAAAGTTTTCCGCCGTGGTGGGCCTCTTTTCCAGGAAGGTCGGAGTGGCCGGTCTATATAAGATCTTCGTACTCATTACGCGGGTTAAGAAGTACAAGTTGAACTCAGTCCAGTCGACATCAAAGAAGTGGTGTTATTTTTCTCATATGGGGATTGGTGAACATGCGGAGCTGCTCCGCTCCCGCCCGGATTCACTATGGTACACGAATAGAAGCCGAATCCTCCCTAAATGCGCCTTTCCGGCTCTGGGTCTCGCCCAGTATGCCTGATAATACCTTATTTCGATCCCGAGCATCTCTTAGAGATTAGACCGGCTTCTATAGGGGATTTCCCCGAAAAGTCAGGCGCACAGCCCTGCCCTATCGGTGGCGTGGATTTTTCATCCCCCCAACGCCAATGCACCCTCGGCCTCCCGAGTGTTTTTTGGTTTTATTTACCGTCCAGGCTGACCGCCCTGCATCATGGCAGCGTTCTGCTCCTGGAAGCGCTCCTGCAACCGGGCGGAGCCCTTCAGGTGCTTGTCCACACAGCGCATGATGCACTGCTCCTCGCGGTTGATGAGAGACTTGGTGGTGAAGTCATTGACACAGTCGTCGAAGCAGCGCTGGACCATCTTGGAGTACATCTGTAGAAAGAAAGAAGGGGGTTAGATCGGAAGAGAGACGGAAAACGGCCGCGGAGAGTTGGACGACGGGGAGTGCCGGAGATCGACGCGAATGATCATAGAGACGACGGCGACGTGACACATACAGTCATAAACTCCTTCATCTGCTTGCGCTCCATGCGGGACGCGAACTCGCGCTGCTCTGATTGGGAAAGGCTGCGTCTTGCAATCAGTATCGGATGCCGGGGAAAATCTCGTGACAAAGCCTGCTAGGCAGTTGATGGAGAGGTACATACTTCTCCATTATGTATGGGGTTGAAACCGGGGAGAATGAAGGGTTCCGATTAAAAGTCGATGTTGGGGGTTATGATGGTTAAACAGGCGTCGAAGCTCCGAAGCTGTTTCTCTGCGCCCGCAAGTACGTTCTTCCGTTCGAGTCACGTGAGAAGATGGATGGTCACCTGATACAAGGCACATGACCTGGGGGCGGACCGTTTGCAGGCAGAATCATTTCACATTCGAGTCGGCAAAGTGGCCTGTGACTAAGGTTTGTATCCGAGGTAGATACATGCTGTATAGAGATGTCAAGATGCGCGATCAAACATGGACTACAGGTGATGAACGATGAAAGATGACGAAGACGATGAAGCCCATCCTATATTCACGTCGGGACCCTTCCGGGGCTCCACTCACTGCAGACTGAAACGGATCTTTGGTACCTGAGTCCGAATGCAGGCTCAAAGACCCCTATAATCGGGTCCAGACACGGTCCAGAGCCCCGTTGTGCCCTGGAGTAGTTGACCCCCGAGATTAGGCACAGAAAAAAAAAATAAAAATTTACCAGCGAGGAGAGATACGGAAAAGAACTGCACAAGTCGACCAGTAGACCATCGCTGGTAGACAAGATGTACACGAGGTAGAGCAGAAGCAGAGACGGAAGCCGCCGTGAACACTTGAAGATACTCTTAATCTCCGTCCAAGTGACGGCCGACCCTGACCCATTCGTCTGTCCCCGGGAACCTTGGCTCTGCGAATTACACGGTCTATTCATAGCACAGTACCTTTTCCTCTTTCCTCTCTACTACTTCCTTAACTCTCTATAACAGATTAGCTTCATCTTCTGATTCCAGACCCCTCGGAACTCTGAACCTCATCCCCTCCTTCCTTGCCACCCCCCCCCCTCACAGGACCCTTGACACACACATCCCTTCTCGCCCCTCGTCCTTCCTCGTCCTTCTCTCCTCTCATCCCTGCCGTCCCGCTCACTTCAGGCGACCAAGATTTCAGAGGTCCTCCTCGTTCGCCACCGTGATCTTGGGCCCCCCCCCCCCAGCCCCAGGATTTCCAAAACGCGGGCGGTGACGCAGGTGGTTCCCGCGATCCCCTCTCTCCTCGAAGTCTGACCTCTAGTTATCTTCATCGCGTCCGTCCGACTTTACTATGGTGACCGGTAAATCGCAGCCTGGCATCGAGCCAGTGCACTTCCCCGCCTCGCCCGAGCCCGTTCCCTCCAATTCTCCGCCCTCCAGGCGAGATCTCGCCTCGTGGTGGAGACAGTTCAAACGAAATACGAGAAAGGATGATTTGAAAGGTACGTTGGGAGCTCTAGTCTCTTGTGCGCAAACTTCAACTCTGGGATCATCGTCGCTTTGCCACAACCCGACGTACCGGGTTTGGGACGTGAAGGTGCCCCTGACCATACTGCCGGGCGTTGTGCCAGAAATCGCGGTCTCTCAGGGCATTCCCCCCCAATGGCCTTTGCACATCAACCCCCATTTTGGATCCAGTGTGCTTACCATCACCCGTAGCGGAAGCCCCTCGAGGTATCTTCGGCGTGCCGCTTAACGTCAGCATCAAGTATGCGAATGTCGCTATCTCTCTCACCAACGAACGTGGTGAGAGCTTCATCTACGGATATGTACCGATCGTGGTCGCCAAGTGTGGCGTCTTTTTGAAAGAAAAAGGTTCGCGATCCCCGCCCGACTCCACACCTTGATCGATCACCGCTAACTCTCCCAAATAGCAACTGATGTCGAGGGTATCTTTCGACTCAATGGGTCCGCCAAACGTATCAAGGATCTTCAGGAAATATTCGACTCTCCCGAACGCTACGGAAAGGGCCTCGATTGGTCCGGATACACAGTTCATGATGCTGCCAACGTCCTCCGCCGATACTTGAATCAGTTGCCCGAACCCATCGTTCCGCTGGAATTCTACGAGCGCTTCCGCGAGCCCCTCCGTATCTATCAGGAACAAGTCCTCCAGGATAAGCAGGTGCCGGATGCGGATAAATTCGACCATGCCAAAGCAGTCGAGACCTACCAGCGCCTGATTATTGAGCTCCCTCCGCTGAACAAGCAGCTGCTTCTCTACATCCTTGATCTTCTCGCCGTATTCGCGTCCAAGTCTGACCAGAATCGCATGACGTCGGCCAACCTTTCGGCCATTTTCCAGCCCGGCATGCTGTCCCACCCTCAACATGACATGGCGCCGGCCGAGTACAAGCTGAGTCAGGACGTGTTGATTTTCCTCATTGAGAACCAAGATCATTTCCTGGTGGGCATGAGCGGCACCTGCGCAGATGAGCAGCAAATGAAGGAGGTCGAGGCCGGTATCCCGTCGCGTCCGACCACGACTCAGTCCAATGTTCGACGGTCCGTTTCCAGTGCCAGTGCCAGTACGGAAAGCCAACGCAAGCTGGACTCTATTCGTCGCAATGTTTCCATCTCGTCTCGCAACTCGCGCACCTCGCGCACCTCGCGCACCTCGAACAACGCCCCCAGCCCCGGTACTCCTACCTCCACCGGGGGCGGCGTCCACCGTAGCAACACTCTTCCCTCGAAGATGAGTCCCATCGTGGCTACCCGTTTTGCACGATCTGGTGAGACTGTTTCAAACAACCCGTCCGGTCTTTCCGTCTCCCACCAAAGCTCTCGATCTGTCAGTCGAACACCGTCTGTGCGTGAGGAGCCCGAGCAGCGCAACCCAAGCATAGCTCCGTCCACTTCCACCATTGGGAGTGCCTATGTACACACATCAACCCACGGCCCGATACCTGCCGCAGCAGCAGAGGCGCTCCACATCAGTGATATGCCTCGTCCGCAAGACCACCTGCACACCCTTGCTTCACCACCACCACCTCCTCAAGCCGTGACTCCTAGTAAGGAACGTAAACTTTCCACGCTCTTTACCAAGTCTCCGCCTCCTGAAAATGAGCAGAAGGAACCACGGCAGCCAAATCGATTGAAGAAGAGACGGATACCGGGCAGTGCAAGCATGAGTGCGCAGAGTTCAACAAATTCCTTACATGCAACACCCTCTGAGCTGAATGTCCCGGAACCATCCTTCGAACCGAGGCGCGGCCGAGAGTCGATAGATATTGCCATGGGCGATATCACTCCCAAACCTCCGACCACCGCCAACATGAGCAACCTTGACGCCCCCTCGGATTCGCACGCTCTCGGAGAAGGCGCATCTCAGCTGAATCATGACGCCTCCCTCAAACCCCATCAGTCCCGCACACCCTCTATGAATTCTCGATCTTCTTTCACCGACCACTCAGATTATGATCAGCCCGAGGACGTTGCACGTGCTGAGCGCCGAGAAAACAGACGGAGTTGGCGGTTCCAACGGTCGTCGAAACGAAGCAGTGAACAAGTCGGGCTTGGTCTCGCGTCTCCGCCCTTAGCTGCTACGTCTATTGCAGCAGATCAAAGCACGAGCTCGATAGGTAGCGGGCAACACAGCACTGATCCTTCCAGTCAACCTCTCAGCCTGGACGCTGGGATTCAAAGTAACTCGTCACAGAGCGCTGAACCGGAGAAAAAGAGTCTGTTTGGTAAATTCAAAGCCAAGGTGGCTCAGGTTCGAGACGGCGTCAAGGACGACCGGGAGCGGGCCAAGAGCCCCAACCAGTCAGACTCTGACCCATATTCCAGTCAACCGCTTTCTCCCACTGTGCCAAGTCAGATCAACGGCAAACCCGCCCATGAAATGCCAACCGAGCCCCCAAAGGAAGAATTGGTTCGTTCTCCTGTCTCGCCCTTGCCCGGGGCAGGAATGCCTCCTTCAATACCCGAGGAGCCACACAGTCCCGAAGCACCAGTCCATGTACCTGTAGTCGAGTCAGAAGAGTCGACGCAAAATCAGCCCGCAACTACGGTGGAGGCAGCCCCTGTTCTCGAGCACCTCGTGTCTGAGGCACCCAGAGAGGCTGCTGCGAAAGAAGCGTCTCCTTAAAATGGGTTCTGGAAGTCCGGTAATATTTTACTTTCGCCAGCTTCCAAGAATGTCTTGCCTGGGACTTGTTTCATCTAGCAACCATTCTCCATATGTTGCTTCGTCTTTGATCCTCCCTTTGAGCATCTGCTCACCTTTGATGCATCGGCCTGGGATCTCCAAGGATCACCAGACTGCTCCGTGGAACGACCTTTATTAAGACCGCTTCCTTGGTTTCTTCTCGTTGGTTGCGGTATCCATGTGCTCTGTCTCCCCCTCTCTCCTATGGTAGCAGTCCTCTCAGCACCGGATTGTGTCTACAATACTCATTATCTCTGGTGTTTCTGAGCCATGGTGATTCTCGACCCTGTCTTATGTCTCTCTGCCTGCACATCTTATGCCTTGGGTCCTTGTCAACCTTTCCTCGCCCCCCCCTCTCTCTCTTCACCTCCGCCCACCCCCTTCCTCACGCGGAGCCTATTAGCTCCATGTTGTTACGTTGCTATGTGGTACGAATGTATGTCTCTTGTGTTTTCAGCCGGTCTGTTACAGCCTTTTTCTTTCCTTGCCTCAGGCAGATAGTTGGCCGCCCGTTGAACTAGAATCAGAAATGGAAAAGATTATACACATGTCGCTTCGCTGTCAGTGGTATTGGCAAAAACGCACGTATTCGTTAGGGATTACTGGATGGTCAAATCCAGTACGGCGTTGATTAGGTGCCTCTGTGATCTGACGTACGAGGCCACACATTTACCCTAAATTCCAGGCACCAATAAAGTGCAAACGTACCAAACACAACTAGCTCCGCTCCCCGACCCTTTCGCGTCCCGAGCGAACCGGAGCTTGTAGACATAGGGGAGAAGACGAAAAAGTCGGGTTCAATGTGCTTGCTATGGCCTCAGCAACGTCATCCCCAGCTATGAACCAGCCGGGCTCGCCGGGTCAGGCCCCTGCCGAGACACCAAGCGCACCGCCTATCCCTATTCTTCCCTTGAAGCTGTCGCAAGGTTACTCATATGTGCACCCAGTGCTTCTCCTGACACTATGTGCTGTACGGTTCGAGAAACTGGTTGCGGACCCTGCGCAAGAACTTCTGAAAGACCTGCCATGGCTGGCTTTGCTTCAGATCTTTTATGTGATGCTCTGTCTTCCACCGGCCGGGTCAACACAATCTGCCGAAACTATCTCGGACGGCGAAGAGAAAAAGAAAGCTGCACCGCGCTCGCCCGGTAGCCCTTCTGTGGCTTTACGTCCAGGCAAGCCTAGATATCGGCGAAAGCATCAGAGCGGCAAGCTCGACTTGGCCGGAGCACTTGCCAAACTCATGGTATTACCTGGGACGTCCACCCTTCAATTCAATCGCTTACCCACTTCATTAGCCGGCTTTTCTCTCTCTCGTCATCTCCGCCTTCATCGCAACCCCCATTTTTGCGGTCCTTCTCGTCTTATTCGGTGCTCCGCTGACAACACACAACGCTGAGACCGTGCTCTGCGCCGCCCATATGGCCCTGCTCTCCGCAACTGCGTTAGTCTACACCCATGGTCTGGATGGTCAAATATGGAAAGAGGTGTGGGGAATTGCTCGGCCTGTTGATGCAGTCTGGGGCAGCGCTCTGGGCACTGGACTGGGGGCATGGTTTGGAGCCATCCCTATTCCGCTGGACTGGTAAGTACTATGAAGCGTGGCGCCACCAAGGATTCGGTTTTTTGACTTGCAATTCCAATTTAGGGACCGCCCATGGCAAGCCTTCCCCATCACCATCCTGGTAGGAGCGTACATCGGTTATGCCTTGGGATCATTGGTGTCCCGCACGCCGTTGCTGTATGGCAAGCGGATTCATTTTACGCCTTTGCGAGCCGAAGATGCAGACAAGAAGACAAATTGAAGAAAAGTCCCCTTTTAAACCGTTGACAATGTCTAATTACTTGTTGGCTCTGTCCTTTGGGTCATTGGCAATATGGGCAAAGTGTGACCAAATGGAAGATCTCGTCATTGCGAATAGCTAATACAGCACGGCCCAATTAATGTATACTAGACTACTTACCGTTTGACTGCATCATATCTACCAATCTAGCGATAGTTGGATGCATCGGCAAGCCTCTAAAGCTTACTGAAATCCTTGAAACTACCATGTCGTCCAGAGCCGCGGCTGAATCTGGCGGCACCTGAAATTGCCTCTGCCGATATGACCTTGCTCCCGGCCTGGAATTCTTGGGACATAGCGTCCTGGAAAGAAGAGGCATCGTAAGCGCTGTAGTAGCAGGATTGACGGTCGGTATTTAGGCAAAGCTGGGGGAATGCAATGAGCTGCCGAGCCAGTTCAAGAGCCTGCTTTAACGAGTCGCCCTTGGGGACCACGCGGTTTGCAAGTCCCATCGAGAGAGCCTCTTCAGCTCCAACAGGTCGACCCGTCAGGATCAAATCAAGGGCTCGGCCCAATCCAACAATTGCTTGTAGTCGAACGGTTCCTCCGTCGATGAGAGGCACACCCCATCGTCGACAGAAGACACCAAAGACAGCGTCCTCTTCCACGACTCGTAAATCCGCCAGTAGACTCAGTTCCAATCCGCCTGCAACGGCATACCCAGCAACCGCAGCAATAACCGGTTTCTTGATGACCAGCCTGGATGGGCCCATGGGACCCCAAGTTGCGGCCGTGAACCGGTTGTAGATTCTCGCCTGGACTTTCATTTGTTGCCTGCGCTACTTGATGAAGGTCTGCGCCCGCACAAAATGTATCGGTGCCCGTCAGGATGCATACTTTCTGTGTCGCATCCGCCTCAAAAGCGAGGATGGCTTCGTAGAGCTGTTTCGCGGTCAACGGGTCCACTGCATTCTTTCTATGAGGTCGATGAATGGTGAGAATTGTGACGCCTGGCTGCGATGTATCAGTCAAGACCGATCCTGAGTTCGATTTCGCATTCATCATGTTGGCACATTGCAACGAAAGTTGAGCGTCGGAGACTGCTTTTGGGAAATTGACGTGAAATAACCTCGGTTCGTCCCCACTTGACTTTTCCCACCACTTCCGCCATGTCCACCGCGTGCATCATATGCCATAAACGAAAGGTGTTTACCCCATTGATGCCGTGCATGGACCCATCGCTGACTATTTCCAGGTCCGGTGCGATTTGGCGACTCACAGTCCTTGCACCAACTGCACGAAGTCTGATGTGGATTGCAGGTAAAAAAGAGGAAAAAAAGTAAAGTCCCGTGACGCGTGCACGACTGATCTATGTAGACCCTATACACGCAAACGCAAGCGATATACCAACAGCTTATCCCCTCAACGCAGCGTGGCTACTGAGTCTATTAGCCGGCGCAGCTCCCAATTTCCCGACCTCGAGGGCGGGATCACAGCGCCACGCTTGTCTTCAAGTGGCTCCTGCGGTGATAATGCAATCCCCAATGTATCTAACCAGCCCGAGTCGGTGCCCTTGCAATCGCCATTACCATTGCCAGCTTCCGTGAACAATGTCGAGTCTTTTATCAAGGAGGAAAGCTACCGCGGGCGCAGCGAGTACTTGGGCGGCAGTGTTCCCTTTGATGAAAATATGGTAAAGCCCGGCCATGAAACGAGCTACACCAGCCCCCAAGCATCGGCTGCCGACTTGCGAATGTTGCGTGAACAGGGCGCATTTGAACTCCCTCCGGTCGCTGTCCAGAGACAGCTGATGGACAGTTTCAATAAATACTGTGTTCCTTGGACACCCGTCATCGACCCTAAATGGCTCGATGAAATTGCACCGCCATCTATGCTCCTCTTACAGTCAATATTCTTAGCCGGTAGCAGGGTTTCCAAGGCTCATTTGGATTATGGGTCCAGCGAGGTCTTCTACCGACGCGCAAAGCTCTTATTCTTCTTCGGCGGTGGCAACGATGCATTAATCTCGATCGTGGCTGCCTGTCTACTGCATTGGTATAATCCGGTAGGCCCGGAAGACGTGTCTACTGACACAAGCGGGTTTTGGATTCGAACCGCGGGGGCCATGGCCTTTCAAATTGGTCTTCACAAAGAGCCCCCGCCCAACGCAAGATATCGAGGCCTGCGTCGGCGTTTATGGTGGTCTTTAGTGGTGCGTGTCTAGCTTCGTGACTATCATCAGTGAAGGATCTAATTAATTTTCTTTCCAGATTCGAGACAATGTCATATCGGTGGGAGTCGGGCGACCGAGAACGATTAATCTCAGGGATAGCGACGTACTTCCGCCCTCGATGAATGATTTCCCTGTCAAAGATTTCCAAGCACAAGTCTTCTTGGCGTATTGCACGATATCTTGCCACCTGGGAGATACTGTCGAGTACTACCTACGAAAGGAGATCTCTCGAAAACGTCGCGTTGATCTGGAAAACGCCGTGTATCGATGGGCAAAACAAGTCTTTCCGAAACTGCGTACCTCCGCTACCCTTCAGGAAGATAGCACAACCTCTAATTTTGAGGTTCAGCAACTATTGGTCATGTACTTTGTCGTATTGACCATTCTTCATCGCTCACCTACACCAGGCAGTGTCCCGCCGGCAGGAGCTCTCGTGGCGTCTTCTTTTATCGCGGGCATCTATGAAGAGTTCCTTCTTCGGGACGAACTTCGCTACCTAGGACCCGTCTTTGCCTTTTATCCACTATGTGCCGGATTGTCTCTGCTTTCCAGCTGCCGTTATCCACAGTTGCAGATTACAGCCGAACACGAGCTGACAGTGATCAAACTCTCCCTTCAGAAGCTATCGGAACGGTGGCTTTCGGCAGTTGGGCCTCTGCGGGCTCTCAGCAAATTGACCGAAAAAGTCCGAGACCAAGGACCCTTTGAAGGTCCACCTCCAACTCTTGACTTCGACACCGCCTCTTTTTTCGAAGGTTTCGACGTCAAATTGTGCAAGCAGTGGCGCCTCATTGGGCAAGTCGCTGAACCCGCAGGCTCTACTCTAGGCACCGCGGCTACCTGTACCATGGCCGACGTGCAAGACGCCGATTCTCTGCCAGTCTTTGACACTCGGCTGGATGAGCCGGTCGAGACATTCAATTTTACCCCTCTTGACACCAATCCGGAGCCATTTGGCACCAATTGGGAGGGCTCGGGTTTTGATTGGAGCGGCTCATGGCTCCTCAACGTTTGAACTTATGTTTCTTTTTTACGCGACCATAATACTACACAACGTTCAGCGATTTTGAAATCATCATTCCTTTGGCCGGTGCAAGGAAGAAATTCTGGGTCATTGGGCATGACACACCTATGAAGAGTGGAGGATAGCTATCGAGACTTGCTCAAGATGAATTCCACCATGGCTTTTCTTCCATCGAGCTTCAGAGGCGCTTCTGTGTGCAATGCACCTGCGACCTCTTTCGTCTCAAGATCCAAGTTTAGAGACCTGGCACATCGCTCTAATTTGACTGAAACATAAGAAGGAACAACTTCATCTTTTCCAGCAGACAGTAGAAGAATAGGAGGAATACGAGATGCCGAATCTGCCGCTTCCATGTCCGACTCATCTCTCCAGCGAGCCATCTGGCTCAAAGACTTGGTGATATCCCATGTATTCCAGGACAGTGGCCAAAGATACCGATAGGGTAGCCATTTCTGGGGATAAAGGCTGATCAACATGTCTCTGATGCTGGAGGTTGGTGCCTCTAAGATCAGCCCGACAAGAGGTGCCAGTGAGCCATTACTTTCGCGAGTGGAGGTCTGCTTGGAATGCTGACTAGCAAGATACGCTGTGGTGGCTGCACTGGCGACGGCAGCGCCCAAGCTGTGACCCCAAAGAACGATCTCAAGATCGATCTCCGGTGCTTGATAGGTCTCTGATACCCAGGTAAGGAAGGCCTGTGCATCTTTTTCTATTCCGGTTTGAGTAGCACGACCCGAAGATGTCCAGTAGCCACGATAGGATAAAGCAGCGATGGTGTATTCGGTTTCGTTCTGCTGCGCCTTCGAGGTTGATTTCGAGGTTTCCGTGATTGTTCGCAGAACCTGAGATAGAAGGGGTAATCGCATTGGCATCGACCCACCATTTCCTTGGAAATAGCAAATTACTACGCGTCGCTTTCGAGACTTTGATGTCCGCTGGGCGTCTCCTCCATTGGTCATGGTGGCGATGTGACCTTCGCAAATCGCTAGCTTGGTTCCGTCAAGACTGCGAATCTGTTTCTCCTCCCACTGAACAGGTCTGCATTCGACTTCATAGTCAGCAATCTTGTCGGATCGCGTGAAAGGTGGAAGCCAAGTAAGGTATAAGAGCTTGTCCTGCATCACGACGATCCAGAAACATTTCCAAAGCCAGAGGGAGAGCAGCAGCCCCACGAAAATGAGCGGTGGAACAAGAACATTGGGAATCGCGGCAGTAGCTAAGCCCCGGGTCCGTGTATACAAGTTCAGTCGAACATCTTGAGCGACAATAGGTCGCTTCACTGCAAGATATTGAGTGGCATAGGAGGGGGTGAGGCGCGCATCCCACGTAGCTTGACGTACGGCACTGACGGTTCTACGACCGTGCTGGACGCGTCGCAGCGCCCATCTCCCCAGCATCAAAGGTGAATGAGAGTCAGCTTTTGACACGAATGTTGGACTTGATGCGAATGGACGAGACGCGAGACACGAACATCGTTGGACGGATGCCCGGATGGTTGACTCAGCAGAATTAGTGCATCAAAGGTAATCGCGAGTTACATAACGAGTGGTGTATGTGTTCACAAGATGTCTACACTGGCATCACGACTGGACCAAATTCACATTCTTTGAATCTATCCAAGTCCACATCTTGGCTCTGTTCTTCGTCTCCAGCCCAACACATTGCCTGAAATTTCCCAAACACTCTAGGTTGGCCACTGGCCACCGTGCTGCTGATGGATTTGGGCAATTCGCCAGTGGACACGTCCTGCTTCCCTAAGATTTCGACTTTCTTGCCATTCATTGTAATATCGATACCTCCTTGACCCCGATAAGAAAGCGAGGAACGTGTTTGCTGCTTAGACTCTGGCGGATCGCATCTTATGTTTTGAGGGCCAGACGATCACTAAACAAATAGCCAGGCTGCAATACCACAAACAAGAAGACAGACTCGTCGGCCTCATAATGTCTTCGCCGACCCACACATAGCGTAATTGAGATTGACTCGTTGAATGGTGCGGACTCCGTGATCGAGTATATCAAAGGATCCAAATCGAATACCCTGCGGATTCAAAATACCATCACTGTCAAGAATTGCGTGAGCATCACGTCCCGAGAGCCTGGAGCATACGGCTGGTCCAACATGGATTTAACCTTCTTCCATGAATTTGCCATCCTTTCGTCTGCGACTTGTAGCTCGCCCAGTCATGCTGAGCCCAGCAGCCCTCCAACTTATCGAAATACGTGCTTTTGTACATAGTTCCATCTTTGTCGCCCCAGAAGAACACAGGCATGGATGGGAAAGGCTGACGATAGACAAACTCACCATATTTTCCCAGTATATTTTACGGACTTTGGCCGCAATGGGATTTACCACGTCCACGTCCTATCCTAACATTGGTAAATGGATTTCTCCAGGGTTCAAAAGACCAGCAGGGTCAGTCCCGATCCAAGACGTCCCGAGTCTGTGCCACCGGTAACACTGGTGAGAGGGATATCTGGTGGAAACATGTCAGCGCCCAAGTACGAACCGGCCGTCTGAACCATTCGCAAAGATGAAAGGTCAAACTCTGTTCTAGAGACACAACGAGTCAACTCCAGCTCTTGTAAATAACTAGGCAAACAGCTCCAATACGTGTGGCACGATGAGACTCTGCAATCCTCACTATTGCCCTTGCAGCCGGCAAGAACGGTGACTCGTCGTATAGAATCAGAGTTGGCGCGACCATGGACGGCCGATCATAATATTCCATAGCACCCATGAGATGCTACTATTGAAATACGATATCGTGGACAGTGAGGGAGTTGTGCGGCATAGCCAATTTCTTATGCTGCAAAATTTCTTATGGAAATGTGGACAAGGCAGTTGGGTTGACCCGTCGTGCCGCTGGTGTAAAGAATGTATCGCGGATGGGAGAAGGGCACTCTCTTGAACTCAAGCTTATCGTGAGCTTGAGACAGTGACATTAAGTTGTCAAAGCTGGGAAAAACTTACTCGGATGTCCCGGTGATTGGAATCAGAAAGACGTCCGGCTTGACCTTGAGTGCATTGAAGATATTTCGGATTTTGTGCACATTTTACTGCATCTGGAAATCAAGTGGCGTGCTCATCATCTTGCCGTAGAATCAAGTGCCCTCATTCTCAAACAACCTTACACATCGCTCAAAAGAGTCGTGCGTTCATCCTCTGCGGGCAAGTTATAACCGTCCTTCTAGAGCCATTTTGACTTACATCCCTCCCCCGACGGTACAACAAAATCTGTATATTTAACACGTCGAACGGCGACTGTGAAGCAAGCTAAGTTGGAAAGGGCAGCCAAGCAAGCATCCGACAAAGAGGCAGGAATTGTAACCGATGGTAAATAGAATAGATCGCACAGCATATCTATGATTCTTTAAGGTCATTTATTAATTGCTGAGATCATCGCTCCTTCAGACACAGTTGAGATGTATAGCCAAAGCTATGCCATGAAACTCGAGGCAGAAGCATGGGAGTAATTTAAGCTTGCTCATGATCTCCTTTCCAGGGAACTTATTTACCCAGCATGCGCTTTGGGTCGCCTCCGTTCACAGAGAACCAAGCCATTGCTGTTACCGTGCAAAAGATCACATCCCAGCTGACGCTACTCACGGCCGGATGCTCGTATATTGCGGCAAATAAAACCCGGGTCAACGTTCGATATTCCCCCGCTTCCGCGTGCTCCAAAACCTGAAGCGTGGAGTGGGCTTGCAAAAGAACACAAATTGCGGCGAGCAACTGGAAGAAGACAATATATCGCCGAGTGGTGTTATCCGCATCTTGGGCTCTGCTGCGAGTCTTGGTAGCGACTCGGTTCTTTTCTGAGCGACTGGGACGAAGGATTGCAGGGACAAAAAGCAGGAGATGTGGAATGAGCAAAGTGGCCATAAAGTATTTGGTATGTGCGACCATTGGGACTGCCACCGTGCTCAGTAGAGAGATGGCCACAGGCAAGATTTCACTGTACAAGGGCGGCGACCACGAAAAACCCTCACTAGGCTCCTTTTCTTCGTCTTGTTTCGCTGGAGTTGGTTCCTTAGAGACAAGAATGGTCGCGAAAAACAAGTTCTGGGCGAATGAGATGGCAACAATCTGGCCCAGAAGCATGTAGGCCCACGCATGCGAGATACGATATCTCCGAGCTGGTTCGGACAGTTAGTCGCAAATGAGATTGTTAGATCGACCAGGTGGCGTACCCATGATACCCAGAAAAACACTCCACCCTGTTGTCCACAGGAAGATCTGGCCACTCCACCAGAATCGCGCAGGGGTCTCGATGACAGTTTCCCAGGCCTCTCGAAACAACTTCGCGTTCTGCAGCCATAGTTCCAATTTGAACAGAATGGAGACCTCGGCTCCTTGTAAATCAGAAACGCCGCGGGTCTCTTCCCAATTGCGGTATGAATGTGCGAAGAATGCAAACATGTAAAACCACGTTGCGCCGAGACTCAGGATCGCCAGAACCGCGAAAATGAAGAAGTGTGCGCGCCTTGCGGGTGATGCCCAGTCATTTGCCTTCTCTCTTGCTTGGTATCGCTTGTGGATAGCTCGGCAGGCATTGAGGGCCAGGGCCGCGGCGAGAGTGATGTAGCTGACCAGTATCGGGAGCGACCGATATGTCAGTCGAGGTGCGTCGGCATGGAGCTCAGACATCTCGAGCTCTTCAAATCACACTTTGTCCCGGTGGATTGATAGATGGTGCTCGGTTGTGCCCAGAATGTTATTTCGTGGGGAATGAAAGAACCCGAGGTTCTCACCAGCCACTCCGCCATCTCCGTTTGCCAAGAGTCGCCTCTACATCAAGTTTTGACGTGTGTTTCCTCCTATTGATATCGTAATTGCCCAGGCTAATTGATATGGGCCAGTTCATGGGGTAATAAGGTTCTATCATTGGTCATTGTTTCACAGTGTAATTATCGACAGCCTGAAGAGAAAAACAAGATCCCAAATGCCCGCAATCTCCGCTGCATGATTTCACTATGTATGATCTGCGAGAAACTAATCCCAGAATGGTGTTACAGCTTCGAACTATTGCTTTGCAGAGACCTGTGGCCAGATGCCCGGTGAGCCGGCAGTTCACAGCCCCATGCAAGACGACAATCCCATTGTAGATGATCTTCACCGTCCGCATCAACAACTCCATGGTCTCTGACGGTGACAATATCATGGAAAACAGAATCGCCGACACCTCCTTCGGCCTTGAGGACCCAGCGGTGCGCAATCTCCATGCTCACGCCATCTTGGTCTCTTTCGGCATCGAGGGCCAAGAGTGCGCCACACATGATCCAGGCGAGCGTGAACATATAGCGACGGGCATCAGCAAGGACTGCAGTCGGTGCCTTATTTTTTGAGGGGAACCGAGCTCGTAATTTGGACCAAGCGGCAGTCAAGCTATCACGCAAACTTGAAGTGTGCAGTGAAGCTAGGATGCGGTCTAACCATGCTGCGAAAATGTTCATGTTTTCCGATCTTAAGAGGAAACGAACAGTTTCACTGGCCAGGACATTAGTCGTGCCTTCCCAAATCGAGTTCACCGAGGTGTTGCGAAGAATTCTTGAAATGTTGAATTCAGGCTCATCTGCTTCATCCATGTAGCCAACACCGCCCATAGCTTCTTGGCATTCCTGAATTCCAGCAATCGACATCTTGCTGACAACGGCTTTTGTAGTGGCTGTCAGTGTTCTGAACACGACATTGGCCTCTTTGCCAGGACGAGGCATATGTGCCAACTCTGATGGCTGAGACACCTTGTTCTCAACGAGTCCCATCACGGCGACCGTAAAGAACCCAAGGTTCAAACCGCCACGATGTCTAACTTCCAAGTCAGCAAGAAGACGCAGATGCATTGGAATCAACCAAAGGGGCTCTCCAACGGTCGATCTAGCTTTTGCAAAGCTTTTCGTGATACTGAGCGCACGACGCCAGCCAGACAGAGACCCGATGAACGTGTGAATGCGGGTCACATTAAGTAGAGGCGCAATGGTGACTATTCCCTGGTCAATCTCCCCCACCAGATGGGCACGCATATCCGTCAGCTCCAGTTCAGCTGTCGGTAGTTCCTTTGTTCCAAGTTTATTTTTCAACCGATGGATTCTCACACCATTAGAAACCTGTCGAGTTGTACCATCGTCCCCGGATACTGTCCTTCGTAGAGGTGCCAGGAAAGTGCTAAGCTTCCCCGAAGGACCTTTGGCCAGCAACAAAGCCACTTGAGCATCAGTGGCAGACGAGAAGAACTTGAATCCATTGATCAAGTAATCCCCGTCTCCGAGAGGGTCTTGATTGGATAATTTCGTCAGAGGAGAGTACGTTGCCCAAGTTTCCGTGTTTTGAACATCGCTTCCTCCAGCCCTCTCTGTCATCCACTGACCCGAAGTCCAATGATTGTCATTCTCAGAAATCAGATGTTTGTAAGCAGTATGAAATGGATGCGTAGGATGTAAATCATGAAGCCTCGATGAGAGAATGAAAGCGGCTCCATCTGTCATGCTAATCGGACAGGAGTACAGACCCGAAGAAGGTGCGTAGAGGTAGTTTCTAGATTTCTGATCAGCCCACAGCCTTATAAAAGTCTCCAATAGTTGATGGGATAAAGATTTTTCACTCACAGTGCATATTGGACTGTCCTCCGTTCCAATCCCAGAGTCAGGTCGTAACCTGCGGAGACGATCTTATTGCGAGCTCCCCAGTGACCGAGCTGTTTCCAGCCTTCAGTAGTGATCAGTCGTTCATAGTCATATCGTTTTCCCCAGACATTGTGGCTCTTGACATAAGGTTGATTCCGTTCAGCATCAGCACTCCACTCCCGAACCTGGTCGGAGATCGCCTCGGCGCCGAGGCGGCTCAAGTGTACTTCTACGGATGCGAGTGTTGTGGATGGGAGATACCCTAGGCAAAAGTTAGGACAGGAATCAAGGCTAGTCTCTCCAAATATTAAATGGGACCGACATTTCAAAGCACGCTGTAAGCTTGTATCCGATGTGTATGTATTCTCTAAAGGACTTGGTTCAGTGATGTACCCGGTGTCTGCAGATGCGGGCTGTGGTGGCGATGGCATAATGGAGATCCGGTGAAATGCGGGGATGGTCGATACAGAATACCTGGGGTACTTTAAGCGGTTGTAGCAGCGGACATGAGATGAGCTTTATCTCACTTATGTCAAAAGAGGGGCGCTACCAAAGTTTACTCGTCGTATTGGCACATTCATGCACTTGGACCTCGGCGTTCGGTTCGCCCCATGTTACTGCCGTGTGGAGGTCCACGATTCGCCGTAAAACCGCCGAATGGGAACCATGAATACGATGTGCTAATGATGACTGACTTGTCACTAATTCAAAAAAAAAAAGGTGGAAATCACCGGGTATTTCTCCAGGTGATGATGGTCTTTGGACAGTAGAAATATTTTTCTACAGGAAGGCACCTAGAGTTGGTTTCGATTAGAGACTCTCTCCGGTATCACTTTTGGAGTCACCATATACCCAGTCACATCTCATGCAGTGTGTTGTATCCAGTCTCGATCAAGCTGCGAGAGCCTCTAGCATCGGAACAGATGTGCCAATAAAATATTCCCCCAAGTTTAGACGAGATCACGAATTCTGCTTTCTGCTTGACCGTAGCAGGAATATCGTAAGTAACAAACCCGCCATCTGCACCTACACAAGCCGCAGCACCAGCTTGTTCATCGTGCATTTCTTGGGCTCCTGGGCGCGGTAGATCGCTGTAATCAAACACACCGTCTTCGCCTCCGGTTCCAGTATACCGCTGCCCAGGCCCAGTACTTCCAAGAAATGAGCGGCCATATACCGGAACACCGAGGATGACCTTTCGCGAGGGCACTCCCTGCGTCAACACATAGTCCACGGCCGAGTACCCGGAGGTCGGTGTACCGTAAAGTTGGGCTTGGTGGCCGGTCTCAGGGCCCCACGGGCCTGCAAAGTCATAGGCCATGAGATTGATCATGTCTCAGGTACCTTTGTGCTGCGGACAGATCAATGTTTCGCAACGCCCATTGACCCGCCGGGAGGCAGGTTGCTAAAACATATCGAGGAGCAGGCAGGACTTCTCGCAATTTGGCGAGAAGACGGACGTAGTCCTTGCCCTGCTGCGGGTCTGCAGGGTGCTCCCAGTCGACTATATGAAAGATGAGACAAGATTCAATCTTCAAAAAAGTCAAACCTACCATCAATGCCATCCAGTCCATATTGGTCAACCAACGCACGCGCTGTTCGAGCGAACGTTTCCAACCCCGAACGACTGCGGGCTACAACAGCAAAATTCTCACTTCCTTTACCACCACCACCGACAGAAAGAATGACCCTCATTTTCGAATATTGCTGCTTGAGTTGGACGAATGCTTGTATGCAGCCCTCGGCGCCATCAACCGGCATCTGGGTATCAGCCCATTCATCACTTAACTACAACCTCGATTAGCACAGCATACCCTGAAAGATCGCGCCACATTTTCCAGGACTTACATAGACAGTGCCATCTTCTTTGACCCTGCAAGGATGGCGTGATTAAGATTAGCGCTTTCTTTATCTACGTGACTGATCTGGAAGGCCGATGATTGGCTACGTACCAAGCAAATGCGTAAAACACGTGAGATACGAAACCCAGACGCAGGGACGAAGGTGGCTGCTTGCGATAGATCCTCCAGTTGGGATAGTATGCCGCATTCGTGTACAAAGGCACCTCGTATGAGGCTGCGGCATTGGCGGGGTCAACTGCGGGCCGCCGACGAAAGATTCCTTTGGCAGCAGAAAGCATGGGGAAGTTAGCGTAAGAGGGAAAGGCAAGACAGGGGAAGGTCAATCTGAAGAAAAGAAGGAATAATATCAGTGTATCATCTGAATTTGCCCAGACGCACTGATGAAGCGAGGAATTCGAGATCAGGCAAGAACAAGATGGACAGGCAGGTGTCTTCCCTTTTGGGGAAATTCGTCACGTGTTGGCAATGGTGATCACATTTCGGGCAACTGGATGTGACTCAGTACTCTCAATCCTGAAGAATAAGATTGTAATCGTGCGTTCGGGGACTTTGACAACGGGAGATGTCTTTTTCTCATGAATTGTCGGTCTCAGTAATCATCGGACCGGTTCTATTGGAGCGGGGCTGAGGGGTTTCAGCGCCGACAAGGCATCGTGTCTGGGCGGACTGAGAAAATGATATTTGCGGTACACCAATGTGCATACTGCACCTTGCTAGATGATTATGACTCGCTCAAGATCTTAAAGCACCCTGAGCGCTTCTCCGGGCCCGCAATGAGGGACCACTTACAAGCCCGATTCATATATGCGATGAGATTGCATCAGGACTTGCAGTCAGCTTTGATCAGCAACATGTCATTCGCCCAAGTTGTGGGGAGCGCATGCACCCCAAGTCTAGAGATTTACACCAAGGTAGATAATGGATCGTCGCCCCCTAAGGGACTAGGATTGGGCGGCGCATACTACATCAAGCTTGTGGGATGGCCTTCAGGGGAGCCATGATGAATACACGTGGAGACAGTGACTGGACTAGACAGTGGTCGCGACACTCGCTCGATCTTGACTTTCTTATCCTTCCGCTCAGATCGATCTGCACGTGGAATGATTGGTTGAATCCATTTTGAGGCGGTGCAGCAGCCTTCTCCCCCCTGTCTCTTCCCCACGATGCAATAAGAAATAGGTAACTGGCATCGATTTTCTTCTTACGGATTGGAGGAAGAGCAATTCTTATTATAACTCTTCCCCGTATGCTCCGTGAGCATGGTTCAAGCTAGGCACGCGGTCGCTAATGCCATTGATCAATTCTATCAGGTGCGAGTGACCGCGATCAAAGAGTTCTGCGCCCCATGCTTCGAAGCAGAAATCCAATTCTGTGGGACGGAGCGCTCCACTTTTTGTTCCCAATTCAAAAAGCAGTGAGAAATCCGATCTCTGCCTACGGATGGTCAGATGCGTTGGGTTGAAGCAGATCCATCAATCTAAACAGTGGGCGCATGGTGCTGTCAACGCTGCATTAGAAGCGCTGCTTGGCCTTGTCGCTCCGGTCTAGTCTGCATAGTAGGTGGCGATTTTTTGAGAAATCGGCGTATCCTTACACCATCGGATGAAAAATATTCTAGCATCTTTCGAATAAGTGAACTCGAATGAAAATTATGAGATGATGTGGGTCCACCATCCTGCACCATAGCCTGTCTTGAAGGAATCAATCAGCGAGGAGACACGCCCAGGGGTAAGCATTTACTTGAAATTGATCTCAACTTGTTTGCGCGCGGTGTTTTCACTACATTTCTAGGTGTCCTTAGTTCAGATCGATTTTCGGGATGATAGCGTGATACGGAAATCGGGCCAGCCACTAATCAGAAAATGTCCCCACCAGCAATATTCTGATGACCCTATCACCTCATCATACCGATAAACATCGTGCTGCCTGTGGGTACTTATGTGATACCCGAACTGGCATTTCGGCTAGGATCAGTAAGCTTCGGCATTGAGCTTGGAAGAGTCTGCCAAGTGTTTCACCGTGGCGTACCCTGAATCGTCAGCTTCATGTGTAATCTGTGTATGAGAGATAGAATCACGAAGATTTATAGATATTTTCATCAACTTCGTGATGAGTCAGGTTGCCCCATAATACTTGAAAGTATTGAGCTTTGGATACACACGGATTCTATAAAGTCAGGAGAGCATACCCATCCAAGTATCCCATTCATCTCATTCTGAACTTCAGACATCGGCGACAGACATCCTTTACCAAGAAATTATCATCGAACGAAAAAATGGCCGCTGGTTTGATATTTATTACGGGCGCAACCGGCTTCATTGGAAGCGCCACTGCTCTTGCAGCCCTGAAAGCCGGATACAAATTGCGAGTCTGTCTCCGAAAGCCATCGGAGGCTCTCGAGGCTGCTCTATCGGAGTACAGCCAAAACGTTGAATATGTTATTGTCCCCGACATCACCAACGAAGCCGCATTCAAAGGAAAACTTGATGGTGCAGACTACGTCTTGCATCTTGCCTCGCCTCTAACCCATGGCATCGAGAAAGAGTCGTATTTCGGTCCAGCGGTAAAAGGTACCACTGCCGTCTTGAATGAAGCTACTCGGGTGCCCAGTATCAAGAAGGTCGTTATCACATCATCCGTTGCGGCTCTGGTCCCATTGAATGGTGTTCCTCAAGGTGGAGTCATCAAAGGTTAGTTCTTGAATATTTTATAAATGGCAACTGGCAGGTTACAGTGCTTACAAGGATTTACATTCCAGAGGACAACGACTGGGACTTGAGCGTGGATGAAAACGCCGATTTCACAGATCCCAGCAATCCTGCTGGAACACCCATAAGACTCTACTGCGCATCTAAGCTGCTCGCTAACAACGCAACCTGGAATTTCTGGAAGAATACCAAGCCGCATTATGCTTTGGTCACTATTCACCCATCATTCGTCTTCGGGCACAACCCGGTGCAGACTTCCGCGGAACAGATTAGTTCCTCTTCGAATGGACTGCTCTGGCAGACAATCATGACTGGTAGCCCGGTTGGATCAGTGACCGGTGTTCATATCCAGGATGTGGCAGACGCGCATGTTAGGGCCTTGAAGCCGGAAATCGCCGACGGCTCAAAGTATCTGATATCTGGAAACAAGGCAACATGGAGCGATGTGGCGCACATCGTGAAAAAGCACTACCCCAATCTCGGAGCCAAGATTGCAACTGATATGGAAGGAAGTTCCTGGCCAACTGACACCACCAAGGCCGAGAAAGATCTCAAGATTGAATGGCGCTCTTTGGAACAGATGGTGCGGGAGGTGGTGGATCAGCAACTGAGCTTTGTCAATCAATAAGTCTGTGCGCTCAGAGGGAAAGATTGTCAGACAGCTGGACTACGGGGAAATTCCACATGTACCTGGAGATAAGGGCCTCACTCTTTCCGCGAGTATTTAGTATGTAATTGCGCAGCACAAATATGTCAAGCGAAGTGACCTGAAGGTTGAGAAGAACTAAATGTATAAAGTCTAGGCAGACCCTCGGATCATATCATCGATCGTGCTGTACCTAGTTTGACTGACTTGAATCATAGAATACACGAAGCTAGGTAGACTGATTTAATGACTTGGAGTGAAAGTGAGTGAAAGTGATCTCCAAGCACAAGGGCCAATCAACGGATGCAAACAGGACAAATACAGCCTGATTTATAAGGCGGCAAGGAATCGTCTCCGAGCTTCCATTTCACAATTCTGGCTTAGTCTTTTAATTCTTGACACTTGGTGTGGACATAGCTTCTGTTGCAAATACTTTTGTCCCTCAAGACACTCATCCTTCCCATCGGAGCACTAGATATCGAAGCCTATTTGCTTTGATTCCAAGTCACCATGTCAGCCGACGTGCAAAGCGCGGCCGCACGCATCTTGAATGCTGAACCCACGCGCGACCCTAGCTACAACAACTTTACCTTCGCTCCTTTCCTCCGCAAGAGCTTCGGCTTTGGCCTCGCCACCGATGTTCCCGTTTGCAAAGCCTACAGCGAAGGCCACTGCCCGCTGGGACCTGCCTGCCCGGACCGACACCCGACTCCCTCGCGCGTAACTACATCCACTACCACTGCCTCCGGGTTGGCACCCTCTACGACACACGGCTCGCTTGTCTGCAAGCATTTCCTGAAGGGCTTGTGCAAGAAGGGGCTGAAATGCGAGTATCTGCACGAGTACAACCTGCGCCGCATGCCGGAATGTCAATCTTTCTCGCGGTCAGGATACTGCCCTAACGGCGACGACTGCCTGTATCAACACGTCCGTGAGGAGGCTCGCCTACCTCCATGCGAACACTACGATCGAGGATTTTGTGAATTGGGACCTCTTTGTGCCAAGCGCCATGTGCGCCGTAAACTCTGCAAGTTTTACCTCGCTGGATTCTGTCCCGAGGGCAAGGCATGTGCTGATGCGCACCCCCGTGGACGGAAAATCTGCCACGTCCGACAATGCGGACTGAGAAGACCGAGGAGGAGCTAGAGCATGAGCGAGCACTCATTCGGGAGGAGCAAGAGCGGGAGAAGGAGCGAGAACGCGAGTGGCGGAATGAACGCGGGCGTGGCGGTGGCTTCATGCGCGGCCGCTATCGCGGGCGAGGAAGGGGTTGAACTTGTCTGAAAAGGACCACGAAGGATGGCCTTGCATTTCCACGGTGTGAAGGGGCGTTTGTTCCATTTTTTTTTTTGACGCAAGAGCATATTGATGTCCTTTATACCGACGGTCCCGGGTGGCCTAGTCTCACGATACCCATCTACTTCATGATCACATACAACCAATGATATTAAACTGAGTCGTACCTACTTCCAGTATCTCGAGCGGTTCTAGTATATTCCGTAATTTCCCCATATGACAACGGCATGTATGACTTGGGGCTAGGGCCGAGAACCAGCCGCCAAGCTCAATTGGCCAGACCTGCATGGCCCTTCTCACCTTCAATTACGTAGCATAATTGCATTCTCGCATTCTCGCAGTAGACACAAATCCCATTGGTTGGGTCCACAGGGTCTGTAGTGTCCCCATCTTCTCGAGAACTTTTGGTATCCCGAGTCATGACATCATGCCCGTGTACCGTGATGTGTGAGAAACTATCATATATCCGACACGGCAGAAGAGCACGTAAGCGAATGCAGGGGGAGGCGAATCGTGTACTGCAGGGGAAAATTAAAGCTCACCGCCTCCCTGGCAACGTGGAGTCATTGGACCCCTAAGGTCCAGGGAGACTGGAGACCCATTTGTCAGAAATCGGTCAGACTCGACTAACCGCGACTAAACTCGATTGACTCCGTTTACAGCCGGATGGACCCACGCGGTCCAATAATCGGCACAGATTGCTCAGTCATCGATGACTGATAGCTTCCAATGGGACTGGGAAGCTTTGCTGTGCTTTGCTAATTCTTAGACAATTGGCGGTGCATAGTTGGGAGAGCGATAATGGTGTCACTGTGGTGGGGCTCGACTATTTAACCTCGTACCCTCCCGCCCTTGCTACGCCGTTGTTCATCCCAATCCATTTCTCATACATTCACCATGGCTCCCAAGGTTGCTATCGTCTTCGTACGTATGCCATTGATTACCCCCGCGAGATTCCACGACTAACGGTTATGCAGTACTCGCTCTACGGCCACATCCAGAAGCTGGCCGAGGCTGAGAAGAAGGGCATTGAGTCCGCCGGCGGCCAGGCCGACATCTTCCAGATCGCCGAGACCCTCTCCGACGAGGTTCTGGTCAAGATGCACGCCCCGCCCAAGTCTTCTTACCCTATCGCTGAGCCCAACGACCTCCTGGCGTACGATGCCATTCTTTTCGGTATTCCTACCCGCTACGGTAACTTCCCTGCTCAGTGGAAGACCTTCTGGGATGCCACCGGCTCTATCTGGGCCACTGGCGGCTTCTGGGGCAAGCACGCTGGTGTCTTCGTTTCCACCGGCACCCCCGGTGGTGGCCAGGAGTCCACTGCTATCTCCTCGATGAGCACCCTCGTCCACCACGGCTTCCTTTTTGTCCCTCTGGGTTACAAGACCGCCTTCCCTCTCCTCACCAACCTCGACGAGGTCCACGGTGGTAGCCCCTGGGGTGCTGGTACCTTTGCCGGTGCCGATGGCTCTCGCCAGCCCTCCGCCCTCGAGCTCCAAATCGCCGAGATTCAGGGCAAGGCCTTCTACGAAACTGTCTCCAAGGGCAGCCAGTGACTGCATGGCAGTGCCGAATCGAAGCCCGTGGATTCGGCTGCTGGGTCCGGACAGGCTGTGAAGAAGACCGAGCAGCCTGCCCAGCCTCAGCAGGGTACCCAGGAAGCAGCAAAGGAGGAAAAGAGCAATGAGGGTCCCTGCGGTCTCCCCAAGAAGTGTACTATCATGTAATGTGAAGTCTACACATTCTTAATTCGCTCTTTCTTTCTTTTCTGATCCTGAGGCGTTCCCGGGCGTTTCGAATTTTAATGATAACATGGATACATTACTGCCTTCTGGTATTATAGATAATTCAAATGAAGACACGAGGTTTCTCGTCATCACTGATCGCTTTTCTGTACTGGATAATTACTTGGTAGTTGTAGACTCCCTAGGTGGCCATAAATCTTTGGCCATTCACCTTAGCCCATGCTGTCTCTAAATTTCATTGCATGCCGTGAAAGAGCTCTCGGTCATCTTCTCCTCTTCTCAGCCCATTTCTCCAAAAATTATCTCAAATTTAGTTTTCTAATCAACTAATCGACGCCCGTGAGGTAACATGATTACCAATCTTACTCGCCCCTCGCTGCCTGGCCTCACGCCGTGTATGTAATTGCAAAACCATACCGCCCGCCGGCCAGTCACGTCACATCGAGAAGCTCTCTGGCAGCTTGACTTCAACTCCGCGCTATGCGTCTTCGGCCTCATACCTAGTTTATCTTTGTTCAGCTCTCTATAATCTTCTCTCGTCATTCTCTCATCCCTCGTCTACCAAAGCAGCTTACCATGGCGTCACGGCCGATCCTCCTTCGGTTCGAGAGTCGGAACGGCCAGTTTCGCTTCACTGTGAACCCGCAAGACCTCTTTCCCTCCATTCAGCAAAAGGTATTGCCTGCTCAGCTCTATGGAGACCGTTTGGGACTTCGCACATAGCTTACGAATCTTAATTTTAGATCCTGGAGCATCTACCGTCAGATGTCGAACCGTCATCCATTACCCTGTCTAATCGCCCGATAGGCACCGGAGGTGAAGAGAGAGTTCTCGAGGCCCTAGGCGAAGTTTCTATCGAGCAAGTTGGTCTCAAGTAAGATCGAATGGAATCGCCCCGGCTGGATCACATTGCTAATCATCGAGGTTTGCAAGGCATGGTGATAAGCTCTTTCTTGGGTATCAAGAGCGCGCTGCAAAGCAAAACGGCACCTCCAACGGCCTTACATTGACCACTGCCGAGCGTCGACTGAATGGGACCTCGGTGCCGCAGGAACAGACCGTACCACTCCGCACACAGCCCACATCTCCCTCGGTCAATATTAAAAATCCTTGGGATGTGGTGAAGCAGTCGCCTTTGGACAACCTGCTGGACAAGACGGACGGCAAGATTAAACGAAACCAAGACCAGCGAATGTGCAAGCATGGTCCACGGGTATGTGTGACTACTGCATGCCGCTGGAGCCATACGACAAGAACTACCTCGCCGAGAAAAAGATCAAGCATCTTTCCTTCCATTCATACCTGCGGAAAATTAATGCCGCTACCAACAAACCCGAAGCTGGGAGCTCATATCTACCACCACTGCAAGAACCGTTCTACCGAGTGCGGCGGGACTGCCCATCCGGGCACCCTCAGTGGCCAGAGGGCATTTGCACCAAGTGTCAGCCCAGTGCCATTAGCTTGCAACCCCAAGAGTTCCGCATGGTTGACCATGTGGAATTCTCCTCCCCTGATCTCATCAATTCACTCCTTGATTTCTGGCGCAAGTCTGGGGCCCAACGGCTGGGATTCCTGTACGGAACGTACGAAGAATATAAGGAGGTGCCGCTGGGTGTCAAGGCAGTTGTCCAGGCAATTTACGAACCTCCCCAGATGGGAGAGATTGACGGCGTCACGCTTCATGATTGGCATAACGAGAAGGAAGTGGATGAAGTGGCGAGCCTTTGCGGGTTGCAAAAGGTTGGAGTTATCTTCACGGATCTCCTCGATGCAGGTCAAGGGGATGGCTCCGTGATATGCAAACGACACATCGACTCCTATTACCTGTCATCTCTCGAGATTGCTTTTGCTTCGCGACTCCAGGCCCAGAACCTCAAGGCAACCAAATGGAGTCGCACTGGGCGCTTCGGCTCCGACTTTGTAACCTGCGTGCTCAGCGGAGATGAGACAGGGGCCATTACCGTGAGCTCGTACCAGGCGACCGTTTCCGCAGTGGAGATGATCCGTGCCGATATCATCGAACCATCGGCAGACCCCACTGTGATGCTGGTTCAATCTGAAGATGACGACGACTTGGGCAGCAAGACCCGGTATATTCCTGAGGTTTTCTTCCGCAGAATCAACGAGCACGGTGCCAGTGTCCAGGAGAACGCAAAACCAAGTTTCCCCGTCGACTTTTTGTTGGTGACCCTCACCCATGGTTTCCCTACAGAGTCCACTCCTCTATTCACCAACAGTCGCTTCCCCATCGAAAACCGAGAGGTAATCGGCGAGAGTCAGGAGTTGCGACATGTGGCCCAAAAGCTCATGTCTCATGGAGATCCTGATAAGGCCATTCAAGGCGTTTCTGACTTCCACCTCTTGACCTTCCTGCACGGTCTTTCCACATTCAGCAAGGTCAGCTCCGCTTATGAAAGTTTCCAGGTAGTTGTTAAGTTCAGCACTAACAGCAAGTCAACTACAGGATGAAGAAGCCCTTCTCTGTCGAGTCGCTACAAGTCATTCCCCGGCCGATGGAATGCAGTTGTTGAATACCCCTGGATGGGCAACCTTGATGACAATTCTTCAGGAGAGTGGTGAGCGCCCCCCTAAGCGCCCCTGGCCCTCGGCGGTTGATCCGTCTCGTCACAATTCCCAATCTGGGAAACGACGACTCGCTTCACCCGCTGCCCACATTCCCCGCTCCATCACTCCCAACTCCGACGGTGAACAGCTAGCTAAGAGGTTCAAGGGAACTAGTCTAGAGTGACTTCGTTCTATCAGCCGTCACATCGCGATTTGAATCGCCGTCTGATCCTCGCTCGTGTCGTCTCCTATCGATCTCAGTCATAGCGGTCACCGCAGATTGACATGCAACAAATCCTCAAAGACCTTTTTTGCAGGCGCCCTCCCCCCCTCAACCTCCCCATTTTCGGCAAACCCGGATTATTCTCGACGATGTTGAGTGGGTTGATGGTCAGCGGCAAAGCCAAGAAGATGACAGGGCTAGGTGTCGGTCGTTCAGACATCGAAATAGCTAGCCTTCTACGGCTTCATGACTTGAAACGCCTTGGCATCCACTGCCTATCTTGACAGCTCCCACGAAATAGAAAATGTGTCTTCGATCCATCCAGTCAGGCTTCCAGATTCCACCCTTTCAGACATCAGCTTTGAGTACGTAAGCTAAATACACAACGAGGGCCACAATGTTCCCGCTGCGAAGGTTTCCCGCCCTGCAGATTATACATATAGAGCCAAAACAAGAAGACTAGTCAAGCGAATCTCAAGGCTATATTCTCTACGGTAGAGATAGTATATGCTTCTTGCAGACAGATTTTTGCCCCATGCCGATAAATCCTTGAAGCACGTTTCAGGTGCAGGAAGTTGGATCTTGTAGTCACCTTTGACGTCATCCGCGGGGAGGAACAAAACGAGGATGATCTGATTGCACAATGAGTCTGATGATCCCGGAAAACGTCACTTCGTTGGTTCTTGCAACCCGACGCTGTACTTCGACGTAAGCTAAGCTGGCTTTTATATAATCCTACTTGCACGTTGTCTCCTACACGTTCTGCATCTTCGACCCATACGTGCCCAGAAGCCATTCAATGCGACCATGGCTCAATCATTGTTTACTCTCCTTGTTACGAACCCATTGCTCTATCTTTTCTCCACACTCTATGTTATTGCTCAGAATTTTGTTGCCTGGATTCTCGGGCCCTCGGCGTCTCCAATGAACCGCTTCGATAAAGGCTTGCCAAAGAGGAAAATCGCTATCATCGGTGCCGGCTTAACGGGTATCTCATCAGCGGCGCATTGTATGAGCCATGGCTTCGAGGTGCAAATCTTCGAGGCACGCGGGAAGGAGAAGGGGTTGGGCGGTATTTGGAGTGTAAGCTCAACAATTTGTTGCTCGTGCAGCTTTTGTCAATCCGTCACTTACCCTCATTAGCGCGTCAACTCTACATCGGCATTGCAAATTCACAGCATCATGTATCGGTTCCATCCAACCGTGCGATACAAACACGCCTACCCCACCAAACACGAGATTCGCGAGCAGATTGTCGATCTGTGGAAACGATATGGTTTAGAAAATCGCACTGAATTCGGAACGCCAGTCACGTCAATCAAGAAGGCCAAGTCGTCTGGCAAGTGGGTGATCAATGACCACCCCGAGAAATACGGGAGCTTTGACGGCGTGATCACGGCCGTCGGAGTTTGTGGAGACCCGAAAATGCCCTCTTTACCAGATCAAGATCAGTTCAACGGTATCATATGCCACTCGTCAGATCTCGATGGCAAGGACATCAAAGGGAAAAGAGTTCTCGTCGTCGGAGGTGGTGCAAGCGCAATTGAAGCTCTAGAATTTGCAGTTCATTCTGGAGCAACTGAGATCGATGTTCTCTCACGGTCAGATAAATGGATCATTCCGCGCAATATCCTGGTACAGTCATTGCTGGCCTGCAACATCTGGGGTGAGGAGACATCTCTGGCGTGGGTGCCCGAGTGGCTCCTTCGCAAATTCTTCTATCGCGACCTACAGGACATTGCACCCAAGAGTGGCCTGTTTACCACGACGCCTATGGCAAACTCTGATCTATTCAAGCTCATTCGGAAGGGTAAAGCACGTTGGCTACGTGGCGATATTTTGTCAGTGCAAGAGAACGGTATCATGTTCAATCACCGATCGCAGGATGTACCCAAAGGAGGACCAGGCCGCGAAAAAGTCGTTCCAGGCGATGTAATCATCATGGCGACTGGATTCAAACGACCATCGCTCTCCTTCCTTCCGGAGGATGTCTTCGAGGAAAACTACTCCCCTCCTGATTGGTATCTCCAAGTTTTCCCGCCCAAACACCTCAGCATCTGCGCCAACAACAGCACCTACGTCAATGCTATTGGGACGGTCGGGAATGTTCATATTGGGATTTACACGCGGTTCTTGATGATGTTCCTGACCGATCCGCTCACCCAACCCACAGAGGGCCGAATGAAGACCTGGATAGACTTCACTCGTTGGATGAAACAAGGAGCACCGCCCGGAGCGTTCGATTTCTTTACATACACGGAGCTTCTATACTGGTTTGTGTTTCTTGTACTGATCAATCCGTTCCGCTGGAAGTGGGCACTCTTTATTCTTTTCGGCATCGGGCAGACACTTCCATTGGAGATTGTCAGGGAAGAAGAGGCTCTCCGCAAGAAGCTGTCGGACCAACATGATTAAAGAACGGCCAACTATCGCTCGCGAAGCATTTCTCTCAAAAAAAAAATGCCATGACCTTGTTTTGTTTTATCTCGATCGTGTAGTGGAGACAAATGTTCAAAATGGGACCTCAGGTGTGACATGGTGGTTCTACCGATATTCATAAACAAGACAATCACACCTGTTTTTTTTTCGCCTAAGCATGACATCAATGTCTAGATCGGTCTATATGGAAACCAAGTTTGAGATCATATATTTTGATTGCCATATACCGTGTACCAAGCACACCAAATTCCTTTCTATAGTTCACTGAGGGGACTTGAAATCTTTGAGAGCTTCCCACAGCTTCTGTGGTGTATCTCCCAAGAAGTATACCAGAAAGGGGGTGCCATAAGCAGATTCGGCGTGACTTGAGAAACCTTGAAATTGATTGGAAAATTAGACTTTGGGCTAAGGGGAATCAATGACGTCACTGCCGATCTTATCGACCAGGGCGTCGATCCCCCGATGTTGTCGCGAACACCACCCCCAGCCAATCTTCCATCTACAGATCTGTCCAGACACAGTTTCCAGGCAAGATGAGCTCTTTCTGGGCCCGAAGGAAGGACGGCATGGATAGGTCCGAGGGCACTACCCAGCGTCAGAATGAGAACGACCACGAGAATGATCCTATTCCACACCAGGAACCAACGGAGCACACACGCCTTCTTCCTCATAACAACCGACAAGGCTACCTGAGTCCCGATGATCCGGCTGTGAGTGGTTTTTCGAGATGAGATATGTTGATTGCTGGCGAACTGACACCGTACCAAAGGTTTCGCCCTACAATTTATGGACTGTGCGTGCCGTGCGCGGCCTCTCCCTCTTTGCGCTGGCCGTCAGCTTCGTGTGGTGGACTTTCCTTCTAGTTTCCATCTTCGTCAGTCCGCCCTTGATGCATTCGCGTGGCTCGGGCTTCTTCGAGTTCGGATACACGACACTGGCGACCGGGTATCTTCTCCTTGGTCTGCTCTTTTTCGCCGTCCCCTCCAAGGCAATGACTATCTGGGGAATTGTTCTTTCGACTCTGCTACTGGTGGACATGATCATTATGGTCGCAGTCCCACGCATACGTTACGAGGAAGGATGGGTGGGTATCGCTTCAGTGGTTTGGGCAGCTGTTATATCCATCTACCAGATTGTGCAAAATCGGGCCGTGGCATGGGGAAAACGTGAGGAAGAAGAACGGCTTACGGGTCGAGAGGAAACTCGCCGCTCGCTACGGGAATGGGCCGCTGTACTCTTTGAGACAATCGTCTTAGCCATTATGACCATCGCTACTATCTTGTTCACAGCGACTCTGATCCTCCGTGCTCGTGATCTTACCCTTGAAGCTCCCGGTCGTCGGTACTCTGTTCATGGGGATACCTATCAGGTCCACCTTGCCTGTGTGGGAAATCGCACCGAAAATACCAACGAGCCAACCATTCTTCTCGAGGGAGACTGGGGACCCGTTGAGCACAACCTGCAGCCTTTCATTGATGATGCATACCGTGCAGGTGCTATCAAACGGTACTGTTACTGGGACAGGCCGGGAGTGGCATGGTCGGATAATGCACCCTCTCCCCACTCCGCAGGAATGTCCGTGGATGTCCTCTCGGAGGCTCTCGCTCTGGCCGACGAATCCGGACCCTGGGTCGTTGTCTCTGCTGGAGTTGGTAGTCTGTATTCGCGGCTCTTTGCCAGCCGTCACCTTCTTGAAGTCAGCGGTATCTTCCTGATCGACCCCCTTCATGAGTCTTATCTCCAAGATGTCGGTAATCCAGGACGTGGATTTATGCTGTGGCTACGTGGTGTCATCTCCCCACTGGGACTGGACCGCCTTGCGGGTGCCCTTGTGCGTGGTCGCACTCGAGAAGACCGAGTCATCGGCCGCTCCGCCTATCAATCCGGCAAATTTATCAAAGCCCAGCTACAAGAGAACCTTGTCGCTGTCACAATGACAGCGGCAGAGGTGCAGTCCGCTCGGCACATCCAGATGGGGCAAACACCTCTAGTTATCGTGAGCTCGGGACTGGAGATGCAAAAGGACCCCGAATGGGCTAAACGACAGGAGGATCTTTCAACAATCACGAACAAACTTCTCGCTTGGGATGTTGTCCATGATGCACCGCATGAAGTCTGGACTGTTGGAGAGGGCCGGCAAGTTTTGGAGAAGCGCTTGCGAGAGATTGTGCAGGACAGCCAGGCTCGTCCGCCGGTTCAAGGTCGATAGATCTGATTTGAATGATGGGTTCGAATGATGAATTTTTTGCCTTCCTTGCTTCATTTATATATACGAATTATTGAGCCATTGCGACTTTTTCACCTGAGATTATGGTTTGGCGTTCGTGGTTTGGCTGATTTGGGCCTGATGCTACTTGAGATTGACGATACCAAGAGAGGCTGAGACTATGCCTCCTGTGTAATGAGCATCCGCAGTATAATACGTCTCTTCTGATATACTGTCATAACTTCGGTAAGAATACCGGGGCTTTTTCCCAGGTGACCGCAGCGACATATCTATAGATTTCCAGAGTCGAGATCGAGTCTTTTTTTTCTCCCCTTGGGATGAATTCGGATGAATTCAGAGTAACAGAACTCACTGCACTGATGCTGAAGAGCCCGGCCACTCTATACTTGTACCTAATTTTTACCTTATTCTGTCAGACCTGCAATGCTCTCTGGTGTATCGTTCACTGCCCCGTGAACATCGGATCTTAGTCAGCACATCATTTGAGGCCCAGACGTTCTATCTCATCCTATCCATCCCGAAACATCCTCCTTGGGGTATTGAATATCTCTTTCTATCAGCTGCGCCTACTCTACATCCTCTCTGCAGAAAACTGAGCTGCAGACAAGTGGTCAAATCAGCGCCCTATACGGCATTGTTGACCCCTCCTTTGATCGAAGGGACTTTCAAGTCCCCACTTGCATTCATGAGCGAACTCCGGAAGTCCTTCGCCAAGTCCAAATTGGCCAAGCTGCCCCGGAACGTCCCCATGTTCGATTCAACTTTGGATGAGAACCGTGAAGAGGACGTATTTCCCGCCTCGTCAGCCTCTTCGGCTTCGTCTACAGGAACTCTAGTTCCATCACCGACGCAGCATCTATTTGTCCGGAGAAGTCAGGGGTCAGTCTTTTCCTTCTGTCCCATACACTTCGTGGAAGCTGGGATCCTATATTTTTTTTTATTATGTGTAGGGTAGCCTGCTTGAGCTGTCAAACTAACAAGAGTACAGATCATCGCAATCACTGGCATGGACGGATTTCTTTTCCCAAGAATTGTTCCTGTCCCAAGAAACTGACAATCTCAACATCATTCATCACGTTTATGTGACTCCACCGGCCAGATCAGGCCCACTCTTTGTTATGCATCATGGTGCCGGTTCATCCGGTCTGTCGTTCGCAACATGCGCTGATGAGATCCGAAAGATCCTACCCGAAGCGGGATTCCTATCCATTGATGCCCGGGGCCACGGTCGAACGGCCATAGCCCCAAAATCAGAAACGGTCGATCAGAATCGTCCGTCAACTGCTTTCGCGGCCCAGTGTGAGGCTCTTAGCCAGGTAGAGCCCGACTTAAGTCTGAAGACTCTCAGCCAGGACCTGGTCCATGTGATTCGTCAAACGCAGATTAAATTGGGATGGGAGAGCTTACCAGATATTGTGCTTGTTGGACACAGTCTGGGAGGCGCAGTCATCACAGATGTAGCCAGGACTGGCGAGCTTGGGTCAAAGATATTGGCATTTGCAGTTTTGGATGTCGTTGAAGGTAAGACCGCACGTCAAGTCCTAGCACGCAACATTCAACTGACACGTCCTAGGCTCTGCCATGGATGCTCTTCAAAGTATGGAAAAATACTTATCTACGCGGCCAACGCGTTTCCCTTCACTGGCATCGGGAATAGAATGGCAGTATGTGATCACCCCCCAAACCCAGAGTCCACCTGGCCATTGCAATCAAGCGACTAATTGATACGTACAGTACTCGTTCGCGCACCATTCGAAACACAGCATCAGCTAGGGCTTCTGTTCCCTCTTTGCTATATGAGGAAAGCGAACCCTCTGACGTGTCTCGCCCATGGGTGTGGCGCACGAACCTTTCCGCCACGAAGCCGTTCTGGGAGGACTGGTTCATCGGTCTCAGCCGAAAGTTCCTCGATGCACGGGGTGGGAAGCTGTTGCTTTTGGCAGGCACAGATCGGTTGGATAAAGAGCTCATGATCGGGCAGATGCAAGGTATGTCATCTCTTGACTCTGCTGGCACTCCTGAATGCAAGCTCATTTTCATCTATCATCTACAGGAAAATATCAACTTCAGGTCTTCCCTGAAGCCGGTCACTTTGTCCAGGAGGATCAACCCACCAAAACGGCGCAGGTGCTGGTCGACTTTTACAGGCGCAATGATCGCAGTGCATTGGTACTGCCACCCAAAGTAGCGGACATGCAGGCGGCGGCTGCTATGAAGAAGGGCACCGGTGCAGCTGATACACATCATAAATTAAAATAGACCCATGGCTTCCATTTTCATCGTGGAGGAGGGTTAGAAATCCCTGACGTATTGATGTCCATAACACTTGTATTTTCAATAAGCTCTCCTAACCAGCATTACGAAGTTATAAAAGGATCTCCTGCTTCGGGACAGACCATTGGGTGGGGTATATCTAGTTCTTCTTCACCTGCAGCACTCGGCCCTCCGAGTCCAGAAGATGTGCCAATGTCGAGATTGAAGAATGGTCTCGCGTATTTGTCATGCGGTGGCACCAAGTAACTTGCTTATCATCTTCGCCCATAGACTCAAACAGGAATTCCCCGCCATTTTGACTGGAATCGCCCGCCTTGGTCATCAGCCCACTGGAAACGTGCTTCAGGGTTTGAGCCACCGATTCCGCGACCAGGCGCACCATGCCCTTGCGGAAATATTCAGGGCGCTCTCCCATCGTGTACGAGGTGACCAAGTCCAGATCAGCGTAGAGCTTTCTAGTGGGATCGGTGTAGATGGGGAATGGGCAACCCGTTTCCTTGTGGTAGTGATCAATCAGAGCCGGGTCTCCGCATCCTACGACGACAATAGATGTGCTGATGGGCAACTGAAGCAAGTCTTCTGGCTTCATCGATTCTGCAAGAGCGCGGATGAACTCTTGACAGCTCTGTCAGGGGAGATATTAGTCACGTATATCACAGCGAGGGGCGACAAAGCTCACTCCGCAGAAGAAATGACGAATAAAGATCACTAGGACGCGAGCTGTTGCTTGGGGACCGGCATAGAGGCTCTTGAATGTGTGCTTCTTGCCTTCTTTATCCAGCACCGGGTAGTCCTCGATCTGGCCTAGGTTCTCTGCTGACGGGGGCTGTTCCGTCGCCAAATCCTTGGATTCGAACTTCGTCTTAGTTACTGGCGACTCCACAGGATGTACCTCCTTCGGTGCCGATTCCGCCATCCTGACTGGGTTATCTAGGCGTGGTGAATAACTGAGCTGAAGAAGTGGTGCGGGGTCAAAACCCCGCGTCATCCCCGCTGATCGTCCAGGGAGCCAGGGAGTCCCAACATCGAAGGTATAGATATATTAACGACAACTCTTCTGGTCAACAGGTTTTCAGGGCTTCATTATGTTCAGAGCATCGTTCAAGGTTCCTTATTATAATCACTTAACATGTCGAGGACGTGACTGGCAACAGTCGGCCTTAGACGTCATCCAGGGCAGCGTTTCCCAAAAGGGGCTATGCGAAAGAAATGAGAATAACATAAAACTGGATGATTTGAATCTACAAAGAATACCAAAAGTCACCTTGATATCAATCCTCAAAAGCTACCGACATATAAAGAGCTTCTCCAAATTCTCCAGAGCTTCCCCGCACTTCTCCCGATAGCGCGGGATTCCACCGAAATAGTATAGCATTTCTACCGGTTTGCCGGGGATATTCGCGCCCATGTACCATGACTTGGTCTTGGGGAACAGAGTCATGTTCCCGATTGCATCGACCTCTGTTCGCCAAGTCTCCGCCGATGTTATCAGAGGATCCAGCGACTTGATGCCGCCTCTTTCCATCTTCTTTACCATGTCACGAATAAAATTAGTCTAGAACTCGATGAAGACAGGCCCATCAGCGAATGGCGTTGGCGCGTGAACGCAATACGGAAGGAACATGTTAGGATACCCGGGCACCATCAGTCCGAGATATGTCTCGACGCCTTCTTTCCACCGCGCTGCAAGATCCACCCCGTTGAGATCCTTGATGTGCATCTTCGAGAAGCCGCCGGTACTTGAGTTGAAACCAGTCGCCAGGGCAATCACGTCAATCTCGTATTTTTTTGCCGTCATCGGTCACAATCCCCTCGGGCGTGATCTCCGTGATCGGATGTGACTTGGTGTCAACGAGATGAACATGAGGTTCATTGAACAGCTCATAATAATGATGTTCCAAGGAGGGACGCTTCGTGCCGAAGGGATGTGGTGGTTCCAGAGGCGCCAACAAGTCACGTTTGACTGGATCGTGGACCCGCGCGCGAACTCGTCTAGCCCAGGCGTCGTAGGTGGCCCGGTTGGCTTCGGGATTCATCAGGGTATCAGTGAATGCTCCCGCCCAGAGGCCAAAGCCGCCTTGGTCATAAATCCGGTTGAGAATTGTCTCTGCCTCTTCCGGTTCATAGTCCGCAAATGCCTTCGTGGGGAATGGAAGGCGCATTCCAGATTGAGTTTCCCATGCGCGAGCAAATGCCTCTGGGGTTTCATCCTGTATCTGACGCGGTTTCTCAGAGTCAAACTCATGCCGGTGCATCGGTAGGGCTATATTGTGGGTTCAGCTGGAAAACAACCAGCTCGGCGGCCTCTTTCGCCCATTCCTGGATGATCTGGATCCCCGTTGCACCAGTTCCAATCACCGCCACACGCTTTCCCTTCACATTGACTCCCTCTCGGGGCCATTGAGAAGAATGATGGACCGTGCCCCGAAAGCAAGCAAGGCCCTTCCAAGGCGGGACCCATTGTTGCTCGGCAAAGTCAATGGCGGGAATGAAGTACTTAGCCCGAACAAGCTTTCCATCCTCGGTCTGGATAGTCCACTGGGCATCTTCCGGGTTTAAAGGAGGCAGTAGTGACGCGCGAACTGAATATGCAGTCTTTCTTGACAGAGAGAACTTGATCGACATGATGGAAATACGCCTGCAGCTCCTTCTGGTCTGGATAGGGTGGGCTCCACTTCCACGTCTGATAGACCTTGGCTAAGGAAAACCCATAAATCGGAGCTCCTGAATCAACACGGGCCCCGGGGTAGATATCGTTATTCCACACTCCACCGAGACCCTTGCCCGCTTCGAGGATCTTGACATCCAGGCCCAGAATATCATGGGCTTGAAGCTAAGGTTGTCGAGCTAGTCCGCTTATACAGGCACCGGAGGCCATCGGAGATGTCGCAGGTGTGTCTCAAGGCATAATGCGGGGACGAGTTTGATCACATTGAGAAGATCCTGCATCAAGACCCCAAGAAAGAACTTGAGAGGGAGCCACAGAGAGACTACTGATGGCTCGAATATTGATAGTTCTCTCGCTCGGACTGTAGAAGACACCCTCTTATTTCCACCCTTGAAAGTACCTGAGATGGAGGGAGACGACAGTCAAGCAGTTTGGCTAACTCATCATGACGGGGTGACTGATCGACATCCGAAATTGACCGTGTCTTCCCAGCTGATTCGTGAGCGCAGCGCAATGTTCAGGGTTGATTACACCTCGTGGTTGGCCTACTGTGGTGATTTAGGCGTTGCGCAAGTCGTTGTAGAGATGTGATTTGGCCTTTGTCATGGCTAAGTGCTGTTCGCGAATCCAGCGGCACGACTCGAGATCAACACAGTCATAAGCATGATACGTGGGAAGGAGTCCGTTGGTCCATAACGAGCTTCGCTATTGCTGAGCTATGATTTCATCAAGATTCGTTCAATTAAGCCCTATTGAGACGGTGCTTCTGAGCACCAGTCCAGTCTCTCAACGGGCGCTATGACCTATTTGTAAGGGCTCATAGATGAAGACTCGCGTGCAATCAACTGAACCACCTTAAGAGAACACAGGAGAAAACGGTTCACAGCTTGTGCTTTTTTGCAAGCAAACGTGCGCCAGCCGCCCAACACCTATCATTAGAATGCAGATACCACATCAATCACAAAGATTTCTTGAAAATGCATGCAAATAAAGATCAAAAACCCAGGGTATTTACGCCAGAATGGAAGAACGAAGCACCTAAGGAAGGTAGGCCCCACCTGCAACGACCAAGTTCATATTGGTGAACTTGACCTTGTAGACCGGGCTCTTCTTGGTAGGGAAGGCACTAATTTGATCGGGAGAAACCACGACGTCCTTGCCCTTCTTCTTTTTGCTTTGACCAGCGGCGGGAGCGCTGGAACCATCCAGTTTGGTACCGGCGCCTCCCTCGCTGATCACGCGGCCTTGTGTGGAATCCTGAGGAGCGGAGACATCCCAGACACGGACGGTGCCGTCGGCGCCTCCAGAGACCAGCACGCTGGACTCGACGCTCCAGCTGAGAGACCAGATGCCGCCCTTTCCATGGCCACGCATGCGTTTCAGAAGACGACCAGGAGCCAAGTCCCACAAGAAGATGGACCCTTGGTCGTCTGCCGAGGCCAAAAGCTTGCCATCCCGGCTACACTCCATGGCGGTGATGTTGCCCGTGTGGCCGGTAAACATACGCACAGCGTTTCCGGTGGTGACAGCCCACATACGGACACTGTGATCAGAACTGGCAGTAAAAACATATGCAGAGTTGGGATGGAAACAGATGCAATCCACATCCTGGTCGTGTCCGACAAAGATGCGCTGCTGACGAGGGTGATCGGTCACCCAGAGACGGGCAGTCTTGTCTGCGCCTGCTGTAGCGAAATAGTGACCAAAGGGGCCCCAGGAAATATCCCAAACCGGGCGGTCATGGCCCCTGTAGATGACCATGCACTGCCACATATCGAGAGACCACAGTCGGACAGTCTTGTCAGCTGAAGAAGAGAGCAACCAGCGAGCGTTGGTAGGAACACGGTCCTCGTCAGAAACATTCTCCGCTTTGCTGGCAGAGGGTGCAAAAGCTACGGCATAGACGGGACCGGAATGCCCAATGAGGCGGCGAGAATTGGATGGAGGGAGATCGTGCAGCTTGTCAAGATCTGGGTGGGCCTCTTCGATGTTTTTCCCATCGAGGCTCCAGACACGAATGTAAGACTGCGAGAATCCAGCAGCCACGAGCATATTGTCATCCGAGAAATCGAGGCAGTTGATACTGTTAATCAATTAGTAAAGAGTAGCCAAGCTGATCCGCACAGTAAAGTCAAACCTACCTATCATAGGTATTGTGAAAAGTGAACATGCACACGCTGACGCCGAGGCCTACACCACCAGTGCGACCTTCGAGTCGGTATCGATCCCGGTTCTCCTTGACCTTCATGACCTCGACCGCCACATCACGAGCAGTGGAGGGCGGGAAAGGGATATCATTACGGGTAGGCGCTTCCTCGTCCTCCTCCTTCTTGATCATTTGGTCAAACTCCTGCACCAGTGTATTGCGACCGGCGATGGGAGGCTCCTTCTCGTCTTCTTCAGCGAGTTCAGCGCGAACATCACCTTCCAGCGTCTCCTCCATCGGCATCTTTCCAAGTCGAAGTCGTGGCAGAGTACCAGCCATAGCTGGGTTGTCACCGGTGTAGGCCGAACCGGGATGATGACCAGGGATGCCCTCATCCTCTGCCGGGAAAGTTTGACCGGCCCCAATTTGGCCCAGCATTGCAGCAAAGCTGAAACGATCGTCTGCGGCTCGGTCCATGGTTTTAACAGTGCAGTAACTGCTCAAAATGGCGTTCATCACGGAGCCTCCCTCTTTCTCTTTGCTTTCAAGGAACTGAAGGAGATTCGTGTAAGCGGGGTTACTCAGGACAACACGGTATTTGTTGCCGCGGTAGAGCTTAGCGGTAGAATTGTCCTGAACATGCTCCGGCAGACTAATAGGCTCAAGAATACGGATATCATCCGTGTGCTCTGGAAGGAACATATTCTTGTTGGCCTCAAAGAACTGCTTGGCTTCATTGGTGTACAAAGAAGTGATCATGTTCAAAAACGAATAAACAAATAATGGCCAGAGAACACGGCGCAGTTCAGGCTTTAAATGGATAATTAGCATCCCTCCCTTGTGATGATAACGTGGTATTCACTTACCTTGTACAGGTCCAGGTTCTCTTCCACCCAGGTCTTCAGTAGGTCTGTGTCGGATGTTAGAAAAAGCATTCAAAATATCACATAAGGGACGACTTACCAAACCCCTGCTTGAATTTGGGACGAGCATCCTCTCCTAAAGGGGGTAGAGGGCGTCCATCAATCTCTTGGTTAGCGGACTCCATGCGAAGCATAGCTTCGGTGCGGCTGTAGCCTTTCTTGGCCAGATAGTCGATAACCTAATTGGCAGAAACTTGTCAGTAATGGTCGGTCAATCTTGAATGTCCTTGAACGGACGGTTTCGTTGAAGTTTCGGATGAAAGGCTGCACAGGTGAAGTTTGTGAGGAAGAGGGCAATGCTCTCGGTAGAAATGCGGAAGTGCGTAATGACAACCTCAGCCTTAGAGAAGAATCTGCTGGCTGAGCAGGCTGAGCCGGTTCAGCCGGCGTAGTACAAAGTAGCTCAGATTCTTCGAATGGGCATGCCACAGGCCGAGACTTCCTGAAACTGTCACGCTTTGTATTTTTCGCCATGTTGCAGAAAGGGCTGGGAGACAATCCAAGAACGGAACAGCAAATGGAAAAAAAAGTAGTAGGAAAGACGCGGGGTAACAAGTAGACGCGCGAGGACGCTACGAGCAATGATTTCCTGGTTTGGAAAGCAACTCATACTATTCGCGCCGGCCTCAATAATCCGTCCTTGTCTGGTCACCAGTCTCTTCAGAGAAGAGCCTCATGTTGGTTCCATCATACAGCCAGCTCACCGTCTCACCAGTGACGGGTCATCGCTCTTCACAAGAACGGGAAACTGGGGTAACGCCGAGCACGTATTCAAAGAAGGCACCATTGAAGCTCTCACTCAGCAATGAAGTAAGGTCGTTCAAGAGAAGAGCGAGCCATCGCTACTTCCGATGCGAAGACATTATGAAAAAGCAGTGCTGCAGCCGTGGCCAATGTGCATGCAAATAATGGGGCTGCGCAGGATGCAACTCACAATCTGGTTCAAGTTTTGTTGTGACATGGGACTGCTCTGCCCCTGGGTAGGCGGCTGATGCACCGGTGTGCCCGACAAAGGTGGTTGCGACGACATGGGCATGCCGCCTCCATTCGCACCAGGACCCAGGCTGCCGCTGCGCGGCGCCGGGCTTGGAGCGCCGCCAGGCGCGGACATTGCAATTCGATCAGACGAAAATTTCGGTGGGGTATCAAAGGAACGGGCGGTTGCGAGAGAGGAAGGAGACGAGGGATACAAGGCGCTTGATGAGCGTGGGGTCGTTGCGCGACGACATTCGTGATATTGGAAGGTTCGCAAGGTCGGAGCTTATTCAGCTCCCCGGATTCTGCACGTGATGAGTCTCAGCGTCTACTTCCCGCCGAGTGCAAGTCATTCACAAAACTTCGTACCTCGCAAGTCTTACAACCTGTCAAGACTCGGCGTCATGAGCGGAGAATCTGCAACGCCGACGAGCTTTACCTCCGCGGAGCGCATCCGCCAACTCAACGAGATCGACCAAGTATGGCCACTAACTTTCAAGCCAAAAACACATACACAGCAGGCTAATCGTCTGCTTGTATAGGATGTTGCAAAGCTCATTCACTCAGCCGGTCTAGCAATCCAAGCGTTGACCAATGCAAAGCCGAACTCCCCTTCCTCCGAGGTTCCAGAGGGCTCCCTCGAATCCCACAAGACGCAGTTTAAAGACGCAACACAGCAATACTTCGCTCTCCTCTCCTCAATTGATGTTCGACTACGTCGCCAGGTCTACGCTTTAGAGGAATCTTCTGTTCTGGCGCCGGATCCAATTGGGCGAGCAGGCGATGTGAGCACTGGTACCGCCGGAGCTGCAGGGTCAGTTGCCTCCAATTCTCTGGACATCAGCTGGCTCAACAGCCGAAAGGACACGGTCGGGAAGGACAAAGAAGCTGAATTGTGGGCTGCTGCGCGGGGATTTGTGGAACAGCTGAATAAGTCGACGGGTGAGCCAAACGACTCCAGCAAGTCGAATGGCGATTCCGAAATGCAGATGGATTGATGGTAATATGCTGGCCGGGCGGCCACTTGATTTACAGCAGGGCTATGACTGCTTTGCACCTTTGATACCCAAATACGCCGGCGGCAGCTGGTCTTGATAGCAATTCACCTCGATTGCTTCCATCTAGTATTCCATCCAGGAGGAGTTGACGTTCAACATTGTCTCGGTCTCGACTGTATGCGAATGGGGATTTGCATGTTCACAGAACTAAAGCTATGCAAGAAAAAAACGCAAAAACGGCTGCGTATATCGGACTCTTTGAGCCAATCGACCCAAGAGCTGACTGAGCTGTGACAAGAGATTACTTCTGCATGGATTTGATCATCTCCAGCTGCGTCGCGCGGTCCCGATTTGTCTCGGACAACGGCGTCAGACCTGATGGCATAATTAGCACCTTGAAAATACATAATAGAAGAGCAAAAACCTACTGCGAAGCTCACCCACAACATCCTTAGCCTTGCCGAAGTAAACCTCCTCTGTGAAAGCGTCAGTGTCCATCGCGCCAGCAACGGCGTACCGAAAGACATACGTAGCAAGTTCCGCATCTTCAGTTCCATATCCTCAACCAGTCTACCAACATTAGCGATGTGGCTCGCGTCCGACTCAACGGGCAAGTCAGCCTCAACCTGACGGGTCATATTGCCGCTCAGGTCCATTTCGCCGAGTGCCTGGTTCTCGTTGGCCAGGTGCAGGATCACGGTACTAGTGAGCTTGTAGTGGGACATGCGTGCCCGGTCGGTGGCCTCGAAGACATGAATGCTGTCCCATTCACCGGAGCTCTGGGAGCCGGGTGTCACCCCTGGAAAAGACAAGGTCAGCCATCCATCCAGTCACGCGATTCAATTTCCCCTAGATTCTACAAGCCATACCCTTCTTCAACAGAATCACACCCGCAAATCCGTCGTCCAGATCCCAAAAGTACACGCTGCCAACGCCGCCCTCGTAGTAGAGCTCGCGGTATACGTCAAAGGACTCATTGGCCGCGACTTCGAGCTTGCGCACCCGCTCACTGGGCACCGTTCCGTCCTCGAGAGGAGGGTCAAACTCGTTGCTCCATGGTGATCGATAACTATCGCCGTCGCGATTGTAATCACAGAGCAGGTAGTCACGGCTGGTTTGGGGGCATTTGCGAATCTCCAGGGGCTGGTCAACAGAGGCAAGGAGGTCTTCGGTAAGGTCAGGGACGATTGAGGTGATGGATTGGAGATTCTTCTTGGTATCGCGGGGATTCAGACGCCGAAGAAGATCGCTAGTCGTAAGATGGTCAGCTCGGGGGTCTCTCCATGCAGCTGAGGCGGGGTCGCCGCAGGGTCTCGAATTGCCGGTCTGCTTGTTCTGATTGTCGGGCGGACGATATTGAAATATATGTGCTAAAAGGTCATGTTACTTACAGCGCGCTATCGAACTGTGCATCGGCCATGGTGGAGGTGAAGGGGTTGAGTCTGTATATTGTTCAGATCTCCGGACGGCGGTGTTGACGGAGGTGCGTGTGTATTGCAGACCGCAGGTGGCAGTAGCATCTCCACCACCCATAAAAAAACAAGATAAGGAACACTATATTGATTTTCAACGAAGATCTGAACATTCCACAATGATCTTTATGTTCTTTGGTCATTAAACTCTAAATACAATGCAAATTTCAATGTGCTCCAAAGCTGACGCCAAGTCTATAGAGCAAGTTCAGGGCGTGGCTATACTTCAAAGTATCCACGAATCGTCTTCGTTGTCATCTTCAATCTCTGCCCTAGGATTTTGGGCATTCTGAGCAACCTGAGCCTTAGCCTTTGACGCACTACTAAGGAGCGTGTTTATGTCCGGTAGATCAGAGTCAGAATCATCGTCAAAGTCGCCAACAAAGAGGGGAGATGATCGTTTGTGTTGAATATCAGAGTCTAGGTCTGCCCTTTGGCAAGAAGTTGAATTCTTCGATGGTCTTTTTGAATTATTGCTGCGCCGATACTCTGTTGTTGATGTCTCTTTGGGTTCGATGGGTTCTCGAGCCAGGATTTGCCTGTAGTAATCCTCGCAGTCAGGTCCAGCCTGCTTCATTTTTTGCAGAGTCCCAATCATTCGAGAGGTAAGGGAGCCATGCGGAACAAACTTGGTCGGTCTCGGAACAAGCTGGAGGTGAGGAAATGCATCATTGCGTGGGACGCTGATGTATTGTGGCGATGTGTCTCCAATATTTTGATAAAGCCGCTCGAGATCTCGTTGTTCTTTATCGTTAAGAACCACTTCGTCCAGAGATGGGACTTCGACTGGTTCTGGTGTTGGAGTTCGAACGCGTTTTGCAGGAGTAAGCTTTCTCGGCTTGGCTTTACTGAAACCTGCTTCAAGTCTTGATGCTCGAGTAAAGCCAGTCTCCACATCGTCAGGCATATTGAATTTCTTAGGTGGCCTTTTAGGCGCACGTCCTTTGCGCTTTGGCTCGGGCAGTTCGCGCTGGGAATTCTCTGGGGGGACGTCGATGATCCGCTTGTCGGCCACTGGACGTACCCCGGCAGGTAGGATACGAGCAGATCGATCATCATGAAACGTGAACCGAGAGCCGCTGGCTATCATCTGTTGCATTTTCTCATAGTTGTCCTTCGCTTTGATGTATGAGTCTTCCTCTTTGCCCTTCATAAGGAGCAACGTAATGTTCCCGGCTCTCTTACGGCCAGTTCGACCCATTCGTTGCAGCATGCGAATTGGCGATGCAGAGGAGTCATAACACACGATGAGATCGACCTCACCAATATCCAATCCTTCTTCACCGATGGATGTGGCGACGATGGTATTGTAAGTGCCCTTCTTGAACTCTTGGATGATCTTCAGTTGGGTCTTCTGATCCATTCCCTCTGAGCCTTTGGCGCTACTTTGGCCCACGAACACATGCGGTCGAATCATGGGCTCGTATCGCTTCAACACTCTCGTGACTTCTTCGGCGCTGTCACGAAAATGCACAAATATCATAACTCGCGTTGCTGGTTGACTGTTACCATCAATATTTTCGTTGCCTTCGCCTCTATCCATAAAGTGATTCAGGATTACGGATTTGAGGTACTCCAATTTCGGGTGGCCAATAAACTCTGGGTTTTTGGACCAGGGCTCGAGATGGCTGATGAGCTTCTTGAAACTCTCATCCTGTACAACCTGTTTCTGCCACTTGCCACCTTTCTGTCCGTCGGTGTTCGATTTGAAATGCAGGATGTGGCGATAGAATGGGACGATTCCGTGGAACTTCAACAAGTCTATGGCATGAGCCAGACTTGCCAGGACAGTGAAAATTGCATTGACCTTTCCTTTGAGTCCGAAGTTGGCATTTCGGCCGGCATCGGATGCCATCCATTGTTGTCTTGCTTTCGTAAGACCAAACGCTGTCAGGCCCATTGGATCTCGGCCCCAATAAGCATTCATTGTTCGAAGTTGATCCACTAGAGGTCGCAACGTCGTTGATAAAAGGTCCATGCAAAAGAGCATCTCATCCGAGTTCTCAAATGTCTCAATTTCGATATTACGAGAGTGCACGTAATCCCGAATATCAATTGAACTTTCGGTGCGAATTTCCACTCGCGAAATGTCGAGGCCATCAATTACTGCCTGTACAGATTCCACGGTAGAGCCAGGCGTGGCAGTCAGCGCGAGAACACGGAAACTTTTGTTGAACCTTCGCAAAAATTTGACCACTTCGACATAGGCGTAGCCTCCAGTAGCACGGTGCGCCTCATCTACAACCAGTAGAACGATGCGCTTTGGATCTGCGATTCCGGTCTTCAAATCGTTGATCAATGTCTGGGGAGTCATGAAGAATACTCGCTTCGATTGCCACTCCTCCGCACGAATGCCAGGCGATGCACCTCCAGTAAGCATTGTAGTCTGGGATCGCGGAATTCCAGCAATATCCAGACATGCTGTCACCTGCTGCGAAACTAGTGGTTTCGTGGGAGCTACAAAAATAATTTGAGAGTCCTTGGTCCACCGAAACCAGTTGAGCATGATTGTTGCCGCAATGAACGTCTTTCCCAGTCCAGTTGGCAAGGCTACCAGTAAATTGTGATAGAGGCCTTTCTGGGTGATATTGAACTGGTAGTCTCGAATAGTGCCCAGATTTGTTGGATACCACCATTGATCGAGTGCATCTTTGTTCAATTTATGATGTGTCGGGGGTTCGACTTTCTCAGGCAGCGCAAAGTCTTCTTCACGTGGCGTGGGCGGTCCGTTCTGGGCAGTCATGCCAAAAAGTGTAGTTTGTCGGAGATGCTGCGGTCGATTTGGAGGCCTCGGGAAGCTCGATGTAAATGTTGGACATTGAGCTTTACATACAGCCGGCGACAGAGCTGGCGAGGAATCGAAAGCATCCTCCGGTAAATCTTCCAACTCAAATGAGACGTCCATGGAGTCATTCCTCTGCTCATGATGTGACACAGGTCGAGGCGGGCCTGTACATTTCGATTTACTAGTGTTCACCGCAGTTCTGAATGACTTTTCTTCTTCGAATGCGTCTAGCGATGCTGCCAACGCTGCTCGCAGCTCTTCCTCCTCGTCGTAGTAGTGATTAGATTCTCTCCTCGTCGCATTTGTGGGAGAAAGGTGAGGAGAGGGGGCCATAGGTAGAGGAGGTGGCGGATCAGGATCTGGCTTTTTCCACCGGGGCCGCGAATCCGCTCAGGGCTGGAGTGAGGTTGTGTGAGTTGAGTAACAAACATGTTTTCCTGGAAGTTGCGCTGTTTGGGTACGAAGCTCCGAGACTTTGATCGTTGGTCTTCTAATGCTTCCCGGGATTCGTGATAGTTCGGTAGATCCTCGTCAAAATCAGAGAAAGAGTCAGTCTCGGAAACAGTCTCCTCGCCATCATCTTCTTCCCCGCGTGAGGGGAGTTGCACGCGACGCCGTTTGGCAGGGCGAGGAGGTCCATCACCGTCGGGGGTACTGGGCACTACAAAATCATCATCAGAGTATTCTGACTCGAAGTCTGAAGACGGCATTGCGCTGAGAGCAGCGAGCTGCTAATATCGCGCCTTCTCGCAATATCACCACCCTCTACATGATGGTCGCGTCGCGAAAGTCACGAAGTCATGTGACTGTGAGAGAGGGTGTTTGGTCTGTTTGCACCACATGGAGGCCTCTGATCTTTACTTCTACTGTTATGGCCTTCTAGTCCTCTGGTCCTCTGGTCCTCTGGTCCTCTGGTCCTCTGGTCCTCTGGTCCTCTGGTCCTCTGGTCCTCTGGTCCAGTCAGTACTGTAACCTTAATCAATGTCAATCGCTGTATTTATTGGGAATTGTGGATAGTACCATAGTCTAATGGCGTCCATCGTGATCTGGTTTCAGGGGTTTTGAGGCCAAGAAAGACCCCAGAGTAAATGCATGCGGGGGGGTCATAATGAAGAGTCCCTTGCGCCTTTTGGGGGGCCGCCCTAGCGCATCTGGGGATCAATGGGTACGGACTAGCGGATTATAGGGGCTTGTTGATACTGTTTAGGGTGGCAACCGGGCGAATGACAATCGCCCGGGCACGGCCGAGAATCCCCAGATTTGCCAGATCCAGGGTCCCGTTTACTTCCCGCCTATTCGGCAATGTCCTGTCAAGGGGCCAATATCCCATTTTTCACCGGGCTATTCTTAGGGATTCTTTTGGCCTTCACGGGAAGCAAGGTAGTCCGAAATTGTATCCACCGAGCGACCATAGTAATTAGTCAACACCAAACCTACCGAGTTCGATGTGAGACACGAATGGGGAACCTAGCGCCAGTTTTCTTTTTTTTTTTGTGGTCGATGGTTTCAGGGCTCCTGATTTGGGGGAAATGGAGTCACCTGGATGTGATTTGGCCAAGTCTAACATGCCAATGCAGGGTTACAGGTCGCGGACTGCAGGAAAGCGCAGGTACACGGCTCTTGTGCCCTGTGATTTACTTAAAAAGCTTCCAATCCCTTTCTCAACCTTTCCCTCGTTCCCCATCATTCTCAAGTCACTCGCTACACCTTGACCAGTCTCTACCTTCTTGACATTACTCTTCCATCTCCACTTTCATCATGAAGTTCAGCATCATTGCCCTCTCTACTCTGCTGGCCTTCGCTGCAGCGGAGACCACTACCACCGCAGAGACTGTTACTGCAACCCTCACTCCTGAGCAATCGTGTGCCAAAAACTGTAGGTTTGATCTTTTTCCCTGTTCTCGTTTGTCTGCGTTAACGTGATGCCCTCAATAGGCAACAGCTCTGACCGGTGCTGCGTCGCCGATTGCTACAAGGTCCCCTGCCCCAATGAGGCCCAGGCCAACGATACCAACAGCTGTGTTGCCGCCTGCCCTCAGGGTACCGGCACTGCCGCCGATACTAAGAAATACACCGACTGCCAGAACGCCTGCTTCAACTCCCACTTCCTCGCTACCGGTACTGCCGCCTCTGAGACAGGCTACACTGTCTCCAGCACCACCACCACGGGCACCTGGGCTACCGCGACCGCCACAACCACCAGTGCCTCTATGTGTACGCTTCAATCACCGCTGTAGACTTCTTTTATACTGACTCAATCTGTAGCTTCCAACAACGACAACCGTAACACCGAAAGCGCTTCCGCTAGCACCTTCAGTGTCTCTAGCACCACCACTGGTGTTGTCCACTCTACCAATGCCGCGTCTAACGTCAAGCTGGGTGCCTCCAGCGCTAGTCTTCTCGGCTTGGTGGTTGCTGCATTCGCTCTGTAGGGGTTTCACATACACGCTCGACCGAGATAACACATGGCGCGAAGTGATTGTTTCGGATCATCTCGAGCATCTGTTGTCCATCGCATGTTCTTTCTGCATGTGCAATAATATTTGATGCCTGTGAATGATATTGTAATAATTTTCCTGAATTTCTTTCCAAGTGCAGACAAGTTCCAGGTTTGTTGATGCAGCAGTACATGGTTGAATTTTGCATGTAGACCACTCGCCGTTTCGTAAATGTCCCAGATGTCCCATCACGCTGCATTACCCGTAAGAAAATACACGGTGTGCGATGCTGCCTGGCCTTGGCTTGAAGTGGTCGTGACCCTGGAAGATGAGTGGAGTTCAATGCTTGGACTGCAGCTGCAGGGACGACGTTGGATGCACGAGAGGCTTGGATCGACTCACCGCCAAGTTCCAGTCCACGGGTTGTTTACGGGTCTAATAAAGGCGAACTAATGATATTATTCCCCCAACTCAACTAGTACATCGACTTGAGAGCAACCTGTCTCTGGAACCTTACAATCTGCCTCTGCGAGACGATTTCAGCTGCCAGCACCGTAAAAAGCGCCTTTAGACCAACCCGTGGACTCACACATACATGGACACAAATATGGTCGCGACAGCCATGGAAGCTACCAGCGAGCAATTCCAGACACTATACCGCTCTATGTGTATCTTCGTGGACTCTTGCATGTCCGGCCATGATCCTTCCCACAACCCAGCCCACGTCCACCGCGTGGTCAACGTGGCCCTCGCCATTCTCCAGGCCGAACAAGCCCTGCACCCCGAAAAGCAGCTCAACACAGCAGTGGTCAAGCTTGCAGCCCTCATGCACGACATCGGAGATAGAAAATATCTCCACAGCTTGTCATCGGTGATAGACTCTAATGTGGAATCACTCGATCCCGAAACAATGGTTGAGGTCGCCCTCATCAAAAACGGAGCCCCGGCGGATCTCGCCTCCAAAGTGCAGACAATCGTCTCGCACGTGTCCTACACAACAGAATGCAAAGACCCGAGTGTAATTCGTCGCCTGATAGACGAGGGATATCCTGAGCTAGCGGTCGTACAGGATGCTGACAGGCTGGATGCAATTGGAGCCATTGGCATCGGCCGGACTTTCACATTTCTTGGGGCACAGGGCAAAAAGTTTGTCGGAGATGACGGCAGGTGGGAGATGGATAACTCGATCGAACATTTCGGGGGCAAGCTGGAGAAATTGGAGGGAATGATGAAGACAGAGACTGGGAAAAAAATGGCGGGTGTGCGCACAGAGAGATTGAGGGTGTTCCGCGGATGGTGGGAGGAGGAGATGGCCCTTTCTAATTCTACGGTGTAAAGTACTAAGAACACATATTGAGCAGATGGGCCTCACTAGGCGACACCAATCTTTATGTCCTGGCTTGTTCGAAATATCCCAGAGACGAAACATATTGATGTCTACATAGATGCCAATCTGGGGCCAAGAGGCTTCGAAAGAGGCTTGCAGATAAGGAAGAGAAATGACTTGGGCAAACTGAAGGTTGCACTCGATTTATACTGTTCAAAGCACCTAAAAGGGTTAGAGCACATCTATGTTGAATATCTTGGGTGCCTGAGCCCCTTGTATTGATGTCCACAGCCCGTTCTGGGCCCAAAGAGTGGCAGTTCGAACATATGAAAGCAGAGAGAATGAATGTTCCAATAAAGTTCAGACGCCGTGCCTCGGTAAAGACTGTTTGAGGATACTTCCCTCACAGCGAAGAAAGGGAAAAACGCAGAGAGAAATGACAAACATCCACCTTCTATCCAATGCGAGCAAATCAAAAGTACAGGTTTGGGTATTTGGGTTTCTGTGAGTGAGGAATCATCAAGAACGCATGGTATCAAAGACGAAATGCACGAACCGGCAGATAATCCAGAGTTTAGGATGTCTGGTGCAATTTCGTAGGTATGATTGACAAGAACCACAAACGCCACTTGCAAGTCGCCAACGCCGCGCGAGCACTGTATCTAAATCACCGAAATATCAAGAAATGAAGTAGATATAAGGAGCTGAAAAGAAAAAGAAAAAGAGTTGAGATGATTAGACACGATCTCGTGCAAAGTCCAGGACTTCGCAGTCATCTTCGAAGAACCCATCGTCCTTGAGTGGAATGGAATGCTTCTTCTTGCGTCGAGTGGTGATCACCACTTCCTCGACGTTACCGGTGCTGTTACCGAGAGTGATGAGGTTTTCCATATCGCCACCCGCACCAAAGGAGTGGCCGTGGATAGCGCCCATTTCGTCCTCATCGTCATCCTGACAATCAGTACTGTTGCTATACGATCTGACGTGTACTTTGGTCGTCGGGATGTCATTGCCAAAGACCCACTGTTCATGAGAAGCCAGCACGGTTGGATCGGTAGCCTCGGAAGTAAAAACGTGAAGACCCACACGCTGGTCGCTATGGAAAGGCTGGTATGGTGTGTTCGTCTCAATCTCCGCCTGTGAGAGCGGCTGGCAGAGAGCCTTCCCTGCGTTAGATGGCTGCGAGCTGGCAGACGGCAAGAGCAAAAACGCCTGGACTACCTGCTCCGGGTCATATGTCAGGAGAGGTGCCGGCCCACAAACATTGTGAAAATTGGCCGGGAGCTTGAACTGACTCTCTTTACCACCTATCACAGAATGAAACTGGCGGTTTTTGTGAGTGTTCGCGCTTTGCTTCAAGCGGTACATTTTGAAGTGTCCATCATCCACCACGCCAAGGAAGACGAGGCCTTTGCTGCAGATCCACATGACGCGAGAAGGAGCTGGATCACGGGAAAGGCCAGACAGGTGAAGTCGATTCTCTCCAACATGCCGAAGCGTACGAACGGTACCTGTAGCCGCTGCACCCATGGATTTGCTCAGCCCTGCCGCCACAACCTTGCCACCCTTGATGCTCGCCGCAGTTGGCAATGCAAATGTAGTCATATTTGGAAATGCAGTACCAGACGACGGCACACGACCTTTGACAGCAGAGAAGAACGGCTGCGTCTTGCCTCCGACAAAATTCATCGCCGCCGACAATGGATTGGCGGTGGCTCCTTGGCCGGCCAGATCATCTCCCACTGGGTCAATATTAGGTGACTTCTTCCCAGCAGGACGAGCCCGTCGGAAAGGAGGCCACTGGAATGCGCTTCGAGGCAGATCAAATACATGGACTGTGCCTTTGCGAGTGATGATGGCCAGTCTATCCCCGACGGGAGAAGTCCAGATGACGTCAATTATACTGGACGTGGTCAACCGGGCGTATCGTGCAACCTGCCGCACATTCGGGCTTTGGCCAGCCTGGTCTTCAGCCATGAAAGCCATTGCTCGGCAATGTTTCAATTGCATCAAGTCCCAGACGTATTGAACATCGCCTTTCTTACTGGCTGTGAAGAGCATCAAACCATTTGGAGACAGCGAAAGGAAACTGCAGCCATTGGGAACCTGAAAAGTCGCCACAGGGTGGAAAGGAGCAGCCTTCGCATCTATGCCGTCGTCAAATCTCTTCAAGTCAAGAATGGAAACTGCGTCAGGCTCATGGGTCGAGGTTGTTTGGGTGTCCTGGGCATGGGTAGGCGGGAAAAGACCATAGCCCTGCGCCTGGGTGTCTGGGCTTCGTACAAGTCGTTGGGGAGGCGTACCAATGCCTTGATAATGGTTCCAGTAGTTGTTCCACGCTTGGAGGCCCTGATCGCCCATCCAGCGGGCACCTTTGACCAGCTCCTGTGTGACACCTCTGGCAAATTTGTCAAAGATACTCTCCCCTTCGCCAACGTCAGTCGCACAGTTGACTGACGGTATGGTTGGTGGGCTACGAGTCTCCATCCCATGGACTTTGCCATGCAGCAAACTTGGAGGAACGGTTCCGTGAATCGATGGACGGTAAGACGAGGCCGGGGGGACCATCGCCAACCATCTTCCATGCACAGCCAAAATGGGTCTCTCGGACATGGAGATACGGGGATGGTCATGGTGAGATCCATCCGGATCCGTAGAGCTCGAGGACGTGGAGTAACGACGAGCTTCTCCGGTCTGAACATTAGTCCAAGTCTTGCCCAGGCACTGATATGCTCCAGAGGCAGAATGTTTGAAAATGTAAACCTCACCGCTGATTCCGGAGGCAACAATGACATAGTTCCCGCTGCTGAATAGCTTCAAACTACCTACAGGTGGTGGTGCCAACGATGGAAGACCTGGGAGGTTCTCTGATGCCGGCACCGGTTTACCTGCAAATAACGTTGCAAGGTGATCACCAGCTCGCAGGGAATAAACCTCAACTCGGGTCTGGTATAATGATTTCTCGTCTTTGGCTGAGCGTCTATCATGGGAGAGGCCCCGTGCCATTGAAGGCGGAGCATCATTGATCTCAGACGCAGCAGAGGAAACAGGACCTTCCTCGCTCCGTGGGAGTGGTCCATGGACGATCACAGCCACATGGGGCTGGGATGACGCATGTAGATCAATGGATGAGTGGCCCGGTAGAATCTTTGCTTCAATAATTCGACCGTTGAGGCCGTTGATTTGTCCGATCAGACGGATTTGGCGGTCCTCAACGGCGTGTACTTCTACACCACCGTCAGTTCCTACCACCAGTACGTTCATACCTGCACGTGGTGCTTTAGATGACACACTTGGGAGGGTATCAAAAGCGCAGAATGAGTAAGCACCCTCTGTAGTAGTGCGGTTTTGCGTTGGGAGATCGAAGTCGGGTACAGCGTAGAAATGGGGTTGTGGCATATGAGGCGGCGGAGCCAAGTTGCTCATTGGACTTCCATAAGAATGGCTCTTTCGCCGGTCTACTGATTGCTGTCTAGACTGTATACTGCTTCGAAATCCACCTCCATAGCTGAAGGGTCGAATTCGAGTCGGAGGAGATGCCGAGGACGCTTGACTGAAGCCGCCTCTTTCCTGAATCGTAGGAAAGCTAAGTGGCGAGTCCTGGGGAAGGTCTCCGTCAATCAAATCAGGGGGAGGGCTCTTTCCATAAGGTATAGACTGAGCCCAAGTGTCGGTGCGACTGTTGAGGTCATTGTCCATGGTTTCTTCGATTGATCCCAAAGCGTCGAGCACGGGCGAGGTTACAGGGGACGAGCCTGACCTTCGTCAGGATCATGGTGATCGTCCGGGGAAACATCATCTTCCAGTAACGGATCAGGGCATGATGGAGGCTCTGTCGGTGGAGGTGCCGATGCAGGTACAGATGCATGCACCGATGCAAGTGTTCTGAATGCCAAGTTAGTTAGCTGGTTCCAAGAGATCGGTCCAACGGAACGAGAGTGCATCATGGACACATACATATCATCCGGCGGTGAAGCCGTTACTGCTTTGGCGGCCTTGGTGGCCTTTTTTTTATTCTTCTTTTTACTCTTTCCACTGGGTTCATGCTCCTGAATGGGGATATTTTGATCTGGAGGGAAAGACGAGTCGTCTTCCAAAGACCGGCTATGCTGGCGGATCAAATCGTCAGGTGCGGCCGGGGCATTCAAATGGAGGATGCCTCGAATAAGAGGCAAAGGTCAGAGCACTGGGAACCGCTCTCAGGACCTGTGGTGGGGTCTGAGAACAGGGGGCGAACCGGGTGGTTCACGTTGAGGACGTTGAATTGATGAATTACAAAAGAGGGACCTAACACGATCTAAAATATTAGTTTGAACAGTACTTGGGTGATGCTTCTGAGTTGCAAGGTTCATTCACAACCTACCTGGTGCAGAGCGGACCCTTGTCGCCCGTGCTGATCGCGGTTCGGGTTGACGTATCAAGAGCGGAGAAGGCTCTTTGAATACGCGGGGAAGCTTGGATAAGAGCGATAGGCGTCACACAGCACGGGTACTTTGATCCCAGATGCTGGGAAGCCAGAAACCAAGTTGAATGTATAGCAATAGAGGTTCAAGAGAGAAGGAAGGAAGAGTGAGGGGAAGGCGATCTCCGATAAGAAAGAGGGGGGCAGCGCGGTACCTGAGTCAGAAGGCGAGGGGCTGACCCCGTCATTCCCCGGTTGAACACACGGTCAGGTCACTTCCCTGCATCATAGCTATGCTTACTTGCTTCCTACGTTCCAGCTGCACGATGACTCTCTCTCTTTTCCCACTTAGAAGGGTCCTGGGTCTCGGTCTCTGACCATGGGCCCCCTTACCTAATCCACGTATGGCTCATGGCCACTCTACACCCGTGGACCAGTTCGCCCAAATAGGAGGCCGACCCCAGTCCACCTGATTCACCTTTTCCTCTTCCTCTTTCTCTTTGTTTCAAAATGAGGTACGGGCTGCGGTCACGGGACACCTGCGAATTATTCTAGGTTGACGCGAAACAGGCGCTTGATCAATGTCCGATCATTTGCCGATCATACTAGCGCGTATACTAGGAAGCACGAAGTAAGGCTTGTTCGCTGCATTGGAGACTTGGTCTTGATTCAACTTGATTATTTTTGCCTATTAGATGAGATGTTTCTCCGTGCTCGTCCTCTGGGTATGCACAAGTGCTGATACAGGGCTGGAGGGCCAGTCGCGTCGAATATTTCCCTGAGCCTCAGGTCTTCTTCTTTGCCGCGGCCTTGGCCTTGGCGGCCTTCTTCTTGTTGCTGTTGATCATCACAATGCCTATGAAGGTGCCGACCACTGCGGAACCCAGGAGGGCCAGGATGACGGGAATGCGGATGGCCCAAACACGCGGAGGGAAGAGGTCATGGAGGGGGTGGCCGGGGTCGACAAAGGGCTGTTATTTGAGTTAGAAGTGATTGTGAAGTTGCAAGCTCCAGAGGACACACCATCAGCAGCGTCCAAGCTGTGTAGTAAAGGAAGATTGCGGTTGCGGCCAAGAGCATGGCGGAACCGACAAGTTGGCCCAGCTAGACAATGGTCAGTATACGTGACATGAGGTATCCGGAACGAGCACCGCACCATTATTGATTCGAGTAGCCCCAAAAAATAAAATCACACGCGAAATCCCCGAAGAAGACGATGCGAACAACTGAAGGGCGAATAAGTCAGGAGCTCCCGTGCCGTTTATTGTTCCTACCTGGCCTCCCGGCACGTGACCCGCGCTAGAGCTTTCACGGGTCTGCGAGACTCGCATCCACCGCGCCCCCGGGTGTTTCCTCTTTCCCCCCCCATTCTCCATCCGAACCATTGGTGACTCTTGAGTCTGCACAATGTCGGACCCGGTCGTTCTTCAGTCGGCGGTTCGAGTGCCCACTCCTCCCCCAGGGGCCGCATTTTCGCCTGGTGGAGGCTCAAGAAAACGTTCGCCTCCATCGCGATCTCCGTCGCCAAATCGACGTCGCTCACCACCGGGTGATTCGCACCGACACGGTGATGCCCCCCGCCTGGATGACGAACGCGCAATCGAACGAGAGCGACAGCTTGCGGAGCGTGTTCGTGAACATGAAAAGAAGGAAGCTGCTCGAAAGCCGTTGACCGACGAGGAGAAACAGGCTTCTGCGAAGGCGGAATATGAGAAGCTTCTAAACATGCGTTCGGGCGGTACATACATTCCTCCAGCCCGACTTCGTGCGCTGCAGGCGCAGATCACGGATAAGACGAGCAAGGAGTACCAGCGCATGGCGTGGGAGGCTTTGAAGAAATCGATCAATGGTCTGATCAACAAGGTCAACGTTTCAAATATCAAGTTTATCGTCCCAGAACTGTTTGGAGAAAACCTGGTTCGAGGACGGGGCCTGTTTTGCCGTTCCATCATGAAGGCGCAGGCGGCCAGTTTGCCCTTTACACCCATCTACGCTGCGATGGCGGCGATTGTCAACACGAAACTTCCGCAGGTCGGAGACTTGTTGCTGTCCCGGTTGATTATTCAATTCCGCAAGGCTTTCAAGCGAAACGACAAAGCTGTCTGCATCTCGTCCACAACGTTTATCGCCCATCTGTGCAATCATCAGGTTGCTCACGAGATGTTGGCCGCCCAGATTCTCTTGCTTCTTCTTCATAAGCCCACAGACGACAGTGTAGAAATCGCAGTCGGGCTCACCCGAGAAGTTGGTCAACATCTGGAGGAAATGAACCCTCCCATTGCACTCGCAGTGTTCGACCAATTCCGAAACATTCTTCACGAGGCCGACATCGACAAGCGTGTGCAGTATATGATTGAGGTGCTCTTCCAGGTGCGCAAGGACCGTTATAAGGACAATCCGGCAGTTAAGGAAGAGCTCGATCTTGTGGAGGAAGAAGATCAAATCACCCACCGCCTCGGATTGGACGATGAAATTGAGACACAGGACACGCTCAACATTTTCAAGTTTGACCCGGAGTGGGAACAGCACGAAGAAGCCTACAAAAAGCTCAAAGCCGAAATTCTCGGCGAAGACAGTGATGAAGATGCCGAGGATGGTGAGGACGAGAGTTCGGACGAAGAATCAGACGAGGAGGAGCAGAAGATGGATATTAAGGACCAGAGCAACACTGACCTGGTTAACCTTCGCCGAACAATCTACTTGACGATCATGTCTAGTATCGATTTCGAAGAATGCTGTCACAAATTGATGAAGATCAACCTGCCGGCCGGTTTGGAGCCAGAACTGCCGTCAATGATTATTGAGTGTTGCTCCCAGGAACGAACATACTCCAAGTTCTACGGCTTGATCGGCGAGCGATTTGCAAAGATTAATCGCTTGTGGTCGGACTTGTTTGAGGCTGCCTTTGCTAAATACTACGACACTATTCACCGCTACGAGACAAATCGCCTGCGCAATATCGCACGATTCTTCGGACATATGATCAGCAACGATGCCATTGGCTGGCATGTCCTTTCGGTGATTCATCTGAACGAGGAGGAGACCACCTCCAGCAGCCGTATTTTCATCAAGATTTTGTTCCAGGATCTTGCAGAGCACATGGGCCTGCCCAGCCTGCAGGCTCGATTCCGGGACGAGATTCTACGGCCAAGCTTCGAGGGTCTCTTCCCCTACGGAGAACCCTCGACACACCCGCTTCTCAGTCAACTACTTCACCAGCATTGGCATGGGTATTTTGACTGAAGATATGCGTGAGCACCTCAAAAATCTTCCCCGACCGACTGTGCCTGCCTTGCCAGCCGCATCGCGCTCACCGTCACGCTCCTCATACTCCTCATACTCGTCTCGGTCCCGGTCTCGTTCCCGCTCCCGCTCCTATTCATATTCCCGCTCTCCCTCTCGGGATCGCGGCCGCTCTTACACTCGCTCTCTCACACCTTCGTCGCGAAGTCGGAGTTACACGCCCTCACGCTCGCGCTCGCGCTCTCCTCGCCGCAGTCGACGTGACGCGTCTTACAGTCGATCTGTATCGCGTTCCCGAGCCCCAGCGAATCGGTCCGTATCCAGGTCGCGCACACCTCCGCGACGTCGGGCGCGTTCCTATGGCTCCCGCAGCCCCACCCGCACCCCGAGCCGGTCTCTTAGTCGCAGTCCGTATAGATCTCGCCGGTCCGTATCACGTTCCCCCTCGCGATCAGTGAATCCTCCACGCCGTGTAGCACTCGCCAGTCGTCGCAACCGCAGTGGCTCAGGATCTGTCTCTCGGTCTGTCACTCCTCCTCGTGGTCCTGCATCGAATATTTCCAGGCGATACTCGTCCAAATCCGTATCCCCTCCACCTCGTCGAGGCCGGGACAAGTCCGTCTCTCGTTCCCGCAGTTCCCCACGCAGGGATGTTTCGCGTGGACGAAGCGATTCTCGGACGCTTCCTCGCCGAAGGTAAAGAGGTCGCTTCGGCCACAATTTTATTTGGGAATGTAAGAATGTGATTATGCTGGCTGGTCTTGTCAGGGTTGTGCAGCCATCTTCTTGGGCTTCTTTATATGGTGCTAGGGTCAGGCGAGGGGAACCAGCTCAAATGGTTGTATTTTAGTGAAGTCTTTCAGCGTTCTATTGTGGCAATCCTCAGATACGATGCATATGTCAAGAACAGTTTAAACCAAAACCAAGTCTATCGGGTATCTTCCCCACCAAAACTTCTGTACAGCTTTACCGAAGAAACATTTTTTAGTTCGTCTCACCAGCCTCCCAAGCACATCGATCACAACGACATATTCCACCCAAGGCACCCGAAGCCCACTCCCTTCGTTTCTTAACCGGCAATCCAATATCACAGTAATGATTCAGAATTTCCTGGTCCTTGGCAATGCCTCCGACCTTAAGGGGCTTCATCTCAATGGTTCCATCACTCTTCGTTCTCGACCAAACTGCCGTCTCCTCACTATTCCGACACCGGAAGGTAATCTCACCACCCCACTCCCAAGTCACATTAGGATCACAGGAGTGGTTCGCCAAGCACCAGAGCGGATGCACTGCACAAAGCTCCGGACCTCCATCCCACGTAGACAGACGACCAGAAGCAGTGCCACGGAACTTGGCGTACAGGGTATTTAGTACCCAGGTATCGTAGCGGGGAAGCGAAGCGTAAGGATCTATTTCCATTTCCTCAAGGAAGCGAGTTGGTTGAAGGATATTGAGTTGGAAGGAGAACGGCAGAGTAGCGTCGTCTCCGGCATTCGTAGTTTCGATATCGAAATCATGGAAATCACCCCAGATATACTTCACTTCTGGCAGTTCCAGCGCATCCACGTCCTGTGTGGCGGACATGGCCAAAGCACGACCGAGCAGGAGCAAGTACAGATAGTCTGCCTTGTCCTTTGGATCAGGTATATCTTTACCGATAGACTCAAGGCCATCTTCCAGACCACATATAGCACCGTGGTAGGTAGTCTGTGCCTTGTCATGGCACGCTTGGCTACAGAACACTGTATCTGCGCATCCGCCGTCACAGCCTACGGGAGGTTCGGCGGCAGACAAGTCAGGGAGAGGCGAGTTGCAAGCATCGCACAAATCATCGTGAAGACGATTGGTAGCTGTGAGCAGCGAAGACTCACGCAGGATAATCTCATTTGCAGCAATGTCCTCCTTCGCGAAGAGGCCAAGCTGCACAGAGACCTCGTCCTCGCCAGTAACAGAGTTATGTAACGCCGGGAGAGCCACAGCACGAACCTCGCACTTGGGCGCAATATCCGCGAGTCTCTCGTTCAAGAAGCGCAATTCCTCTGGCGCGCGACGGTCCGGCTCGTGCTCGTTCCACGGATATAGGACTCGGCGGGCCTTACCCTGCGCCGGGAGAGCGGCAGAGTCAATCGAGTTCAGATCTATCTCGCCTTGCACATCCGCATGAAACTTGTAAATGGTCTTGATCTGATCCATCTGTTCGTTCAAGACCGTTGTTGCCGATGAGCTTTCCTTCTCCAACTCGCGCAATAGTCCTAGACCCCGGATGCCGAACTCGTACGCATCCCGATAGCATCCACAGCGGACGAGACTGCGTACTAGGACAGCGTAGGCATCGCCGATGAGTGCATCGTATTCCTCCTCTGTAACGGGAATCGTCCCATCATCCTCATCTTCGTCTTCGTCTTCGTCCTCATTCTCATTCTCATCCTCGTTCTCGATTTCGTCGCTCTTGTGGATTTGAGTACCAGTGGTGCTGACAACTTTCTTAGCGTGAAATTCGAATCCATCTGGATCTATAACGGATTCGAGCAAGGAGAGGGCACGGTAGGCATCGGCGGCGGCGAGATCGGGGAACCCGAGGTGTTCGTAGAGACGGGCGCGATTGAGATAAAGATGCGGGTTGTGTGGATCTGCGTAGAGCTGGACAGTCGCCTGCGCGCGAGCCTCCAGTAATTCTGAAGCCATGATCTCGTGCTGAATCGACGAGGAATTCACACTTGAAGAATGTCCCGCTTTGGAATTTTCGATGTGGGGCTTGCCGTTCTAGGACTAGGGAGTGGGGTGTCTTTGTATTTTGGAGGGGCGTCTAGGCATTTTGTCCATTTCTGAATTTAGTGGATGAAGAGTGATCCAAACTATCATTTCATGATTCCATTCTAATCCCAATACCATTCTCGATGCTCGTCCCAATACTTTTCCTCGGAAACGCCCTTATGCCATGAATCAATCTGATTATGAATGACAGTATGTAAAGAAAGGTATAAACCATGATCACATCACCTATAGATCTGTTAGTTGCACTTCAATCAGCGGGATGTATGTATAGAACGAACCACGCAATTATCGTCGAGGACGACGCTGGCACCTTCACCTGGGATAGCTCCAAGACCGCCAGCGCCCCCGGCACCACCTTGACGACCACGAAGGGTCGCAGCAAGACGAGCGAGCATACTTCTCTGTTTCCACATTAGAACATGGATACTCCAAATATGGTAATTCATCTGGTAGGAAATGGGAAAACTTACCGTAATGTAGGCCTCGCTCATACCCCCACGCCTATCGACATCATTCTGGCTCATAATGCGATAGCTATCTGACAGACGCTTGCGGCTTTGTAGACCACCGAGATTGTGTACGGTAGCTCCCAGGGAATTGGCCGGGTTATCGGGGTCGAGAATATTGTGGCCTCGGCGGGCCTGTTCTTGGGCATGTCGGTCCGGAGAGAAGATCTTGATGGTATTATCGATGCCCGACACTGCAAGGGTGGGCTCATAGGGATGGCCTAGTAGAATCAGATGAGAAAGTGCTGTCAGAATCACGATATTAAAAACTTACCTTGAACGACGTTGACGACCTCGCTGTCACCTTCCAAAATGTTGACCAATTCGGCAGTTTCGCGGTTCCAAATGAACACATGGCCCGAATCACTACCACTAACCACATATTCGTCATTCAAGCCGAAGAAATTGACATCCTTTACAGTTTTGATATTGCAATGACCCCAATACATTCGTGTGTGAGCGGAGCATGGCACATCAAGTTCAACGTTTCCTCTTCGTGACTTGCGACTTGCACCCCGTAGGAAGAGAGGTTCGTCGGACTCTGATTCCTCTTCATCCGAGCCCACCAAATCCATATGCCAGCCATCACCATCCTGATCATCGCTCTCGCCATCACTGTCGGAGCCCTCGTCCTCGTCCTCGTCATCACTGTCACTTTCATGGGTCACAGGCAGACGTTCAAGATCTTCATCGTCGGAGGATTCGCCGTCGTTGTCGTCTGAGGATGTCGCCATTTCCATTGCTGCCGCTCGGGCAGAACCACCAGATCTCACAAGATTGATGGTACGAATTGCCTGTTCCTCTTCGTTGGCTTCGGCATCATCCTGAGACCTTTCTACCTCAATATCACTGCTGTCTTCTACTGCAGATGTATGAAGTCCACCAAAAGCACGGTTGACAAACGAATAGTTGACACCGTTTGCAGCCTGCATCAGAACACCTCGACCTACACGCAGAATCCAGAACCTAGTTGCAGAGGCTCGGTCAAGAGATCGAACCTGCGAAGAAGGATTGGATACACGACGTCTGTCGATGCGAGCAGCTGTGTTTCCGAGGTTCTCCAAAGGCAACTTCACAGCATTACCAAAAGCAACCACGGCAGCTTTTTGAGTCTGAAACACAATTCGTGTAGAGTCATGTTCGAAACGCGATGCATCCACATTGACAATAGGGCTTTCCCTGCCAAATCTTGAAGATAAGGCATAAGCGTACTATCAATCGCATCTTCATCGGCGTCCGCGTCCAGGGGAAACCTCCCGTTCACTCTTGGAGAGCAGACTCCTCGTTTGAAGCCGCGTAGGAGTTCTTGTCGGCCTCCTTGCAGCCATAGAAGAATTGCTTTGAGGAAGTCATATCCAAATTGTGCCTCCCGATCGATAGTGCCATCCTCATTTGGCGCAGGAATGATCTGCGAGAATGCTACGGGGGTTTCCGAGTCATCAGTAGTGTGCAATAAGACACGCGCGAGAGTTCCAGCAGCTTGCACGAATCTCCATGACGCCTGCCGGTTTTCGCGAAGAGATCGCTCAAGACCAACAGTACCTTGAGATGGATTCATTGGGTATGCCCATTCACGCATGACTCTTTCCATATGGGGCAGGTATGTTGTTGCTAGGTCCAACGCAGTATTGAAGTTCTCTGAATATGGCGTAAGATCTGGCTCGTCCGACTCTGTGGCCTCTCGGGCAGTCGCTTTTAGCGAAAATAATGCTTGACGTAGCTTCACAAGCCCCTTCGCAATGTCCATGCTCAGGCGCTGAGCATCGTTTAGCACAGAATATCTAGCACGCTCGAGCATGCCCTCCGGTGTCTCAGCTCCCTCTGAGATTTCGGGAAACGGTATATCCGAGGATTCGCCATTTTCATATTGCACCCGCAGCGTATCAGGATCTGCTGATCGACGACGAGAATGATGCCGGTTGGCACTCTCCTGCGATGACATCGATGAGGGCTTCGGACGCTTGCGTTTCCCGCTGCGTGAACCATTCTTGCGGCTTGTACCAGTGCTCGTTAACTTCGAATTATCTTCGAACGAGCTATCGCGAGCATCTAGGCTGCGGATGAGGTCGAAGCTGTAGATGTGATCTCCGGACCAGCTGACTACCATTTCATCTGGGTTCGCGTCACTGATTTTGCATGCGGTGATATGCCCATCGTCGAGGCGCCGCACACGACGCTTGCCTCTGGGTGCGAATCGACGCACACATCGAGTCGCTTTGCCCATCAATTCATCATCAACACTGCCGACACTCGGGGTGGCTACGTCAGGCGTGCCTCGTTCTGCGGAGGTGTCTCGCCCCGGCATGCGCCGGTCATGTAAAAAGCAGTGCATATGGGCACCGCCCAGGGCGATGTAGTGTGGTTGAGTGGGTGAACATGAGATCGTGTTAAGGTCAAGACGGAACTTTTTGTATGATATAAGCGGCGGGGGGACATTGGAATCATCATGCTCCAAGCCCGGACGGTAGGCCATGAACCCCTGGCCGCCTCGGGGCGAAGGGTACGCAGAAGACGGCTGGCGCAAGTCCCACTGGCGGACCTCGCCGTCTTCAGAGCAAGTCAGGAAAAGGTAAGGTGACGACTCGGTGACAATACGCTTGACGCGATCGGCATGGCTCCGGTAGACTCTAGCATTTGTATTGCCTTCACTCAGATAACGTGTCCCTTCAAAGAAGTTGTTAAAGCGTCGACTCCGGGCCGAAGCTGCAAATGCCGAAGTCGCATTCGCATCGACATTGCTGTTGCTGTTGGCACTAGAATGCTCGATGTCGAAGACACGCACCTGAGAGTCACCGGCGCATGTGATCAAGGTGCGATCGTTGGAATGTGGCATGAACTTGACGGAGAAGATATTGGCCCTGTGGCCCGTGGCCACGGTGGTGTTGAGCGAGAAGGGAGCGTTTGAGGATTCGGGCTGGTATGAATATATGTTCAAATGCTGGTCATCCGAGCCTGAAGCTAAGAGACGCCCTGAACGGGACCAACTGCGACAGCATTAGCGTGGTCGATCAACGCATCTCTGCAGCGAGATACCGAGTTGGCGCGCAAAGCCGTAGCACCGGGAATGTTCCACATACCTGAGAGCGTTCACGCATCCCGTGTGTCCGCCAAGTTCGTTGACGATATCTAAATCGTTGATCCATTCCTTGGAGCCGTAAATCCCTCGAAGCCCGGCAGTAGACGATAGCTCCCCGCATTCCCGGCGCCAGAGCCGATCGTACAGTGAGTCCTTCATGATGGCAAGTCACGGTGTAGTTGCCGGTGATGAAGCTTTGACTATGCGTGAGCGGTAGTCATGGTGAGTGGTGAGCTGAAACTTTTATGGGTGTCACTACGCTCTCAACTTTTTTGGTGTTGCTTTGGTCCAACGACTAGTGAAGATGACGTCAGGAACGGAACGGTCGAGCGGGTAGTTGTAGACTGATAGAAAACCGGTCAAATAGATGATAGAACGACAGAACGATGTAGAGGGAGAGTAATTCTTTGTCGGGAAGCTGGGGAAGTGATCGGGAAACCTAGTCACATTAGCCCGAGTACCCCCATTTGGCGTCGAGCAGTCAAGATTCGTTCGTGCTGACTCAGCAGGTGCAGATTGGCTTGTATAGAGTCGATGATAGGGTTGCATGTGGGGATTCACCGGGATTGGGACTGCTTTCGCATTAGGCATGCGCCGTAGAGTAGTACCTAGGTAGCCAAATGCAGAGGTTTTGGTTATTCTCCCCTTGATGTTCCTGGCGTATAGACTTGTCTGCGGAACTTAATCCCGGTGAAGACCAGGTACAGATACAGATACAGGTATCCATGGTGACTAGAAAATCATGTACGTGTTGCTATTAAAGCGCTATCATAAAATACAGAGAATCGCTATCATTTCCATACCATCATACTTTGGTCCATATCCCAACACGCAGTACGCTCACGTCTTGTGTACTTGGCTGTTCCATAACGAGCTGACTGACGGTGCTTCGTTCTGAGCGAACTAACTCCGCTTCGAGGGTGCGCATCGCGTTGATCTCTTGTATCATAAGCTGAATTGATTCAGCGAGGCTTTGAGAGACTCGAGTCAGAGCCGAATGCTCCAAGCGCTCCACCTCCCCAAAGCCTAAAATGTGAAGACTCTGAAGCTGTCGCTGACATAGCTCCAACTTTGCATTTAAAGCCTGTATTTCCCCCTTCCACGCTTGATCAAGCGGATCAATAAATGAAATACCATTCTCCGAGGACCGTCGATCATGTCGAACCATTTCCGCTTGCTCAAACCATAGCTCAAAGGTCTCGACGGCGCGACTATACCGAGCGCTCACTCCACTGGTCACAAGATCTGAGAATTCTTGTAAGACCTGGGAGAGAATCTGTAGTTGGCCAGGAAAGTCATGAGGACCACGATGATCATGACAATTCCGGAGCCAGCTGCTTAAAGCTTGCGCATTCAGCTGGGATTGGCGCATCTTCTCGTCTCCCAGCGTGGAGCGGTATTGCTCAGCTACACCATCATATTTGCTGCGCAAATGACTCTCCGATTCGGCGTTCCAATCATTCTGCCTTTGAAGAGAGTTCGAATGGAACAAGCTAAGTTGAAGAAGCTCTGTCTGTAGAGCTGTGATGTCCGGCCACGATGTAGGGATCAGTAGATTGCCGGGCTCGGGACCAGCTGCAGGGGTAGGTGTAGGCGGTTTGCTCGGTTTCTTAGGTGAATATTGCTGTTGGAATGTCGAAAATTGCGGTCGGGACTTTTGTGCTCCTGGCATTTGGTCTGGTTGGATCGGTTTTACATTGGATGGCACCACCTGGCTGCGATGTCGCGCGTGGCCTCGGACAGCTACTGATGGCCCGGGGCCGATTCCCGGGGGCTGTCTAAGCGATGCTGACCTTCCTGGACGTTGAGGTGGTGGCATGTCGGTCTTTTTGGGAGAAGGCGGCCTTTGTGTGAAAGCGGATTGCGTCGGCGACCGCAATGGGGCTTTTCGCGGCGACGGAGGCCTAAAAGTAGGGACAGAGCCTTTGCCAGAGGATGATACATTGGGTCTGGTGGTTGAGGCTGCTTTCAATGTGCTAGATCGCATCAGACTTTGGCGACGATTGGGCACTGACGCCTTCGTGGTTGCGGTGACAGGGACCAGTGTCTCTGCTCCGGTCGTCTGCGGCTCTCTCTTTGGCGAAATGCCTCTGCGCTGCGTGGACTTGTTCTCCAGTGGCTGGAGCCGCGTGCGTGCTAGTCCGCTACCATTATCGCGCGCGAAATTGCCACTGCGCTGAGGAAGCAGGGTTCGGCCTTGGTTGGAACCTCGATTGTCTTTTGCGATGCCGTCGGCCGTTAAGGAAGAGGAAGGAGCACGATTTATATCATTTGCTGGTCGTGAAGAACCGGAATTGCCGCTGGATGATGTAGTGTTCACGGGACGTGCTAAGTTGGAGGTCTGCTCATGTCAGGGGAGCGCTGGAATGCAGGGGAGATCGCGGGAATCTGGATGGGACTGACAGGCTTACGAGGTTCGCGCAGTGACATGGACCGCGTGGGAATAGGCATGATCGCGAAGCCTTTCCGATATTAGAAAGGCATCCGCAGCAAGTCCCGCGTTTAGAGAGTCGATCAATGAATGGTTCACGGGTCGTGACGATCCAAAACAAAGGTGGAGCTCAGCTTTGCGTCGCCGCGTTCTGACATGATAGATCTACCATGCCTCTAATTGCTTTTCAAAACAGGTATCTTTTTTTGGTTTCTTCTCATTACAACGTTCACAAATTACTCACACCTATGATGCGATAGATCAATCATTTGCTGTAGGAATAACTCATTGGCACGGAAACTCTATTGATCACTGTGTTCTATTGCGTAACAAGCGCATTCGGCCTCCTTGAAGAGGGGCGGAATGCAAAGAAAATAAATTCCACTTTTGGATATCGAGATTCGACCCGGATTCAATCGACAGAGAAGCCGGTCTCTTTGTGCATGAGACTCAGCAAGGGGGTCCGGGATTTCTGTTTCGACCTATTACTGGAGGAGTTCTACAAAGGTCCATTCGGATGCGGGGCTTCTTCAAGTAAGAGACTGAAAGACGCAGTCAATCCTCACAGGCTGCTCCGAGGGAAAGAAACACCCTCCACCGCCGCGTTATCGGTGAACCAGGAAACCTTCTCACCACCACTGTGGTTCACCAGAGCGCAAGGGAGGCTACGGCCTTCTTCTGAGTCGAAGATCGCCTTCATGATATCCTTCTTGCCGCCACCAGTGGCGACAAAAGCAATGTTGATGGCCGAGGTGACAACGGGCAGAGTGAGAGTGATGCGCTTGGGCGGAGGCTTGGGGGAGTCGCTAATGGCAGCGACCCAGGCATCCTTCTCGCGCAGCAGGTCGTGACCGGGGAACAGACTGCAGGTGTGGCCGTCGGGACCGCATCCCAAAAGGATGAGATCGAAGACGGGCAGTTTAACGCTGTCCTTGGCGGCAAAAGATCGCATCAGATCCTCCTGATAGAGGTCGGCCAGCTCTTGGGGGTCCTCGTCGTGGACATGCTTTTCATCAATAGGGTGGGCGATCGGAGCTCCGAGCTCCGCGGGGATTTTGTCTAGCAGCTCCTCCTTGAGCAAGCAGTAGTTGCTGTCCTTGTGGTCGAGCGGCACGGCACGCTCATCCGCGAAGAAGATGTGCCACTTGCTGAACTGCGGGGTATCTTCGGGAGAGCCATTGCCGGGGGCCAGCAGAGCGCGCGCGAGCACGGCTGGCAGGGAACCACCAGAGACGGCAACACGGAAGGTGTCGTGGCGGTCTAACGCCGCAGCTTGGCAGCGCAGGACATAGGGCCGTAATTGCTCGGCCAAGGCATCGACGCCCGGGTAGCTGTAGAGATTTGGTTGAGCGATAGCCATGGTCTCAGTGGAAGAATAGAGAAAGCAGATGGTTCAGAGGGAAAAGAGCATTTGAAAGGGTGGGGGGTTCAAGTCGGTGGGGCAACCTGGGAGAAACTGCATCGGTCTGATGACGTATTGTTCCCAGTCACTACAACTTCCAAATGACTGACGAGTCCACACTCCACGCCTAGAACACTCCCAGAGATTCTATCGGATTTCAATCTTATCGCCTTCCCTGTTCCCTTATCGAGCAACTGCTAAGTTTTGCTCATCCGGCTATGATCGGCACATTTCCACGTTCGCCACACTTTAACTTGTGTCCATCGAGTGGCCTATTTGGGCCTGCTGCAGGACCCGGGCATGACGGCACGTTGCAGATGGATGAGACAGGATTGGGAGAGCCGAGGTCTCGAGAGATGGGAGAGATGGACGGGATGTGAGGAATGAGAAACTTGAGGAATTCCCGGGACCTCGGGGGGAAAGTCCAGGTGAAGTAAGGGCGAGGAATGGGTGACCCATGCTCAACCCAATATACAGAAGGCCTAATGTGAGCAGAGCAGTTCGACACCGGCCTATTCCGATCGATAATCAGAGGAAAAAAGAACCTCAAGTGTCATGACGCCAATGACACTGCCAACTCCCGTGACTGTAGAGCCCAAAAACTGGAATTCGCGGAATTTTGGGTTCACGCGAAATAGACTACTGGGGCCCCCGAAAGGGATGGTCGCGCTGGTCGTTAGGCAGGCGATTTATTGATCATCCTTACCCTTCCCCCCTTCTTTCTCTCCCTTTCCTCTTCGATTCGACTGTATAGTCCAATACAACCACCTTGTCCACCTGTTCCACCTTTGGCACCGCTTCCACAACTCAGCATGAGTTCGCCCGCGGTTCAAATTACGCCGCAGCCGCAGCCATTATCTGGCCCTGCCTCGTCCCCTTCACCCCCGGCTTTTGATGTCGTCCGCTGTTCGCGTTGCCAGCAATCCCTCAGCCTGGCGAACCATACGTCCTCGGGGGCTGTTCAGTTTGGTATGAACTCCTACTACTGTCACCGGTGCGCCGCCAAGGTCGGATTCGTATGACGATGATCACTCTGCACCCTATGACCGAAGTCGAAAACAACACAACAACCACCAATCTACCAACCTACCAATCACCCACAGGCAGAGCCTGATAAACTCAACTCCCAAACGGATCGTAGTCCGATTTCCCGACGCTCCCCCTTTCTTTGTCTCGCTTTCCAATCTTGGGGTGGGGGTTTGCCGGCATTGACTAGAATGATCGATCGATCGCTCGCTAAGACACTCCTTTTCGTTTCTCTACGACTACTCAACGTCACTCCGCCACGCATATCGAAATGTCACTTCGGTTCTCGAGCCAAATCCGATCTCTCTACCTAGGCATCCCACATGGTAAACGGAATGTGGGCTCGGGCTGAAATATCGGAGTGAGAAGAGAGATAGCGAGACTGGCTGATTGCATGACCTCGACTGCATCCTGGGTGGACTTGGTCCCCGCGTCTCGAGGCATGCCATGCTCCCGGTCTGGATTGATCTGATCAGAGAGCACACGATGTCTGATTAATTGAACGGTTTAAGCGGTTCTTGGCATGATGCATGTGCATAACATTATTTACCTTGTTTTGAGCCACACAAACATATTTGCCTCCATTATGGTCGCCCACATAGAAATATTATGCTGAACATTCTCAAATATCTCAACATAATGAATCGGCAGCGAGGCTTATTGCCCCAATCGTATGTTCCTTGAACCTGCCCAGCCCAACCGAGATGATGATGCAAGGGGACCCTCAAACGCTTGGGAAGACAACCCTTGGAACGGTCATTACATTCCATGCATTGGTCACTGGCAGCTTCACCAATTTGGGCTCCCTGGGGATGCATTTGCATGGAATTGGTGATCGTGGTTGAAAATATCCCTCCATCTTCCCTTCCTCTGGTCGTGTTCCCAGACATTCCCGGTGCAATGATATGTCATTTGCCGGAGTGTCACATCCTTGTGATTGAGAAAACGCCATCTTCGAAGGGACGCGGACGGTGATCGTGCATTCAAGTCATATCATTGCCGCGTCGATTTGCGGCAGTCGTGTCACTCCAGTTCCCTGGAAACTCGGAAGCCCACGATTTTCCCTCGAGGGGAGAAGCTGCTGTGTGACCACGCGAAATCCGGGCCAAGAAACGTGGATTGTACATCACCCTCACCGGGAACTTCCCAAGTGATTCCCAGCCGCACTCCGCCAGCCACGAACATGTTGAGCTGCCGCTGCAGGTACCTGTTCCATGCTCGCACAAATCAATAATCGCAGATCTGCCCGGCAACATCCACGCCCCTGGGCATCTTCTGATTCATCACCTCACAGGGATCTCTCAGACCCGCAATCGTCGATCTTTAAGTTTCGGCCTCGATGGTTCCAATCTGATTCAATCAAAGCCACCCACAAAGCTCCACGGTAGCCGCACGCTAGAGAAACCTGCAGCATAATGCCAATGTGATCCATATGGGCTGGGTCGCCCAGCTCCACATACGAACCTTTTGCCCTCTCAGGTGAAGCCTCAGAGCATGTCCGATCCGAATCTGGCGGTGTAACACGACGCATGCTAAGCGCTCTATCTTGTACTTTGCGTCGTGAAGATCTCACAGTTCGCCTTCGGTGCACCCCACCTGGCCCCGCTTTGCTCCACGGTGGCGGATACACCCGGGATCGAGATGATCCCGTCGATGAGGAGCTGAACTCTGAGCCTAGCGCCAGATCGAAAAGAAGCAAGGGGGAAAAAAAACAAAAGCAACAGAATGACACCCTGATCTTCGGAGGGCCGAAACGTTCCCAGTAGAGTAGTACGGAGGGACTCATTTGTTGGATTGAGCAGCCGCGCGGACGAGCTGAGCTCGGGCTTCGCAACAGAAAATGATAGATCTCAGCGTGGCCGACAGCGGGAGATGATGAATCTCCGACATGACTGGTTGCTGACTAGTGCCATTCCATTCGCCGCCTGCAGCTTGCTCTGGGTCTCGCCTCAATGTGTCTGTTCATGAGGGCTCGCGGCTTAGACGTGAATTGTTGCTAGTGTCGAGCCAACTTTTCCGCAACATGAACATGTCGGGTGAAAAATATTCACCACGTTGAAGAGATACATCGCTGAACGTTCCATCCTGCGCATTTTCCCTTATAATCATCTGGACGCTCCTCCGGTGTGCAGAACGGTCCTGTTTTTGCGTGCATGTGTCGGTCTGACCAATTCGTTGACTCGCATTGATTCGGCAGAAAAGCCAGGTAAGTGGAATGCTTTGCTGTTTCTATTTCCCTGAGAGGGTTGCTTTCACTAGCTCTTTATACTGGTGAATGTCTACAATGTCAGCGTTGTATTCTTCTCAGACAATAGAGGCCGACTCCCCCGCCTTGATGTCTTGAATACCTCGGCTGACTTCAAGGCCCTGGTCACAGCGGTTCATCGGTTGTGAATAAAACAGACATTCCAGTTGAAGACCGAATAGAGCAGAGCCCTGGTCAGACAGGTTGGAATTCGACTATATTGCAACGCCGGTGATCTTTCGGATACTAGGCCCAAGTATCGAACGCCGCACGACCACTGTCCCACTGCCGCCTGCGGGGAGAAAAGTGACTGCCGGTGTGCATCTTTGACAAGAAATTTAGATTCGCCTGCAGCCATGCCGTTTCTTGGTCGGGAAAAAGGGCGCGCTCCAAGATCTCGCAGATCGGATGATGAATTTGTTGTATTCCTCCAAGGGGTAAGCATATTTTGGCCGCAGTACTTTCAATTATGACTTCTCTGACCAGCAGGATAGATTCCTGCCCACTGCCGTTGGCAAGAACTGAAGGATCTCGTGCGTCAGACGGCTCTGCATATTCGACAGGCCGTAGTATACGACGATAGCCATGGGTTTCCCACAGGCCTCGGGCAGATCATCGTGAAGAATGAAGACGAAGCATGGCGCACCTATCGTATGTTTCATCTGACAGATTATCTTATTCTCCTGAGGTATAGGGTGTTAACGAGATGGACAGACCGGCTGTCCACCAGCGGATGGGACGGTCAAAGCCTGGTCGTGACGCTGGCACGTACCAGCGCACCTACAAAGCCTATTGCAGGACCTACTAGAAGTCCACCAGCAGTGACACATATGCAGAACCACACACCCGGCCACACAACACCTCCAAGATCTCAGAGAAACCTAACCGTGCCCCCCATCGCCTATCTCACCAGAGTAAGTCGTCTAGTGCAATAATTGTGGAGAGATTCGAATCGTCTGACAGAGTTAAGTTCCATCAATTCGGCTAGTCCCATTTACCCATACGCAGACTACGCGCCCATGATGGGTCCGATGGCGATTTCACCCCAGCATTTCATACCTATGGTTCCCGATCCTATGGCACCGCAAGTGCAGTGCTTCCCACCATCGCCACTCATGCATTCCCCAATGTATGACAATCAAGGCTGGAACATGGTCCCAATGTACCCAACCTCGCCACTCCAGCTAGTCCACGATACGGGCGATGGATATGCTCGTCCGCATTCACACAAGCCGTGGGCCGACTACACGGAACCCAACAGTCCAGCCAGCGACACAAATCGACGGGCAGTCAATATCCAGAACCTACATGCGAGCACCACGGCCGCTGATCTACAGGCCCTCCTACGGGGTGCAGGTACTGTTGAACAGTGCAATGTAGCAGCCATCGAAGCATTGGACAGTCAAGGGCGACCCCAGACCCATCCCTATGGCTCAGCCATCATGCGCAGCACTGAGGAAGCCGAACAAGCTGTGGCTCTACTGAACAACATTTCATTCATGGGAGCACAAATCTGCGTAAACATGGCTCGCGATCCCAACACATCTCGCAGTAGAAGTCGGGACTCGGCAATGACCACATCGGAAGACCTGAGCGTACCTGACTTGGAATTCAGCCACCAATCCTCGGAGACTGGCAAGAGTGGACATCAATCACAGAGCAATAAGACAATTGACCCCCACAAACCCTTGGTAGTGGACGGATCGGGAATGCAGAAGCGGTCATTAGAGCTACTGTCGCCATCGGTGCCGACCTGAGAACCAAATCAGCAAGCATGATGATTGAACTTACTCTGGATGACCATATATAATTGAATTTTGAGTCCAGGGCTCTTGCAATTCTTTCAATCTTGTTTCAAATAGAGTTCCTAGGTTTACTATTCAACTCGTTCTAGCCACCTATTCCCACGAACCAAGCAGCTCCAGGTCGTCAAATGCATCTCGCCCCATATCTAGCCTTGCATTCAAATTCAAACGCCGTACCAAATCCTGATTGGCACAGTCAATTGACCAGGTCATTTGAGCCTCGGGACAAATGTCGTCCAAGGCAGTGATCAAAGTCCCCATTAGGAATCCAATCATCCGTGGTCCAAAGACTTTTTGTGCCGGACACCAAAATGGCCGACCACCAAAGGGCATAAATGCTTCGCTCTGCTCGTCTGTCACTTGACGCCATCGGAACGGGTCGAAGGTCTCTGCATCTATACCCCATATCCCCGGGTCCAGATGGCAGGCCTCGACATCAGCCGCGATGACCTCCTCACGAATCCGCCCTTCCCTATGGTAATCACCGGCACGTTGTTCAATATTCAAAGGCAATTTCTCCGTTCCCCTATTCCTGACATTAGAAGATTGTGAATCTTCAACCCAATGGTAGGCTCGAAAGATCCGGCGGGTTGGGGGGTAGAGCCTCAGAACCTCCTTGACAACCTCCTCAGCCGATGGCGAGGTCCATGTGAAATCCTTTGGGAGGAATTTGATCCCCTCATCAGCAGACACAAACTTTGATCCGGGATGCAATTCAAATTGCCCCTGTGTGCGCGACTTCGCAAATCCAGCCAACACACTACACCACTGGCGGCCGGCACTGACGGAGAACCGCACTTGGAGGAACCCGCGCAAAACCACACGCCACATGGTCTCGAAGGATGGGATGAGGATGTTGAGCATATTGTATGTTCCTTGGCCATGACAAGGGAAAGCCTCTCGGAGCAAGGCTTGAAGCTCATGGTTGTCCTTATATTTGACGATATCCTCCTTAGAATTGATCCAGGTACGATTGATGCACCGAGCCAATTCAACAAGCTTCGAGGGAGGAAACCCATGGTTGACTTCTGATCCGTCGCAAATACAACTGAACAGGGCCTTGAAAACAAGAACTTGCACCAAACTCGTAACATTAACCCTAAAGCCATTTGGACTTTTCTCGCGGCTGGTAGGTCCCTCACGAGTCTCCCAAGGTTCATAATCCCTTTTGAAGCCATGCTCGATCCATTCTCGAGTAAGACCGGGAAGATGACTCAGTTTGAGCTGTTCAAATGGTGTGGGGCACATCCGATTCTTCATGTCTTTGACAAAGTCTTGTGCGAGTCTCTTGTCAGTTGTGGTAAAAGCATTGTGGATTCCAAAAGCGCTTTGTAGTCGTTCGTTTGCTAGTGCTCGCGATTCCAGGACAGTTAACCGATTGACCTTGCTGTCATACACCAGGGTGCAGTCTATCAATGCCCGACATTGTCTCGGATTCGAGAATCTTTTAGTCCTTGATTTGGATCTTTCAAGGCGGGGAAATTGTGGAAATCGTAGAAGATTGCAGGAAGTGAGAATGATGAAAGCGATGATCAGTGTTGTGAAGAAAGTGATTCGACAGCAGTCCCGATCTTCCAAGATTATGGAAATAAGTGGCCTAGGGGAGCTGCCTGGGGGGGAAGTCTTGGGAGTCCTCGTGTGAGGTACGTAAAGTGCCTATGAAGTCCATGAAGGGCATGGAGAGATGAATTTTGAATGACAGTGGGTGTGTGAGGTGTAAAGAGGTGCGAACATCTAAGCACCTGGGATAATGTACAAAGGAGCTTTGTGAGGCTGTCCAGGCGTTTGCCGGAGACATCCAGCCTTGGGAGATCGTATCGAAGAATCATCATTTCATTTTAGACTATCGTTGCTTAGAAGTTCGTGTGCATGCATTTCCATGACCCATGTCATAATCGTCAATATCAAACCCTGCAATCAACCAAGTATATGCCCAGAACGCCATCCCAGAAGACCAACGATTAAATCAATATTTCAAAATACAAGTTGCTGTCGAAAACCGAGAGAGAATCATTTCGCGTGATTGACCATCTCTTCATAAACGTCATCCGGAATCTTGCGCACCAGAAGAACGGTCAAGGCAATGATGTCCTTGGCTTGCAAAGGTGGGAAAGACCGAAGAAGTTTGTTAGGGCTAATGAAAATGTCAGGAAACTGCATGATGATAGACTGAGATCGAACTCACCTCGGGCTTTCGAGAATCTCATCCCGCATACGGATCAGCTGGGCGACGATGCAGAGGATATTCAAGTGGGGGCCATATGCAAAGAGGAAATCCCAGAGGTGTAACACTTCCGGTAAGGGAGGTGTACAAGCGCAGAGAGTTAGCACAGAAGGAAAGGCATACAGCTCTGCATGCATGCCCTTGGAGAAGAGATACGCGGCCAATTTCGGCTCTACGATCTCCAAGCATCGATCCACCAGCCGAAGACCCCGGTGGACTCCATCCATGGTGCTACGAACATATCCAGGGCATTCCACAGTGACAAAATGATGAAAAAGAGCGAATGCCTCCACCTCGCTCCGGGCTGCATATAAGAACGGCGCACATAGGACGTTCATACCCTGGACGTAGATAGCGGTATCTCCAACTGCACTTCCGGCAGATCCTGGTCCCTCGGGATCTTCTGAAATACTGGGCGGAGTGTTGATTAGAGCCTCCATCTCCCGTCTCCGTGAAGACGAGGGGCGAGAACGAGGCTTGACTTTTGAGTCGTGTAATTTCCATGCTACCGCATTCAACAACCGAATCAGACTCGCCTCGGTGACGCGGCGCTTGAATAACGGGTCCGTCGCCAGAGTTCGAAAGGTATCATTGCGGATCTTGGTATAAGCCGGGGAGCCACCGCGGTGGACCAGAGCGAGGTAATTATCGGTTGGGAGTGGAGGGACATGAAGAAGAATGAGCCAAAGATAGATCCGATAGGGAGACTAGGAACGAAGAAACGTTAGTATTGCTAGAAAGACCTCCACTAGACAGTAAAGATCTCATACCATGCCGTCTCCGTCTGCATCCACTCTGGTCGATAGAACAAGATACTTCAGCTCTTGTAGCGCCTCTTGGGTGTTGCCGTGCTGGGGGCCATCACGAAGCAGATTCTCGAGGAATGATCGCTTAAGCCCTATACCCGAGCCCGTTTTCCGAGCCGGGCGCCTCTGGGTAGAAACTTGAGCAAGCGCTGCTTCACGAGCTGCCGCGTCACTGTTAGAACGCGCTCGGCGATGTGTCGGCGCCCGGATGGTGTTATTTGAGTTGTTCGATGACGAGCCCGATTCGGCACCACGCGCTCCTGAGCGAGAAGATTGAGTTTGCGCGATGAGCGCGTTAGACGTGGTAAGAACTTGGTGAGACTGAATCTTGCGCAGTGTTCGCATCGTCCGTGGTGAGGCTAGCAACTCGGGACTTGGGAGGCCCCAGGGCTGCTGATGTTTGGACATCTCTGAACTATTGCATTGAAATGCCTTGGAGAGGCATCTCCTGGGAGTGAGGTGAGATGCAATTTGGACGGTGGCTGGAGCTGGTTTTCTGCCGTTGGAGAAATGCGGAGCACACGCCGTCACCCACTTCAGGGCTTTGTACTCGGGACTATGTATTGGACTTATGTACCTGGGGATAAATTTCGTTGTTTGAAACAATTTGTCGTGACTGTTACATCCTATCTGCATCACCCGTGAGAACATTAAAAGCCTAGAGAACACCCCCCAGCGCCGACCAAATTCATACAGTTCAAGCTTGAGCATTGCCAGCCTCGTGCCGACCACCATTCCCGTTCTCTCCACCCATGATGCTGCGCACGAAATCATGGTACTGGAAAACTTCCCCTCGTTTGGATGCGCCTCCTTTCTTCGCAGGTCGACCGCCAAATGCCCGCCGCCCGGTAAACCCGCTGAAGACCTCGTCGATTTGTTGTTCCGTTAATGGCCTGCCTCCATCCTCAGGTAGAGTGTGTAGAAGCGCATCACGCAGTTCAGCAACATCAATCTGGCCGTTATCGTCATCATCAAACGCGGCCAAGGCATTAAGAAGGTCCTGGGATGAGGACATGGGAGCCATTAATTGTGACAGTGTGTTCAGGAACGTCGGGAAGTTGATGGTTTGGCTAGAGCCAGAGGGGAAGAAGCGCGCCAGAGTGGACGGTGAAGAATCTTGGCCTGTACAGACTTCGAATTAGTATTCAAGCAAATTCTGAGTTCAGAGAAAGATGATCAACCCACCCAGGTTCGTGAGCACATCGGCCACATCATCTATGTTTACCAGCCCATCGTTGTCGCGATCGAGTACCTGGAAAGCCTCACGGATCTCCCGGGCCACATTGGGCGGAATCTTCATAGAAACGTCTGAACCGCCATCTCCCATACCACTTGGGCGACCCACAATCGGCGATGAATGTCCAGGCGAGCGGGCGCCCTTGGTGGGGGAGGGGGGCATTTCTCTTGTGAATTTCGGCTGCGGAATGGGATCGGTCCTCGGGGATACAGAATCTTCTTCAGCAGCTGTATACGACTGGTTGAGCTTGCTAGGTGATGCCATTGGCGTATAGCCGCTCCTACTTGGAGAGCTTCCAGGCGTCCCAGGACGACCGGAGGGTGGGGAGTTAGGTGTCGAGGGCCGCCGAAAGGGCGATGCCCGCGGTGACCCAAATGATAGAGGGGATGGTTTGAATGTAGGATTGTTCGCCTGCATCGAGATCAGCGACTGTTTCCACTAGAGTTTCCATCTATACTATACCATTGTGTTGGGGTTAAAGTCGGAGTCCATTGCGTAGTTGCAAGCAAGTAAACAATGCCCCGGCAACAAGTCGGCCCGATAGGGGCACGTGCATTTGGAGCTGTCGAGTCGCGGATTTGGATTTGTGGATCAATCGCTTTTGATGTGGATTTATGTGGATTTGCGAACTAGAGCTGTCAATTGCACTAGTCGATTAGACTTAGAATGCAGATTCCTGAAACTTCCCTCTGCCTGTGCTGAACACTTAGTGAGGAGGACTTTGGTAGACCAAGCTGTTATCGCCTATCGCCCCCCGCTGTGGAGATTGTCTTTTTTTGACCCCTGAACCACCGTTTGGACCTTTGGGTCTTGGGTCTTGGGTCTTGAGGCTTGCATTGACCAGATCCTCAAAAGTATGCCGGATCTCTCTTGACGGAACTTCTCAACTCTCTACCCACCATGGCGACAAGCCTGCCATATCGACCGTCCAACGAAAACCTGTCTATGAATCCTAAGACGAATGGCCTCCCTCGATTGTCCCCCGCACCCTCCTTCATAGGGCGCTCGCCCAGCGGCTCGCGTTCCTCAACTCGACGTACATCCGCCGAGCCTGGATCGGGCTACAAAGCTCGCCGATGCAAGTCACAATACCCAGTCGATTCATCCGAGCGTCATGTGGAATACATCTTGGTAGCGTCCTTCCACATCGACCGGGGTCCGATCATGGAGCATCAATACCCCGCTGCGATTAGTGGCGACGAGAGTATGCTGGCGGAGCTGATGCTTCCCGATCAGACCCATGTGCGAAGTCAGGATTGGACAATATTCTTCCTGCACAAGGACACCAGCGGTGACGACGATGAGGAAGGGGAGGGCGGTAAGAAGAAGAAAAGCGCAAGTCAAAGTATCGTGGCAACGAGGAAGGTGCCGACATTCAGCATGAGAACCCGGACGAGGCTTCTGAGGAGGAAAGCAGTGACGACGACGAGGAGGGTGGGGAAGGCCCGCCCTTGATGTATGTCCTGAATTTGGTGAACACGAAACAGGACAATACGGTCCGACGGTATCTCTTCCCTCACGGCAAGTGTGGAATTTAGAACTAACCACCGGACAGTGGTGCGGTCGTCAAAGCCATGGCCATCTGTACAAGGCATTCCTTCCTCCACATCTACAAGGTAAGCGCCTGTCTAGTCCTTTGATAGAGCACCGCGTTGACAATGATAGCCACTCCTTCTCCTCGCACTGGAAGACTACTTCAAGTCACCCTACCCCGAGACCCTTGCAACCCTCTATGACGCCGTGAACAATATGGATCTCTCCTTGATGCCTAAGATGTCGATACTTGAACGCCATATCTTACAGTCCAGCAACACCAAGGAAATGTTCATCGAGAAGTTCGAGCAGATGATCCGTCAGCGAGAGGAAGAAGAGGCGGAGGACACCGAATGCCCACCATCACCGAAGAAACTCAGTCGATACGTCTTGCCGAGAGACACGCACGAATTCGAATCGAAAGTGGTCTATCACGACATTCCCATCCCTGTCAAGATTCCTACTGTCATTTGGCCGGAGACTGTGGGCGACTTCAGTCTGGTCAAGCTTATACAAACGTTCGCAGGGCCACATGCCACCTCCCCTCAACCGTTCCCAAGCCATCCTCATTTAACCACCAGTGGCCCATTCACGCACCCTATTATTGTCCTTGTCAACGCCATCCTGACACAGAAGCGTGTAGTTTTCCTCGGGCACAATCGACCATCTGGAGAGGTAGCCGAGGCAGTCCTCGCGGCCTGCGCACTGGCGTCTGGTGGCATTCTGCGCGGATTCACTCGCCATGCTTTCCCATACACTGATTTGACTAAGATCGACGATCTCCTGAAAGTGCCTGGTTTCATTGCCGGTGTTACTAATCCTACTTTTGAAAACCACCCGGAATGGTGGGATGTTTTATGCGACCTACCGACGGGTCGTATGAAGATTTCTAGCCATGTTGAGTCGGCCCCAGTAACGGAAGGCCTCCTTTTCTTCCAGCAGCAGAATGCACTTTTGCCCAATCATAATTCGCACGCGCATTCGGACCCAACAGGCGACACTCTTTTCATGCAAGACATTCTGCGGAGTATCGCCAATCGACACGGCGAAAATGCGATCCGTGCCAAATGGCGGGCCTACATCACCAAGTTTGTCCGAGTTGCCGCAGCTTTCGAGGAAACTGTCTATGGTGCTTCAAATCTCTACATCATTGGTCCCGGCGAGGAACTGTCACCGGATAGTCCCACTGGCCAGCAGACTGATGCAGCAGACCCTTCATCACTCCGGGGGCACGGCTACGTGTGGCCGGATGAATTGGCCAAGCAGCGTGAACTCTCTGCATCGGTATCGCGAATCGAGGGTTGGCGGAACACTCGGTCGTACTACTCCTACATTCAGGACATTGCTGCTATGTACTTCCCTGCCCGACCCATTCAGCGACCCGACCTGCACCACCACCACGACCGGCTGCGGGCTCTGAAGCTGTCCCACGCCGATTCCGCCGCTATCTACATCGCTCTTTCCCATGCCGTGAAAGACTATGCCGGCGTCTGTCAATTGCTGACTGTAGCACCTGAGAACCAGGCTGGTCTGTTTTATATCAGCATGGGACTCTTCCACCCTGATCAAGTCGTACGTGAAGCAACAGTCGACTTGCTCGACCGTATCGCTTCGCATCCGGCCGGTCGTCATTTCTGGACACATCTCAACCGCTTTGCGAAACTGGGTCACTACCGGGTGAAGCGTGACCGTGATGCAGCCCAAAGCCCTATCTCAGGTGCTGGTTCTCCCACCGTAACCACGCCCGGGGCCAGCTTTGGTGGCGAGCCGCAGAGTCTGGTCGGTGTTGCACTTGGAAACAGCATTTCTCGAAGAAGCTGAGCTTCCTAGAATTTTTGTCTTTTGCCTTTTGAGCGATTTCATTCTACACACTCCCTTTCACGCGCATACCTTTTCCTGTTCAAGTTTTACGAACGACAAGACCTATACCTGTTTGATCATGATGCCACCGGTGGTTGGATTTGTTTGATATCTTGTTCTGTGCCTAGCTCCCTGTCGCGAAGAGGCTCCTGGATATATTCTTCGCCCCCCGCGTATAGGATTAACAGTGGTCATTGACTGCAACTCAATACACACTTGTGCAGCTCATTCTGCCTTCTAAATATACTGCCGGTTCGGTTTGGTTCAACCAAGGAACCGTCAAGTCCGTTACCAAGGTTTGAGGTGCGGCTTGGCGGAGTTTTACCGTCATATGATAGCATCAACAACTCACAGAGTGTTTGTATGCACAGAGCGAGGCGGAGGTTAGGTCGGAAAGCTCCTTCAGTCTCCAAGGCCTTTTCTCTGGGGTCTCAATCTAGAATCTGTCGGGCAACGTGAAGGGCGACTCGCTACACAAACTCCGTAACACACGTGTACAGGCTTTCATGCCGCATCATCACCAAGTAACCAACACTCAACAACCACTGTACATATCCGAGGGCTCCAAAGCATATCGCAAGTACATGTTTGTCATGTCCGTTGTCCAAGCTTGCCGAAAAGAGAGCTCCTTTACGTTCCAAAGACCCTATGTCCATGCGAGGCCCGATTTGATTCACATTGACGATGCAGCAAAGACGTTCGTGAAGGCAAATGAGAAAAGTATTTGATTTCCACCTGGGCCTAACGTAGACCCTAGGCCTAACATAACTTTTGAAGCTATTCATCCCTATTCATCCACCTTCCACATTATATTATTATATTCTGCTGTGAAACAACGTATTTAGGCCGCCTTTGAGGCCTATAAAGCTCAAAAGATCGCTAACATCGCACTTCTTACGAGCGAATTCGACAATCTAATTCATTATCCCGTCATCAACTTTTATATAGAGCCAAAGAAGGTCACGAGGTGGAGTGAAGTAAAAGAAGTGAGTTAACTTCATTCGAGTCACCATCGTTACATGCTACAGGAACCCAGTTTACTTTGATTGGTGGTGATTCAGCATTTATTGCGGTAGGTTAATCGCCTATGACGTAGCCGACCGCGGGATCGTTGAAGATTTTGTCGAAAGCACTAATGCAGATGCCTAAAGTTGAACAAAATGAGCTCTCTATCCACTCTCCTCCGTACGTTCAGAGCACCTCGAAGATAGTATGGAATAACACGCTTCTAAACCTCTCTCATTTGAACCCGACGGGTGGTCTCCCTAGATCCGTCGTACGACCTACATATATATAGTTTTCTATATATGTATTGTAGTGGGGGATCGGTGACATAATAGCATATGTGTGGCCTCTAGGCATAATCCAATGTCTGCAGTGCATAGTGTTACCGACCAGCACGAAGAAGAATTCGTGTATCATGAACAGAAGCAACTGAACTGGAGAAGAAGAAGAAGAGAGAAAGAGGGAAACAAGTAACTACGAAATAGAACCACTTCTATACCTAATTAGGTTAGACTTACGGCTCCTTCTAGATTATATTCCCCTTAGGCCTTCCTTAGGCTATAAGATAGTTATATATTATATAGTCCCTTTTTTTAAAGAGGCTCGCCTTAAGGCACTAGTGTTCTATTATTTAGATAATTATCTATAAAGTAATTATTTAAAGTAACGTCTAATTATATTAATAACTATATAGGTAGTCTAGGTAGGGCTAGATAATACTTATAGAAAGCTATCAGCTTATTCGGAGTATTTTTAAAATTATTTAGAGGATGTTAATTATTATCCTTAATTTTAATTTACTTAGCCTGATATTAAAGTTTCTAATAATATAATTAGATATCTATAATTTTATTAACTTCTTATTCCTATTAGTTATTAACTTTTATAAATAATGTTAGGTCTATAATCTAATCTATAAATAGATCTAAACTTATTATATAGCGAAGCTTATTTAAAGAAAAGACTAAGTTAATCTTAATAGAGGGTATAAGTTAGATTAATAATTATAATCTTTCTTTAAGAGAATTTTATAAGGGCTACTAAACTAAATAAAAAGTTTCTTATTTAGCTAATTAAGTTTCTAATTCTTAATAATAATAAAGACTATATTATTAGTATTAAAATTTACTTTCTAATTATATTTATTAGTTTAGGTATACTAACGCTCTTAGGCTTATTTAATTTTCTTTTAGGTATCCTTTTAAATCTCTTAGAGTTATTAAATATAGTCTTAAGTATCTTATATTAACTAAGATAAAATAGATAGTTTTATAAGTATATCTTAGTTAAAGGATATTTATAGCTTATATTCTTACTTAATAAAAAAGAGAGATTACTTAGTAAAATCCTATTATAAAGCTATAATAATAAAATCTATTATTAAAAATTATTTAAATTAGTTATTTTAGCGTTAATTTACTAATATATATAGTCGCTATATTATATATTAGTTTATAATTTTACTCTAGCTATTTATCTATAAGTAATATATTATTAATAGCTTATACTTAATTTTTAAGATTTAGTAGATCTCTATCTAGAATTCTAAGATAAATTAGCTAGTCTGATATAATTAAGTTTAGTAAGCTAAAGTAATATATAATATTAAAAATAAATAACTAAGCTATCCTTAGTGCTTTAATTATTTTATAATATAGAAGAGAGATAAGCCGCTTACTTAATTAATTAATTACTATAAATATTATATTAAAGCCTTATTCATCCTTAGGAAATAATTAAAAATTTATTATAATATTTTATTATAGATAATTTAGTAAGAGAAGAGATTATAATAGACTTAATAGTTAATCTCTTTATATCTTTATATATTTATAGACTAAATAGTTATCTATATAATATTTAATATTAGTAAACTATCTAAGCTAAAAATATTATATAGATAAGAGAGCCTTTATTTTATTTTATTTAGGATATATTATTAAAGGCTACTAATAGATCTTGTTGGGATATAAGGGGAAAGCTACCACGAAGCAGATCGTGGCCCCTTAAGTCCGTGGGATCAACCTTAGTCCGGCTGGGTCAGTCGGTGCTAGACAAAGGTAGAAGGTCAAAGGTCGTAGGATAGACCATAAGCAGATATAGCCTAAACGAAGGCAGAACCACAGTCCTAAGGATCAAAGGAAGAAGGTAGAGATAACTTTTTGGAAAGTGGAAAATGACTTTAGGAAAGTAGAACTGACTTAATTCTTTCTGCTAGAAAAGAAGGACATATTTATAGGCTAGAATAGCCTAGAAATAATGTCTAGAATGTCATACAAATACTAGACAGCAACATAATAAAGGTGGCAAAGAAGGGAACCGAAGAAAAGCCAAAAGAATGATGTCAAGGATCGACGGTTTCAGCCACCCCGAAAGCTTCCCCGCAGTATCTGGTTATGCATACCCAAAGGTGGACCATTTTATCCCTAAGGGAAAGTGGTCCGCCTATCCTTAAGGGGACTGAGGGTCGAAGTCTGTTCACCGAGGTTCGAAGACCATAGTCGAAGTCCGCGGGCAAGATATGCCCGAAGGCACCTCCGAAGGAACGGACCATTCATGCCTGAAGGCGGACCATTTACCTCTGAAGGAAAATGGTCCTGCCTATCATTCGGGAGAGGGCCGCGGACCAGAATCAGAAGTGGTCAAAATATCATTTTGATAGCAGGAAAAACTCTGGTCACGTGATCAATACAATCTGGTCTTATATGTTGAATATCAGGATAGATCTTTCTATGTAGCATTGGTCTATATTCCAATAGATCTTATTAAGTAATTAGGCCTATAAGTCCCTATTATCTAATATTACTAAGTGTGGGAGATCCAGTGGGAGATCAAATGGGAGATCAAGTCTTTTATCCTTCGATGAATAAAAGAATATTTCCTTAATAGGAAACCTCAGGGTATGATATGATGATTGAAGAAGAATTATATTTTTCTTGTAGAGAATTGCGGACATATTTATATCCAATCAACAAAATTCTAGGCCTATATTAGACTTGCATTATTTTAAGTCTAGGCCTGTCTTGCTTTGAAATCAATTATAGTCTAGGCATCATTTTTAGTCTAGACCTATTGTCAAGGCATCATTAATAGTCTAGACCTATTGTCAAGGCATCATTAATAGTCTAGACCTATGTCAAGGTATCATCAATAGTCTAGACCTATATCAAGGCATCATTAATAGTCTATCCATAGAACACCTTTTAATAGACCTATTATAATTAGGTGGCTTTTCGTATTTACCTGACCAATTATAAAGATCATAGTCTTCTTGGATGACTAAAGGTAATGCTGACAGTCCTTGATAATGCTGACAAAGGTAATGCTAACAGTCCTTGAATATGCTGACAAAGATAATGCTGACAGTCCTTAAATATGCTGACACTAAGCGACCTATATTTAATAGTAGCTTATCTTATAATTTTTAAGGCCTATCTTAATTAGTTCTTATTTATTCTCGGAACTCTTTAAGACTCTTATATTATTAGTTTATAAGAATTACTTAGATAATAATATTATAGTTATTAATAACTATTAAAATATATTTAGAGATACTAATTAGGGTAAGGTTAGGGTTAGCGCGATTCTTAGGGTATATATTATACTTAAGATATAACTAAGAAAAAAAAAATTTACTCTTATTTATACCCTAAACTAAGATTCTTTTAAAAGAGGGTATCTATAATAATATTTCGCTTCCCTATAAAGTAACGGATTAGGAAATAAAATTAGGATAGGAACTTCGCTTAGTAAGCCTATTAAGAGTTTAGTTTCTTAGTAGTTATAAAATATTATAAGGCTTAATAATTAGAGAAGATATTAAATTAATTCTCTTACTAAAGGCCTTCTAGCTCTACCCTATACTCCTTAAGTACGAGGACAATCGTAAGTATCTTATAGTTATATATATTATATCGCTACTAAGCTTAATTAAGCTTCTTTAAATAGAAGCTTAC